TTTTTTTTTTTGTATCAAAAATGTGTCTATTAGTCATATATATCCTGTAAAAATCAGATGTTATTAGTTCATCTTGAATCGTCGATATATGAAGAAGACGGATGATTTCGTATTGAATTCCAAACATTTTGTACAGCTTCATGTCCATTTCTATTATACAGTAATGCCGGATCGTCTTCAACAACTCGACATGCAGATACGACGTCACCACTCCTAAGTCGTTCAGTTGGATAAGTATGAGGTCTTGATGTGAAAGAAGGAGATACATTATAACAAAAAGGACGTTCATAAGGAAATAATGAAATATTATTTCTAGAAAGTGCAACATTAATATGACGAATATCATCAATTGTAAATGATCCCATTGCTCTTGAAGGATAATCAATAAAATGAGAACTACTAGATGAACGAGGTAGAGGATAACATGATGATGATGATGATGTTACTACAGCTGGATCATAACCATAATCATTGACAGGAATAGTTGGTGGAATATCTTGTCGTATAATTTGACTTGCAATACCTGTTTGACGTCGTTCACGTTCCAAACATTCACGTAAACAATGTTCAAATTGTGAAAAAGTACCAGTACCCAAATAAGAAACAGGTCCACCCTGTGAATGAATTGATTCAAAAGTACTTTCTTGTGTTCTTGGTGCTCCTGGTTGAGTAGAAAAACCTGTTGTATTAGATCGATTTAATCCAGTATTATTTTCTTCATTAATTCGAACATTTGGTTTTAATGTTGGCGATTTTGATGGAAGATTCGGTGGTGTTGTGTCACCAGCAACACGTCTTGCATAAGTATTTTGATCTGCCGGATTAACAGGACGTAAAATTGGTCTTCGAAAAGTATTTTCACCAGAGGTATTTCCTGTGTTAGCACCACCTATACTTGGTCTTGATGGTGTATCATAAGATCCTTTTCTTTGTGTTCCTGTTGATGTCGTTGTCGTTGTCGGTCTTGGAGTTGTTGTTGATGTTGATGATGTCGTACTTGTTGGTAGAGGAGGTGCAGATGGGACTAAATATTGTTAGAGAAAATAGTTATTTTTTTTCATTTTGAAAATAAATATACTTGAAGAAGGACCAAGAGGCTTTGAATAAGAATAATCATTTTTCGGTCGATTTGGAAATCGATGTCTCAATGCAGATATATATGGATCTTCATTACGTTGAGGTCGTGGCTCATTTCTTGTTTCTTCATCGATATCGTTCGATGGTTCTTCATACTCATTATCTCTGTCATTTTCTTCATCTATGGATGAACGTTGCTGATAACCACGATCTGTTGCTTTTGATGCAGGTCCATCACGATATGGACCAGTTCGTGATGTAGTCGGCGAACGTTGTGATTGTCGTTCGTCACTTAACATCGATGTATATTCAACTAAATAGAATGGATTTGATATTGAATCTAATACAGAATAATGATAGGAAAAATCCTTGACAATAACAAAAGCCTTGCTCTCTCTCTCTCTGTCTCTCTATCTCTTTTTTGTGGCTTTTTTTCTTCACGTGAATTTAACTGGTGTAAAATATTATTGTCTCGCAATCGATTGTAACGTCCCTGTATAGTTCTGAGTATAGTAATGATGGGCTACACATATTTGTTAAGAAAAAGAACGGCCATGAAAGAGGTGAGCAACGCGAAAGAAAAAATGATTGATACGCATCAAAGCATTCTGTTTCTTCCTATTTTTTTTTCAATATCAATACTATAACTATTAAGTATCGACCTTCATCCTTATTAACAAATAACATGTGTATCAATAAGATTAGTCATGTGTTCGTCAGTATATTTTTCTTCTCATAATTAAAAAAACCAAAAAATTATGAGTGTTATTTTTATATTTTGACAAAAAACATTATTAATATTTTTTCATCACTTCTCGTATCCAATCAATATCAGCAGCAACTGATGCAAATGCATTATCATGATTTACATTTCGTGAACATTCTTCAAGACCAAAACTTGCTATACCAAATATATGCCATTTCCAATCGGTATGACTTGAATTGGATTTAATACCAGCACGTACTAATAAACCAGTACCGGAATCTCCACTACAAATATTACGTCCACGTGCATTTCTTCCACATATATGTAAATCTTTATTAATTCTTAATTTTTGACATGATTTTGGTGATATACGTATCCTTGCTTTTCTTGGTTCATTGACAGCTGTTGAATCAGGTGATGAATGTCCCCAACCAGCTGTATATGCTAATGTACCATCAGATAATGTATCTTCATTTTGTGGTAAACATGCAATATCAATAAATGGTGATATTGGAGCTGGTCTAGCTAATTTAATCAATGCTAAATCATGAATCGGTGCTGGTGCACTTTGACTAATACGAAATTTTGGATGAACCATATATAGAATTGGTTGTGTATGATATTCTGTTTGACTTGTACTTGATCGATCATAATGTCCCATGTAAAGATTAACTTCACTAGCTGGATAAAGACGATGTTTTTTACTATCAAACATGCAATGAGCAGCTGTTAGAATCCATTGAGGATGAATAAGTGTACCACCACAAAGTGTTATTATACGTGACTTAAAATCTGAACGACTTTCTATTCGAACCTGAAATAAATAAATAAATAAATAACTTTTTATATTAATACTAATATATGAATACATACAAGCCATGGATATTCAGCGGTATTTAATGTATCTTTAACACCTGTACTTATTTTTAATGTTAAAGCTTTATTTATTAATCTATAACGCTCATTCATAATACCACATTTATTTAAATCATAATCTTCTGTTGGTTCATTCTCTTCTTCTGAATTAGTATTATTTACCATTGAAATACAATTATGTCCTCCACATGGTTCAACAATCATTCGACGTCCGCCATCAAATGTTCGAAAACTAAAACAATTACGGCATGTTGGTGGTGGCTAAATAATAATCGACAAAATTAATATCTAAATTGGAAATTTATTTTCTTACTTGTCTTCTTGGTATTGCATTATGAAAAGGTATATGAATCACTTGTTGTGTACCATCTTCTAATGGTACTGCAACTGACCATGATACTCCACTAGAAGTCTATTCGAATAAAATTAATATTAAGAAAAAAATGAAGTCATAATAAACTTACACAATAATTAAAAATAATTAATAATATACAATATTGTATTTGCTTCATCTATGCAAAAATATATTTTCTAATGTGAAAGAAACAAAAAATCTCTTCAATTTATTTCCCCCTGAATTCCATACTACACGTCATCTTGATTCATCGAGAAAAACAAAACAATGTATCATTGTAATTCAATGCTCGCATTGTTTTTCAATTAAAATCTCAAATGTTTATGTTATCATTTTTCTATGACTGTTCTTTTTTTAGATAAATAAACTTCAAAACAATATATACAAAACAAAATGACCTTCAAAAAACATATGTAAATTAAAATCGAGTAGCAAAATCTGTTTTTTTTTCTTGACTGTAAAAAATATTTCCCATGAGAAACAAATAATTAAGTCGTTGATTGACTTCATTCATACTCTAATTTCAAAACATGTCAAAGATAGTATGTCAGCTGGGGAAAAGCCTAGAATGTTATTTGATGACAACACTTGGAAATATTTCATAGTTAATAATAATATATTTTCATGTAATGACAGATGCGAATTATAAATCCAGCTGGTAGAAAAACAACAACAACAAGTAGATGTTTATATTAGAATGATTTTGCTATTCTATGAACAGAACAATTTTAATGTAATCATAACACATTAATTTAATATTTATTAAAAAAAATAAAAACAAATATTAATTATCATTGGATGATTTTAATGCTTTCATTTCTTCTTCATTTACTTCCAATTGTTGATTTTTCTTCGTTGTTTTTGATTTATAATATAAAAACCAAACTTGTATTAAATGTCCACCCATTATAATACAAAGAATTAAAACTATAAGCCAACCCTAAAATATGGACGATTAAAATCAAAAATAATTGAGAAAAAAAATTCTTACAAGCCATGAATACTTTGGATTTGCTTGTAAACGTACTAAACCATATGTAGAAAAACTGATAATACCTGCTGTTGTCCACATAACTCCAAGGAGAGATCCAATAAATTGTGGTGGAAAACTTTTAATAAAATAAAAGAACACTTAAAAATCGCTCGATATATATGTATACATACACAGTACAAATTAATGCTTGACTTCCGGCTACAAGTAATGTACGGGAAAATATTAAAATACAAAGAGCTGTCACAGCGGCAACAATGGAGTTTTGCATACAAACAATACAAAGAGCTACAGAACCAATCCATGTTAAAGTTTGTAAAATTGATATATTCAACATTTTTTGTGTATAACCTAATAAAATCAAACTTAAATAAATTACAAAAATGAAATTTAACAAACCACGAGATGCTTTAAAATCAACAATAAGACCACATAATGGTGCAATAATAATACCAAAAACTGAACTTATACTGTAGAAAAATGTATAACGATTTGCTATAAAATCATAGATATATTTTAATCGTAAAAAAAGAAATTCTTTCACATACTTAATTCTAAATTATTTCCAGTTAAATTCATTATCCATTGAAACCAAATAACTGGTAGAAATGATATTGTAAGGAGAAGACAACTTAGAAAAAGTGTCACAACAACAAATAATGGATTTGTTAAATGTCGAGCTAATGTATCTTGTGAATTGATTGTTTTAACTATAAATTTATTAAATATTTTTAATTAAAAAACTAAACGATTATCTTACTTTCTTCTTTCGTTGCTTTTGTTTTTAAATTTGTATCAATACATGCAAAACGCCAATCAAGAAAAAGAAAAGCACTTCCAAGCATTAATAATGAAAATGACGACCATATAAAAGCCAATGTTGAAAGTGACAAATAGTTTCGAGCAATTAAAATCTATTTCATAAAAATCATCATATTAAATATAGAAATTATTTAATTCATACTTCAAATATTGCATACCAAATTGAACCAGATAATTGAGCACCTGATATCAATGCTCTAATAAATAAAACATATATATTCTACATATATATAACAGAAAATAAATTACTCACGTAACAAGACCTCGATTTTTAGTAAAATGAGCTGATATTGTAAATGATGAAAGTAAAGTACAAATTCCTGCTAATGATAAAAATACTGTATGGAATAATAGAAGCCAATCACGACCTATTTGAAATATGTATAGAAAGAAAAGAATTTCGTATTTTTATCGAATATTACCAGGTGCAGTAAAACCAAGTGATAACCAACTGATTAAATGAAAAACACTATATAAAAAGAAAGAAATTAAAAAAAATATTATTAACTAATTTTTACATTGCTATTAATTTTAAAGATCTAGGACCAAAAAAATCATTAATCATTCCAATAACTACAGCTGGTAAATTATAAAAACCAATACCCAAAGCAAAAGCAAACTAGAATTAATCAATATTAGTATTTTGTTTTTATTTTTATTAACATCTAAACGAACTTGATATTCAGAAATTTGACCAGCACAATCCATTCTTTTTGTAGTTGTTGTACTTGATATAACTTCATCAGATAACTCTATACATTTCGATTGATAAATTCCATATTTCGGTAATACACTGAATAATGATGCAAATCCAAAAATACTAAATATATATTCTATAGCACAAATCTTATCCAAAAATTCAAATTTTCTTACTTTCCAGCAACAAGATTACATTCGATAAGAATCCAAACAAGTGCAAATATTTTCCTACGAGATTTATTATCACTCTAAAATCAACAGGATTTGTTTAATATATATAGCTCGAAGTACAAAATTACCTTATCCATTATAGAAATAATTTCGACTAAATAATCATTAAGTATATATTCAAGAAAAATAAAATAAGCTGGAATGTTTGCGTTCTGTTTTTTTATCTTGTATTAATGGTATTATTCATTCTCTAGTCGGGTTCAGTAAATAAGCAAAAAAAAAAATAATAGAATCCAAGGTCTTCACGTTTGTCCTGCGTAAGAACTACATTCATTACGCGCTGTAACCAAGAAACAGAACACAGAACAGTGGAAAGAAACACATTCTTCGTCTGCAGAAAAAGACCGGAAAATGATATAAGAAAAAACCGAGAACAAGCAAATGATTCTGTTTGCTTGTTTATTTATTAGTATAGTGATACAAAAATGAGAATTGAATTTATTATAATAAGAATTCTCATTGGTTCCAGCTAATTATTATTATTTAATGTCAATACAGAGAATGTGTTTTTTTTGTATTGAAAAATTTATTATATTTTTTTTCTCTGTTATATTAAATGAAGTATAAAATAATAAATACCATGATTTATTATTCTTTTGATTAGTTACTTGAATAAAAATAGAATCATTCAAAATATCATTTAATGATTACATACAAATGGACGATCGATATTTATACAGTTAATATGTACTAAATTAAGAGATAATAATGTTTGACATATGTGATTATACTTATAGCATACCATTCATTCCTATGTGAGATATTGTTTAAAATATAACATTGAATGACCGTTTTTCGCATGAATTAATAAGCTTTATTAAAAAAATAAAATATATCAATAGATGCAGCGTAATAAAAGCTATACAATTTATGTAAAATCATGCATTCCTTGGTTACATCTTTTGTTTTCAATGTCGCGAAAATAATATATTTTTTTTGCCTTTATGTTAAATAATACTATTTCGTATGAAGTAAAGCACACACAAAAAAAATGCAGCATTTGAAGCTCTACAAATTGCCAAGTAAAGTTTGTTTTTAATTATGTTTTGTGTGGTTAATCTTCGATATTACAGAAAAATGCTTTTTGTCTATACCGGTAATTTCGTTTTAATAACAGCTAATGTTCTTGTAAACAATATGTCATAAAATATATTATGGAAAATTCTAGAAATGATTTATTTTTCAGCGGCGCAGAATATGGCTTTTTCGAAAATTAAAATAGCATAATTAAAACCAGTTGTATTTTATGGTTTGTTGAGTTTTTCACGCTACATCGTCTGACATTGACTTTCTAATAAAGCGTATTAATTGATGAGAATCTATAGTACAAAGAGTCGCTATTCATTATACTTCGCTCATGAGATTGTTCATCTGAAATGAGGATTCTTCTCTTCGAGAAGGCAATAATTGACATAATCTGTCTAAGACCTATAATTATATAAAAAGGAAAAGCTTATTGTCTATAAAGATTAATAACAGAAAAGTATTTCTTTAATTTATATATCTGTAACCAATAGATATTATGAAAGAATCAATCAGATCATGCGGAAGGACTTTTCTTAGCAAGCGTATGTTTATTAGAGAGAAAGTAATGTTTATCTATAACAATATTTATACAATCTTTCACTAAGGGAATATGTAAAGTCGAATTGATTATCTTGGAGATGTAATTTCTTTATTCTTTATTTTTGTGTCATGGATCTAACCTTGATGGTAATGCTTCTTATATTATAGACATCTGCGAAAACAGTGGACTGGGTACCATTGGGCAATTATTCATATAGTATGTTATACGTGTAATAGCGTGTCATTGTTGAGACTTCTGATTCAGTATTAATAGGACTTCTTAAGCCAGTAGGAGCTATCATCGATTCGGTAAGGATTTATCTCTGTTTCTCTCTCTTGTTCCAAAATCGTGGAAAAAAAAAATAAGTAATCTGGTTAATAGAACTTTTGATAGAGATGACCACCTCACTTAGTATTATAAGTTATTCATAGAAAAAATTTGCACATTTGAATATCAGTGTGTAAATAGATGGTCAAACAAACATCAGAAAACGAAAGGTAAAAATCATGGAGATATTATTGCATAGTTCTAAGTATAAACAATTTCATAAAACAAAATGATCGAATTGTGTATTTATAAATTGTAAGTTGTTATTAAAAAATTCTTTTTTGACGCTTTGAAAAGTATATATTGCATGTGGGAAATCTTGATTTTCCGGTTGCATACATATTAATCCTTTCAGTACTATAGTATCAAAAAAAGCAACATCCATTCTAGAATTCTCTTTTATAACAACATTTCTAAAAGTCAGGACGGAAATCTCTTGAAAGGAAAAGATAGAAAGTGTTCTAGGACATTTGCGTGACATACATTACCTTTACATCTTATCTTTCTCAAGCTATAATATTATCCTTTCTTCGTTCAACAAAACATCATTCGAATATATGTCACTTTCATTTAATGTGTTTTTCTTCTTCTTCTCCTCCTCAACGTTCGACATGCGATATATACATATGTATGCGTTTCTTTCTCTCTTGTGTACGATCTAATGTAACTGTAAGTGTACAGATTATTCATTTTAAAACTAAAGACAAATCCCCAGGAACATAATCTTTAATAATCCGTAAAAGAGATATATAATCATTTGTCGATAAAGTTCTCGAACGCCCACAGAAAAAGAAAGTATATACGGTGGTATTTTTTGATCAGTCTATATTTGTAAAAACTAGTTTATAATCGAAATGAATTGTGACCAAGAAAATATAACAAGCGACTCATCTATTGATGAGAAGTACAGCTTTTATGATGAAGATAACATGCGAGTTATTAATGCTATGTATCACCGTATCTAAAAATAAGCTACTTTAACAAACTATTTGAATTCAATTCAGCAAAAAATAATTTCAAGCTGGAAGAGTTAAAGGATGAATTACACTCCAGTCCAAAAACTTGAGCCGTGATACTCGTAATATTAGAATTTCGTATGAAACTTTTACATGATATCAAATTCTTCTATTGCAGTTATATACGAAAAATTTGGTATTAACTATACTGAATTATATAAATCATCAATTTTTTCAATATTATTTCGTGTATTATATCCAGTTAGTTATACAATATTACATTAATCGTTAAGTTTAATGATAGGTTGCTATTCTTTATATCATAGACATATGATTATATAAAAAAGAAAAAGAAATAGATCAATTTTTACTAGTCAAGTAAAAGTAAAATCGATATTTATCAATGCTTCGATAGTTGCAACATTTGTCGTTGTAGAAGGAGGACAGAACGAAAGATCAAATACGCGATTTGTAACATAGAGTAAAAGTATCTACAACGGGAATATATTTCAGATGCATATCGTATTTATATCGATAGAAATTACACACTTGAGAGTCACACGTGGTATAAATATTTATAACATCGAAAAACGCTAAAAGATAAGCAAAAGAAAAAGAAACTCTTATCGTGATATAACTTTCTTCAATAAATAAATCTACAATGACAGATGGTATGAATTTATTTAATATTTGATATAATAGCTGTATAATTCCTAATGATAGAAAACTCCGATAATGTTTCACAACAACTCGATGTTGAAGAACAGACGGAACTCATGTATAAAGATGATACCATATGGACTGCTGTCTTCAATGCTGACAAAAATGCAATTGAAGGTTTGATTAATAATGATCCAAATGTTATCAATATGAGAGGTGCTGTTGGTGAATGTCCAATCCATATGCTTTTTCTATATGGATCAGATGCACATCTGGAAATAGCTCAAGATCTTATTTTACGATATCCAACAATCGTTACACAAATTTATAATAAACCTGTTTGTATTCATTTTTTCATTTTGTATTTTTTCATAAGACATATAAATAATTTAGGTGTACTATGGTGAAAATATTCTTCATATTTCCATTGTTAAACGTAATCCAGCTATGGTCGAATGGTTACTTGGTAATGAACAATTAGAACATTATCGAGAACGATTATTGTCAGCTACGGCTACGGGCGATTTCTTTAAAATGTAAATTATTTTTCTACCTTTTTCATATATTTTATATGTTGGGACTTTTAGAGGACAACCATCTTATTATGGTGAAAGTCCACTTGGATTTGCTTGTTGCACTAATCAATGGGACATTGTTGAAATTTTACTCAAATATGGTGCCGGTATGAATACGGTCAGTAGTAGAAGTTTTCGCCGTCTACTGTAATTTCATTTTTTCTTTTATATATCTAGACAGATAGCAACGGTAATACAATTCTACATATGCTTGTTATATGCAGTTTACCTGAAATTTATGCTAAATTCAAAGCACGTTGGATTGAAAAACAAACACCTACTGGCATTACTGATACTGTTAATAATCAATTGTATACATTAAAAACAATAAGAATAGAGAAATTATGGAATCGTTTGAATAATGATAATTTAACGCCATTGACATTAGCAGCTGATTTAAGTCGAGGGAAAATGTTATCATGGTTACTTTCTGAACGTAAAATAGTACAATGGTCTTATGGAGATGTTTCATGTATATTACATCCACTCGATCAACTTGATTTAGATTTTCAAAAAAATGTAAATTCTTATTGAATTTTAAACTTATAAATTATCTTTTCTATTAATTTTATTCAGGATAAACAAAATCCACTTTGTGTACTTGAAGTAATCATTAAAAACAATGATACAGAATTAATACATCCTATTCTTACATCTTTAATTGATCAGAAATGGAAACATTTTGTTTATCGAAGTTTTAGTCAACGATTTATTTTCACATTTATGTATTTACTTACTTTTCTTGTGACAACAATTTTAGAACAATCACGAATAGAAACGGTAATAAAATAATAGGATTTTATTTGAATCATAATATAAATTTCTAGTCAGAAGATCCTAGTGATGAAATCAATACGAAAAATTTTAATCGTTCTCGTTATATGCTTTGTTCAATTGGTCATACTATTGTAATAGCCGGTGCTGTATTGAAAGGTGGACGTGAAATAAAAGAAATGTCTACTATGGGTATGAACAATTATTTAAAAACTACAGCAAGTGGACTTTGTTTTTTTTAATGAATTCTTTAAAATTTAATCAATTTCTAGGGATCTATATTTCTTGAAAATTGTTTGGCATGTTCATTTTGTGTATGTATTATAATTGCTCAAATGCTTCGTCTATGTGGAACGCATAATGATGCAGTTCTTCTTGCTTTTGCATCTCTTCTTGGTTGGGGTTATATGTTCTTTTTTATTATGCCATTTCGATTTACTGGTCCATTTGTAATTATGATATATAAAATGTTATTTAATGATGTTCTTAGATTTTTATTGATTTACATTATTTTTCTTGCTGGTTTTTCACAATCATTCTTTATTTTATTCAATGAAAATGGTTAGGAGTATGATTTATAAGAGAATCATAAATAAGAATTTTGTTTTATTTAGGTTTTCTTGGATATATGTCAAGTCTTAAACATTGTTTTTTGGGTTTATTAGGTGATTTTGATTTAGATTATTATACAGAAGGTTCACATCCATTTATAAGTGTTTCATTTCTTATGTGTTATATTATCGTTGTTACTATTCTTTTATTAAATTTACTTATTGCTATGATGGGCGATACATATGCAGATGTGAAGAGAAGTGCAAAAAAATTATGGTTTGTTTTTAGTTAATTTTTGGAAATTTTTTGTTATCAGTTCTCTATTAAATAGGCATTTAGAACGAGCGCGTATTGCACTTGATGTTGAAAGTAGTATGTCAACATCTGAACGGAAATTAAAAGCTCATAAATATTGGGTAGAAGTACAAGGCGAACGTTATTTACAAGTTGAACAAGTAAACAATGAACTTTTTAAGTCTAAAGACGAAGAAGAAGATGAGAATGATTAAACAAATACCATAATACATGTATTCGAATAAAAAACAACTCTTTCAGGAATTGATTCATTTTTATTTTTTTGATATATTATAAATTTAGATATTTAAACACGCGTAATATTGTGCTTGTATAAAGTTTTTTTTAATAATAATCTTATTGATTATGTTAGAATATATTCGAAATTCAGCTAGGAGCAAACTCAAATTGGGTCTCACAATTTAATGATTAGATGTGGTAAGGATAATAGTAGGCAGTGGCGGATTTAGGGGTAGAGTACGGCGGTTCAGGTTCTAGAAATTACCCGGAATCGGGCTTAAAATGGATTCCGATCCGGCTCTAGCCAGTGGAAATGAGAAAAGAGCGGTTCCATTTTTTGGAGCTGCTGCGCCCTACTTAGGGGAGAGGGGCGTGATCGCACCTCATTTTTAATTTCTCTACCCAACACAGTGAAAAAAATAGATATAATTTTATTATGTTTGAAATATCTGTATTTATTTTCATCATATATGAAATAAAAAGTTTAATCATAGAAATCATCTGGTCGTAGTGGTGGTAAATTTTTTTCATATTCTCTTCCTTTTTTTACATGCTTTTTCTTCTGTGCACCACCAATAATATCACTTGCTTTTGGATTCATTCGTTTAATATCTTGACGAATAGTTTCCATAACATCGATTTCATCTGGAATACGAATATAACGTACATTTGTATATCGAATATATAAACGATTAAATGATATGGATTTATTCAATGGTCGAGACATTGTTACTTGAGATAATTGAATATTATGATTAACATCAATATCAAGAAGTGTACCAACAACCATAATACCACCATAAAGATCAAGTTGTGTTCTCTGTCCTACAAGACATCGAAGAAAACCAACTAGGGTTCGACATGAATCTTTCTTATATTGTCGATTTAAAGTTGTTGTCATTATCTGTAGTAAATAGAGCAAAAAAACGTTTTGAAAACTACGAAATTCTACTATCGAAATATATTCCGAGCTTGTATAATAATAATTGCAATTAATATGCTTCACTGATCGATTGTAAAGAAAAATCTTTTATCAGGATTAAATTTTATTTCATGTGAAGAAATGCGATTAAAATTATTCAATTAAAAAAATAACAATAAAAAAAGCACTATACAAGTAACATCACAATTGCTGAAAACAAATACATTGAGAGCGAAGAAAAAGAGAGTAAAATCTATTGTCCTTCAATATGTGCGAATAATTTTTCTTGATCAGGGATGCCATATTCATCTGTATTATCAATTAAATTGCAAAATAATGGATTTTCAACCTAAATAAAAATAATATAGATTTATTTAATATTATTCTATCAATAATAACATACTCCTAATATATAAGAACATGTTTGTGGTTCAATGAGATACATTGTAACTAACTGAGAGTTATCTTTTCTTGTCACACATCTAAATAATAATATTATAATTTTTTGAAAAACTCGAATTTTACTTTTTACTTTAATTTAACTTCAACAACACGTGGTTGATTTGTCAATTCACACATATCTCCACCAGTATAATACATTGAGATATATCTAAATATTTCAAAATATATAGTAGAAAAGTTATGTGATATTCTCTTACTGTTGTCCTTTTTTATTTTTATTAGATCTTTTTTCTTGATTCGCATTTATCCATTCAATATGTTTTTCACGATTCCATGTGCCAAGTAAAACTGATGTTCGTGTTTGACCTTCGTCCTTAAAACAAAATATTATTTTGTATTTAGAAAATCTTGTAAATTTTACATGAAATTGAAGTGCATGTTTTCCATAACAGATTTCATATTTCCACCAACCTGATCCACTCGATAAACATTCTTGACCAGTCAGGAATCTTTTAAGAAAATCATTATCACTAATAGTAGATGGTGGTGGTTGTTGTTGTTGTTGTTGTTGTTCAAGTTCAGGTACAGTTGATGGTGTAACTGTATTGATTGTTTCAGCATTGATATTATTAGTTAATGCTTTTATAGTTTCTTCATTTGCATATGTAAACGAAATAATAAATGTTGATCCATCTGCATTTGTTAACTAGAGTAAAATAAAAATTTCAAAAAAATAAATCATAATAAGAGAAGAATACATACAGTAAATTGTGCACCATCACCTCGTTTTGTTGATTGTTCATGTTCATCTTCAAGTCGTTTCAAATTTTTTGGTACTTGTGGAGCATTTGCTTGTGGATAACAATTTATTGTGTATCGATTGTGCTCTGCTAATCTAAAGACATGAACAAAAACAAAAGAATATTTTACTTATAAATGAATTTTCTTAAGTATAATTCTCAAGTTGTTTACGAAACTCTATTATAGATTACTCTTAATAATTCTTTCTTTTAATTACTTGAATGCTGGAATTTGACAAAGTTGTGGTGAAGCAATTGTCATTTCGTAGTAACATGATGAAACTTCGTGAAAATTAATTATTGCATTATTACCTTTATCATGGCACACTAAAATAGAAGAATAAATCGAATTTTTTATTATAATAATCTGAATATAAAATTTACTATATAGAACAAGTGTTTCACGTGGTTGATTTGAATTTATTTCACAAGCTGTTCCATGTGTATATCGAACAGGTAACATAGGTATTTGTCGATTTTCAATTGTTTTATAATGAATCTATTTTATTTATTTTCGATGGAGTATAAAATAAAGACAATGAATTCTTGCGTTTTCTTACCTTAACTAATTGTTGATTTTCCTGATTAACTAGTCTGTTTTGGTCTTCTGAATGATGAGTACCAAGAGTATATTCTTGAACAACAGCTCGCTATTGAGAAACACATATATTTTCTTCGAAAATGAATGAAATAAATTATTCTTACTTTTCCACCCACTTTTGTCTCATGATATTGTCGAATTTGCAGACCATGACACAATTCATATGTCCAGTATGGATCTAACTAGAATATTGAACAACAAATTAAACTTGTATATATTTTTATTGATATGAAAACTTACTCGATATGTACATGTTGTTTTCGATTGTGAATGAATAACTTCAAAAAATGGTTCAAGTTCACTGAATAAAATTGTTTCTGGTAAAATCTATATTATAAAAGTTTACAGGGAAAAATAATTATTAATACAAATATCTTTTCTTTTACTGTATCTGTTGTTTGAGATACTGGTAAAACACAAGAATATCCTTCTTTGCGTTTTGATGTAAATGTATAAGTATTTAGAAAATCAAGTGGCTAAAAATAAATGTTCGAAAAAATAATCATAAATATAGAAGAAACTTACTGGAGTTAATTCAGGTTGCCATTTAATATCGTAAAGAATATCATCTTCTAAGACACTATTAGTCAATGGAATACAGAATAAAGTAGTGAAGATAAAGCGGAAGAACAGCATAATTATTATTATTATTCAGAAATCATTAAATGATTATTTTATACACTTCAATTAACATGCGTATTCTTTTCTGTAAGTAAAGTATTGGGTTGATGAACGATCCAATGAGTGAGTGTGAAGCGAAGCGCCCTCTTTTACATAAGTAATCGAAATAATGTTTCGAATAAAACTGAGAAAAACGAATCTTAGAATTGAATAGATTCTATCTCTTTTGTCTGTAGTTATTTTTTATAGCTGGTACGAGTTTAAGCATCTTTTTCAAAAGATAGTTCAATTATTAGAAAAGCAAATTTGTTATAAACTTTAATTATTTATTCGCGAAGTTTTTCGAAAAACACATATAAATTACATTTGAGAATGTTTGTATTAGTTTATATGAAGTACATCAGCATTCATACAATATTTTATGAGAGTTGATTCCGTCTTTAGTAGATACGACTAATAAGTCTGGACCAAACAAAGCTATACGATATGGTGCCGTATGGTACGGGATCTTTTTTTTTATTTTGCCATCATTTGTTATTTGCGCTAAACAACTTGTATTAAAATCGGCTGCAAGCCATTCACCGCAATTGAGCAAACAGCAACGAGTTGCTATCGACTTGTTAGGAGCAATATCAAGTTTAAGCGTCCAAATACGATCGAATGTATCCGAAGATCTTAATTCCATACGCATAGTCCCTGTATTTACGTTCGAAATCATTAAACCAAGGGTCGAATTATTATAAACAATGTTATCAATGCGTTCACCGCTTGTACATGTATATGGAGTTTTCCATTCCTTAATTGCTACTACTGTTGGAGACATACTAAATTTGACAATAGATGGCTCTGTTTCCAAAGTTGAGGCAAATAAAAATGCATCAGAGCACGTACATGAAAACCATCTTCGTTTTTCAATTGATTGCAGAGTCTCAATGGCCATTGTATTTTCATCTACGAAATAAGTACCATTTTCAGCAATTACTATAAAGCGAGATAATATCGATGACCAACACATGTCAAATATCGCATCTTGAAAGTAGAGACTCTTTCTTATGATTGTCATCTCTCGATCAATTAAACATAAATTATTTCCTTGCTGCATTAGTAAGAAATCACCATTGATAGCAATTACTTTACAATTGCCACCCAAACGATGGATTGTTTTGTATACTGGTGAAAGATGAGATAGATCAAGTTTTCGTTCAGTTAATTCTTCTATTTGAATTAAATGATCAGGTATAACGATCGAATGCGTATCAATTCGAGAGTGAATTTGTTCGATAGTATCTAGTTCTCTTTTTAGGTGATGAATATGTGATGTTAATGAATCAATATCATTTCGAGTTACATCTTGTTCACGTAATAGTTCAGCTATTTTCGATTGTACTTCTATCGTTTTTTCCCGTTGTGTATCTAATTTAACAGTTACAAGACGATCCAATTCAAGGCATCTTTGTTCGAAAAATTGATTGATTTTCTCGTGGCAATCTAAACGCCATTGTTCTAATTTGTGACGACAATCACTAAGCATAGTTTGAATATTTAATACATTCAAACGATCACCAAGTCCGTTGATTTCGTCAGTCAAAGGATTTAATTGACTGACGAGAACTGCATTATGTTCATTTAAATGTTGTAAACAAAGATTTTGCTGGCAACAATAACATAAAGCTCGTGATATACGTTTGCATGTAGGAACTGTACAAGGGTGTGACATGTTATAACGATTAATATCTAACTTCTATGTTGCAATTTGTAATGGAAATAAGAAAAAAAAGAAGGAAAATGCGTGATAAGGACGATCAAAATGGATGATGCCAATCTTCATTTCCCTATTTGCTAAGAAAAACGGAAAAACTATGCAGTTAGGAATCGATAAATAATAACCATACGTAACAGATGTCGTAAGAAAACAGTAATTATAAAAAAAACCTTTTTAAAAAGTAGTATATTACTCGATTAAAAATCACATTTGATAATTGCTTGAATATTTATATACTAAAAGGCGGGTTGCTTTCTTTTTCAAAAGACTTCTTTAATTTCACAGGGACTCAAAAACATAAGTTAATATTCATTGTACAATTTCTTGCATGATTATCATTGTTGTGTATCTATAAGAACTAAAGAGCGATTGTTTAGCTTGTTATTAAGCTGAGAATAAATCTTTATACTAATTTAATATAATATCATGATCGAGAGAGGCAGAGCATACTTCTGTTTGTTCAGAGTATCTCTCCATTATAAGTAGGCTTATAAACATTCTATTTAATATAACCAAGTTTTTTCGCTTACTAATAGACCATTACGAGTACAAGTTGATCAAAATTTTATTTTTAAAATAATGACTAATCATGTAATTACTATTTCTTAAATATAAAATTACTTCGAAATGAAATCATAATAATTAATATCTTCAATTGATTATTTATCATGATAACTAAATATTTTTTCAAAATTATATAGTATTTTCGTGGTATTACTTAAACCATGTATATATCAATCAATGTACTATTGGTTATGTAACTATATCTTGAAAGAATTGATATTATGTTATTAATCATTGAATTATATTGTTTAATTCCTTCTTTCAATAAAGAAAATAAGCTAATCGAACAATTATTTTTGTTAGCGATAGATATCAATCAACCGTTAACTTGCAAAAACTTGATCAACAATAATCGAATAACAGTTATGACATATGCAGTAAATAATCATATTATCAATGCATGAACGAGAACAATTCTAAGATGATCTTGTCATTCACCATCAATTATCACTTCAGTTTTTTATTTCTTCAGAGATCAAGGTTTCATCGATATCTGCATGAAATGATTGTTTTCTTTTTAGTCTCTTCTTCATTTTTATCATGCTGTGTATGCCTACATAATCATCATCAGGAATATATTTTATTCTCTATCTATCCATTATTTCTTTTAATATTCCCTTAAATTGATTTTAGATGTATATATATATATATATATGATGCCATATCTTAATGTGTCATAGAACGAGCATTATATTCACACAGATGTTTCAATCAACTTTGAGAGTTATATAAAAAAAAGAACGTAGAAAAACAATTGCAGGTTGGTGGTATTCGTTAGAAGATAGTAACATAGTACGAAGAATCATTTTGTGTGTGTGTGCTTATTATGTAAAAGAACTGTCATCATCAACATTGATTATATCGACACAATTATTAGTCATAATCATCATCTTTCTTTATCGGATAAATTTATACCTAAACATATAGAGACAAAGAGTAACATTTATCAATGAGCATAGAGCAAGTTGCTGTAGTGTTATATCTTATCAACTGGTATTAACCTGAGCGTTACTGACAGCGTAACACATCGATTATCGTTTTATATAAATCCAATATCTTTGATATTCGTATGAGAAACAATAAAAAGTCGAGAAGAAGGAGAACAACAACAATATCTTTCTGTTTTGTTTGCTTACAGAGTTTTTATATGTGGTAAGTCATCCAGAAACAATAATATATATATATAGACAGGCAGACAGATAAGCAGTCTATTTTTTTGCATAACAAATTAAAAAAAAGGTCATCTTAATCGATGTATAAAACAAAAAAAACTAAATAAATTGCATTGGAATTTAATCTCTAGTGTAGTAATTGATATATACTCGATGTCGAATCATTTTTTCCTTATTTTTTTATGATGAAAAAATAACAGTTGAGCTAACTCGATTTGTATAGTATTTATCGTACCAATATGATATTAATGGAAATCTGTATGTCACAGAATGACAATATCAACAGAAAAATATATGATATGTGTATAGTTTTTTTGTCACATTGTGTATAAGACTGATGGATTTATTTTTGGCTTCTTATATACTTCATATAATATATGTATTATTTTTTTTTGCTAAGCAAAAGAATCTCGAACATCTGCTTGTCGCAGAACATAACAAAAAAAAATGTGTAATTATTGTCGTGCAAGAACGACTGCTTAATGATAATCTTAAATGGATAGCTCTCTCTCAATCATAAGACCATTTGTTGCATGGGAACGAAGAGAAGAAGAAGAAGAGAAAAAAGGAAAAAAGAAGTATGATCTCTATTGTTATGATATATTCGCTATTTTTCTTCCGTTTTCTACGATTGATACGCAAACTCGTAGACAAGAATAAGATATTCTTCATCTACAAATATCATCCAGACTTACTTATGTGTACACACATGGATAACAGAAAAGAGAAGGGGAAAAAAAAATTAGTTTGTATTTCCTATTTGTCGATACATGTACATAGGTCACACCCAAAGGAAAAAGGAATCCTCTTTTCTTCTTTTCCTTCCACTACGTTAGGCGTATCAGAAGGAGAGATCGGAAACGTATTCTAATTGACGAGTGTTTTCTTTCTCCTTTTCTTTTTTTGACCGAACGCTTGCTATCGTTGGTCAAATGTTTTCTCATTAGAATATTTCTGCAATTTTCCTGTCTTTATCTCCTTCTTCTCTGTTACATATATCATGTTGTTGCATGCGCTTGATAAAAGAGCATCTTGGCTGCCATAACAAAATACGTTGTTGACATTTGTCTAAGAAAAAGAAATATGAACATTACAATTCCTGCTGTTTGTATGGATTAGTGACTAAAAATAGAATATGTTAGGTGATCGGAAAACTGTTATATTACGAGGCGGTGCTCCCTGGGGTTTTCGACTTTCGGGCGGTGGTCAAACACCCGTTTATATCGCTAAGGTATTGTAAAAAAGGAAACAATCAAATTTTTTTTTTGCAAATCATATTTTATAGGTTCGAAGTCGAAGCAAGGCAGCATACGGTGGTCTTGCTGCAGGTGATACAATCGTCTCAGTTAACGGTATATCTTCATCACTACAATCATTACGTGAAATAAATGATATAATCGATACTGTTCGTGATCAATTAATTATTGTAGTACAAAGGTATACATAAATATTAAGTTTTCTATAATATTACTTTTTTCTTATATTTTAGTACGGGTAATTCACGTGGTTTTCGACTCGATTCCAGTTCGAGTATAGATACAAGAGAAAACAGTCCTGTTCGTCCATTAAGTCGGCTGACACCACAACCAAAACAACAAGCGGATTATTATCAATATCCATCATCACGTACTACACCAACGTATTCTTTGTATTCATCAACATCGAATACAAATCATTTCGATAATACTAATTCAATTAATCGAGAACAACGTTACGCGGATTCCTATGGACGTTCCGTAACAAATCCTTTACCAAGTATATTTCGTACAGCTACTATAACTACGAATTCACCTCCAACACCCATAGCTAAAGCACGAGTACAACAATTTAGTTTTCGACCATCAACATCAAATAGTACATATGATACACCACGATCTATGACAAGTGGTTATGTTTCGGATACGAATGAATTTTGTCGTTCAACAATTTCTGTTCGTCCTACTAATGGACCAACAGCAACAACAAATGTTCGACATGTAGTTAATCAACAATCATATGTTGCACCTTCAAAAACAGTATACAATACAAAAATCTCCACAGGTAATGAACAAAATTATTATAGTGATTCAGAATATGTTACATCTGGTCCACGTTATTATAAAATAACTCGATTGGTAAATACATCTCGACGACCAAGTAATGTTGTTTTACCAATCCGTTCAATAACAAGTAGAGCATATGACCAATATGTACCGCCAGAACCAGTTAAACCTCAACAGCAGCAGCAGCAACAACAACAACAACCTTTTGATGTATATCGTTATCAGTTAGAACAGCAACGTCTTGAGCGAGAACGCGAACAACGTGAACGTGAAAGACAAGAACAGTTGCAACGACAATTATATCAGCAACGGCAAACAACTGCTGTTCGATTTAATCCACCACCCAAACTCACATTACCATCGGAAACAACGATTGATCGAGAAATTGGTGCTGAATTACTCATATCACCTGTAGCCAATAGTAAGTTCTCTTCTTTTATTTAATAGATATTATCTAACAATTAAATATTTTTTTTAGAAAAACGTTATAATGATTCAAGTTTTTATCAAAATCCATATAATACATATCCAACAATTGATGAGCAGAAAAAAATGGCACATAAAATTGCATCAATTCTTGAAAGTGGTGATCCAACAGAAAAAGGTACATCAAAATTTGAAAAACAACGTCAACGTGCTGATAAATTTGCAATTGAAGCTGATGCGGCTCAATATCGACCATTACGACCTTTACAAACAGATGATTTTAAATATTCTAACCAACAACAAACATATTCTAATCAACAGCAAACGTATTCTAACCAACAGCAAACATATCATCACTCATCAAATATACCTAATTGTATTAAACATAGTTTAGATGAAGCTCAATATATTAATCCATTACGATATGTTGGTGCGCCCGAAGAATTCAAACAAATGCATATGCAGGTACAAAAAAATAGAAAAATACATAGATTTATTATAAATCGAATTCTTTTTTTCTTATAGGAACATGTAACACATACAAATGTTTCACCATTTAATGCAATGAGTCTTGTTGCTGATTTAAATCAAAGTGGAGGTAAAGGTGCAGCATTATTTCAAAAACGTAAAGCTCGATCTGAAAAATGGGTTATCGATGAAAATAATGTTAAAAAACAAGGTTATCGACCACCCCCACCACCACCATCAAATAATAATGGAGTTAGTATTTATTGATAGTATGATAAATATTCTATTTTGAAATTGTTTTTTTTTCTATATAGCCAATAGCTAAACCATGGGGTCAACGAGCACCATCATGGTCTGATAGTGAAGGACCAGGATTTTCACCTGTTCGAACAACTTTTAATCCTTCACCTGCTCCTGTTGTTTCTGCTCTTTCTGAACCGATTTTATCACCTTCACCGCCAGTACAATCTGGACCACGATTTGGAGATTTCAATGCTAAACCAAAAGGGTTTGGTAGTTGGAATGCTGAAAGTATGAATTTCTATTTTAATTGAAATAAATTCTTTATTTTCAATTCATAGATTCATCTCCACGTGTAGGAAATGATTCAAGAAAACCGCTCAATCTTAATATAGAACCAAGTATTCGTGAAGGTAATTCCATTTCTATTGATTTTTAAATATATAAAATTATTCACATCAATCAACTTATTTTAGGTATCGCAGAATCTCATACACGAAATGCTTCTCAACCATGGTCTCCTCCATATAATCCTCAATCAATCTTTTCTCCAAATCAACAACAACAACAAACTAATACTAATTACTTTAATTATCCATCATGGAATCAACCTAAAATTCAAGAACAATATAATGGATATAATCAAAGAAATACTAATAATATTAGTCCTAATCCATATTCTTCAACACAACAACAACAACAACAACATTTTACCGATCTCTAAAGGATTTTTTTTATATTTATATATATAAAATATGTCAACACATACATACACACACACATACCAATACTCGGTGAAAAAAATCAATTATTTATTCGCTCAATATATGAGCATGATTCATTTTTCCTGAGCATATGTTTGTAGTTTAGGCTATAAAAATATTATCATATCCCTTGCTTATTGATTTTTTTGTTGATTTTGAGTGTACGCGTGTGTGCGTGTGTGGGTGTGTGCATGCATGTTTCTTTTGTAATGGCACAGAAATTATTTACATAATTTTCACCAACAACGATTGTTTTAGATAAGTTTTCATATATGCTGAATAATAGAGAAGAAGGAATTTATAAAAAAGAAAAAAAAGAATTTTTTATAATGATAGATCAACAATCATGAAGGTGAATAGACGAAGAAAAAAAAATCAATAATGCTTATTTGTTTATACTTCTATAACTACGTATATATATGTCTATATTTGGTTATTCTTCAATAAACAGTTGGTATGGCGTGGTTATTACTTTTCTCAACATCAGAATCTTGTACAGTTGTTAATCATATAAATTTGCTTTTATCTAACTATATTCTTGTCGTTATATTAGATTGACGAAATTAGCAGTATTTCTTGAGACTCTGATGTCTATTCATATAGAGAAAGAATTACTAATTGAATGAAAGTCGTGTCTGAATACAAAACAGATTTAATTAAAACTTTAAAAATAATCATAAGTTTACATTGAATATGAATTTGAAGGGATAAGATCTCGATTAACAATTAATTAATCGCAAAAAATACATCAATTTCAGATATTAAACATTATAGTTACGTGTCACCTACTAAATAAATAATCTTTGTACTATCTACAGACTTGATTACATGTTTTCTTTTTTAATTTCTTCATTTAAGTAATCCAATACTAACACATCTCCTTTTTGTTTTTATGGCCTTTTTATAAAACACAGATTTCCTTTGGCTATCATAACCTTTTTGTTTTCTATCATGTCGAAAATGACCTTGAGCTGTCTTATATTTTTTTATATGATGTATCTTTACAAAATATTCGAGAAATTAAAGTGAAATCATATATTAATAGCTTTATTATATATTGACTTAGTTAATGTGCTCATTTTATAACGAATATTTCGACATACATAATAATAGTTAATAAATTAAAAATTCTTGAATAAAATGTTCACGTAGTTTATCTGTGCAGCCATTTTATAATGAACTTTCAATCTATACAGAATCAACTACAACTATAAAATATAGAATAACAATATATGAATTAGTTTCCATAATATTATTCTTAAATTGACTGATCATTGGATATTCTCATTATGCAAACTTGAATTGATTAGTATTCGAGCTAGAATTAGACTTATATATTATTAATAATACCATTATCTTTATCCTTCTCAGACAACGACATAAAAGCATGATGATATTTTGGTCAATGAATGGAAGAAAATATATTTAATTTTTTTTAATATTCATTTAGATAATACATTTAAGATTATTATGACCTATAAATATTCATTGATAAATGTCTGCTGACAAGAATTAATAATTGTCAAAAGAAGATTTGAAGATTATAACATTCAAATAAAATAAGTCTTTGTTCGTCAACTCTTTTTTTAGATTAAAAAAAACAATTAAAAGTAGTTAAATAAATTAAAAACTTCAAGGTTTTACTCAACAGTTGGAAATAACAATTCTTTAATGAAAGAGAAAATGGCATTTGTTAAATGCGCCTATTCAAAAAAAAAAGATATCATGTTTTCACATACTTCAACGATAAATATTTTAACATTGAAAATAGTATATTGCGAAATTAAGCTATATAAACTATATTATTTGCACAAGTACCCATTGAACGTTGTATTTACCAAAATGTAAATTATATTTCTCTCTTTCCGGTTAGACACTTTCTATTTACGTCGATCCTTTAAATAGTCTCGTTTTTGTTAAGTTGATGTCAATATTAAATTTTGATCGTATATATTTCCTTGGAGTGTATTGAATTTCAGATGAGTTTAATTTAATTCTTGAACATTTTTTATGAATTTAATCATATTCATAGTACTGCTTTTGGTGCTATACTGTAATATTAATACTCCAAGCAAGTTCTTTTCTAATCATTATTCTACTAATAATGCATAGAAGACTATTGATTAGTTCTTCAAGAAAGACAATTAAATAATGAATACATATTGATCTATCATACAAATAATCTTGTTATATTTTCTAATAATAATACGTTTGCTGTCATATCAAGTTACGTAGACATCCTTGATTTTTCTTTCTTACAAATCAACTAAACCGGAAATTTACTCATTATTCAAACACAAAAAAAGTCTATATCGTTGAGTGGATGATGAATAGTATACAGTCAACCATATCAAATCTAATATTCATACTTTCGCCTTATCTGTTTTTTTGATACAAATAATAATGTGTACCGATTTAATAATTTATGCTTTAATGGCATATAAGACATTCTCAATGACATGTTAATATTATGCTAATCTTTTTCCTCAAAAAAAAAGTCCTAATTTGGAGAAGGACATGTTGAAAATCTTCACTCATCTGTATTAAACGTAAATTCAAGTTCCTCTTACCCATATCTTATCGTCTTGTAAAGCAAAATACGATAAAGTCTTGCATTGAAGCCAAAGTAAGTAGATCTTTTAGGAGATTAATCTTAAGTCTTTCTTCTATCTCATAATAACCATATAATTTTTTGCATGTTAGTTAATGAACAAAAATATAATACTACTTGTAGTACTATAAATGAGTTTCGAGAAGAAAAATAAGCTATAATTAAATCATAACAAAACGTTTGTTTCGAAGTTGAAAAGTTCTATCATACAATTATTTATCTCTAAAACTTTGTGACACATACTTTTACCAAGATTTTTATCAATCGATTATTTTGTATCGAAAACATTGATTTATAAATTATTGAATAGTTTTACCAATTAAACAAGTTTCCATTGTCAATTACCGGAGTGAACTTATAACATGCAACATCATTAGTGAAGTCTTTTTTTATTGATATAGAAACTGCTACAATGAATCTATGGCAACATTAAATAATTTCCTTTTATAAGTATATTCATTGATATTATATATAATTTTTATCAATCCTATGGATTTTCTTCTCTGTATGATTGGCCACAAGAGACTTTCCGTTTACACTTCTATTCTATTTTAAAGAGAAAAAAAAGTGATCTTTCATGCATTCTTTTTGTTCGAAAAAAAAGAAAATATATACATCTATTATTTTCGTTTTGCTTTTGTATTAATCAAAATTGACATGAACCGGAAAGAAATTCTTTGAAGCAAAAGATCAATTCTATATTCAATTATAAACTGTTCTCGTTTATTGTCAAACAATACAAAAAAGAAGCCAAAAAAAAACAAAAAACAAATCTAGAATATCGTGTTATTGTCTACTTTTACACGTGAAAATGATATAAAGAAGGGTGTGAAGGTAAGGTAACTGATAAGTGATATATAAGAATAAAATCTATTTCTAGCAGTTTTATATAATAATAATAATAATGAAAAAACTTATTATTGAAAGAAAGAACAATGGATTCAATTGAATACCTTGATTACATTTCGGACTTGTGCAACATGTAACACTGTCGACTTCATTTTTTGATTGATCGCTATCGGGTGTACGGCATTGTCCTTTTGATGTTGAACAACCACGACGTATAACTCGCTTTTTACCATCAATACGTTTCTGTATTTTCTAAAGAACTTAGTAAATATATCTAATATTACTATCAAAATAAAAACTCACATAACACATATTAATACCAGCATCACAAGGACGTATTGATGACTCCGATGGCGAATCGCAATTAGTACAATTATAACAAGAAAATGGTTCAGATAAATGGTCATATGATGAACCAACACCACCACCATCCTCACCGGTATTCGTCGTTGCATGAGATTTTGGTTCAGTCTCAACAGAAAGTTTAACTAGATATTCCGGGGGTACGGGCTCCTCGAATTCATCAGTATCATCTGATAATGGTTCATCATTTTGACAATAACTTATACATACACATATAACACCTATTCGATTGAAGAAAAAAAATTGAATTATTATAAATTTATGAATATTTTTGATAACTTACCAACTAAACCAAAATACCGCCAGAAAAACATATTATTGTAAGATAAATATTTAAAACAGACGTTCAAGTAACTAAGTTATTCGTGGTTTTTCCCTTATACTTATAAATAGAAATAAAAAAGCAGTAAAATAAAGTAACAATTCCTGTCGATAGTCACCGAGTTACTCTTTCTTTTTTTTCTCTTCCCCTCCCTTTTTCCTTCTTCTCCTTCTTCTTCTTTTTTTTGCGTTTTCCGTATCCTATAGATTTCTTGAAAGAAATAATATAACGATGAAGACGACATCACTAACAATATAAATATATTACGTACGTCATCGAAGAAAAGGCAAAAAGAAAATTCCCTCGATAGTTTTAGCAAATAAACCAGATTTTTGAAGAAAAATATAGTTGCTTTGTGTTTTTTTTCGCTTTGGTTACGATAAATGCATTCATTCAAATCAAACTAAAATTGTTTTCCTTATTCATTCAAGGACATTATATTTACATTCATTACACTTAAGAGAAACTCTTTTACAATTTCTATGATAGTTATTTAAGGATAAGAAAAAATATTTATTCTTGATTGCTTTCTTATTGTATAGAAAACTTCATGTTCAATTCGATTATAATGATAATTTGGTCAAATAATATGCAATTGATAAAGAGCAAAGAGCATAATAGAGATTAAATAAAGAGACATTTATATATTTATTAAGACCACTTAATAAAATGGTTTTTTTTATATTCCTTTTGTAAATATATGATAATAAGAAAATAGTTCTGTCTATATTATAAATTAAAATTTATAAATGTTTAATTAACTTTTCTATCAAATGAATGAAAATATTCTTTTACTATCTATACATATATTTAAATCTATAAGAAATTATTTGATACAATTCATGCATCGAACAGATCGGATTCCAGCGCCATCATCATAAACATTTGTGTTCAATAATTAACCAATGAATATTTCATATATGTGTGAGTCATCCAATAATGTGGCTTGTTTTGTTCTATAAGAAAAACTTTCGTGTTCGATAGAGAAAGGTACTTTTTTTGTAATCCCTTTCGATAGATTGGCTCACCTTTCAATAAAAATAAAATTATTTTCGACACCTAATACCTTGTTTCAGAGCTATAAAACCACATGATCCTAACATTTGCATAACTCTCATTTAGTCAAGTATATATTAACAAAAACATCATTATGTCAACAACTCATCGTCGTGATATAAATGCAGCAGCAGCTGCCGGAACTGTAGGTGGTGTACGTGGTGTAATTGCTGGTAAAAATCATTAATTATTGAAGATCGAAATAAAAATAATATTGATATATGATTTTTCAGGTGGAATAACTGGTGCTATTGAAATCTGTATAACATTTCCAACTGAATTTGTTAAAACACAATTGCAATTAGATGAAGGAGGAAGTAGACGTGGTGAACCACGACAATTCAATGGTATTGTCGATTGTGTCAAAAAAACAGTACATAGTCGTGGTTTTTTTGGTCTTTATCGTGGTCTTAGTGTACTTTTATATGGATCAATACCTAAAAGTGGTGTTCGGTAAGAATTAATGAATGAAAATTCAACTGAAATCTTTTTTTTTGTTCTTTTCTCTAAAAAAGCTTTGGAGCTTTTGAAGAACTTAAAAAACATGCTGTTGATTCAAATGGTCAATTAAATACAAAAACTCGACTTTTATGTGGTTTAGGTGCTGGTGTAAGTTATACAAATAGATAGATATAAATATAATATTATATGAGTTTTATTTTTATCTTTAGATAGCCGAAGCTATATTTGCTGTTACACCAATGGAAACAGTTAAAGTTAAATTTATTCAAGATCAAAGTTTAGCTAAACCTAATTATCGTGGATTTTTTCATGGTGTTCGTGAAATTATACGAACAGAAGGTTATTATTTTCTAGTAAATTTTGATTTATTGTTTAATTTATTTATATTATAGGTATTCGAGGTACTTATCAAGGTTTAACAGCAACAATGCTTAAACAAGGATCGAATCAAGCTATTCGATTTTTTGTTATGGAAACATTAAAAGAACAATATAGACATTATACAAATAGAGCACCAAATGCACCAGTACCCATACTTGTTACAGGTATATTTGGTCTTATGGCTGGTGCAGCCAGTGTTTTTGGTAATACACCACTTGATGTTGTTAAAACACGTATGCAAAGTCTTGAAGCTTCAAAATATAAAAATACATGGGATTGTGCTTCGCAAATCATGCGAAATGAAGGACCAAAAGCGTATGTGTTCAATGATTACAATATTGAATAGATTGATTAATGTTATTTTTCTTTTTTCAAATAGATTTTATAAAGGCACTGTACCACGCCTGGGCCGTGTTTGTGCCGATGTTGCAATAACATTTATGATTTATGATAAATTTATCGAAATGTTTAATCGTGTTTGGCCAAGCAAATAGATCTTTGCCTAGGTGCGTCCTTTTTTCGTCCTTGTCTTCCTTACATTCTGACACATGAATAAGGACGAACAAGGACGCATCTCTTTTCCTACCTGCTAAGAACGTTATCTTACACATATCATATCATATCATTATATTTATTATATCTCATTTTCTTCCGATAATTCTCTTAGAGGGTTTTTTTTGTCTTTTCGGTGATCGACTTTCCTAGTGTTAGTGTGCAAACCTTTTTATTTTAATAAAACAAAATTCGTTAACGTTGTATTATAATTATAACACTATTTATTTGTAGATTATTATACAAAATTTTCAAGAAATTATGCACAAGAAAGACGCAGATCTTGAGCATGCAAGTAATGACATTTTGAGATTTATTATTCATATACGCAATCACGACTGTAATGTCATTGAGATAAAAATATAAAAACATGACGTTATATAATTCATGAAAGTCATGGAATTTAGTAATACATTTTTAATGCATATGTTTTTTATCGTTCGAATCAAAAAAAACTATACTCGCATCCAATCACGTGTTATATTTCATAGTAACACCTATATGAATAGGTAGTGTTTGATAAATACAGAATGAGTAAAAAAGCAATTTATTTTTATATTTGCTTTTCATATGCCAATGATTGTAAGAAATAACTGAATCATATATATCTTATAGTAAAATTTAGAATTATCAATCTTTTATCATAAGCGTTTGTTGAAAAATGCCACTATGATAATTGAATTTTACTACATGACATTTACAGATATTTTCTAATTGAATTCATATGGTTTGTTTGTGATGTTATTTTCATAAAATAATATGAAATTCAAATTGTTTTGTAGATGTTAATCCCAGCAGATATTTAAATATTTAATTGAAAAGTATTTTTCTAGACATGAGAAATACTAATTAACTAGATTTCACAAGTTTTCTTAATATAAAATTACTCGATAATCTTCTGAATAATGAAGATAAACTGAATTGAATATCCTGTTTTTAACATGTTTTTCTAAAGATATAATATTACTCTGATGAAATAAGACTCTGTCTCTTTACTTTCAAAATAGAAATTCATGATTAATTAATAACAATACTAAAGAACGAGAATGTGAGTGTAGATCTATTCTTAATTTAGAATTTTATGTATTTTATCCTTAAAGATTCTGTACAAATATAAACACTTTTTTATTTATTTTAATAGTTGGATACAATGCAGGAGAACAACATCTTGGCAAACCAAAAGTAGATTGTCATGAAAATAATTTACCACCACAAGCTGGTACACATGGTCAACCTGAGAGTCATATTTCTGGTCAAGGAGGTCCAGAAATTCTGGGTGGTAAGTTTTGTAGGAAAAAAAAATATTTTATTATTATTATTATTATTATTAAAAGGATCAGCAAGTACACGTATAACTGGTCAATCAGTCGAGGAACAATTGAAAAATCCATTACCAACACATAGTACCAAATAAATAAACACTTTTTTATTAGTTTTTATGATAACCAAGCATATTCATAATGTTTTTTTCAAGTTGTAATGTTTGTTGTAGTTGAGGATGTTCAGAAGAAAATATATTTCTTTGAATATCTAATGCTTTTTCAATGTTGATATGTGCATGATAAAGATTTTGTTGGTCAAAATAAATTAAAGCAAGATTATAATATGATATTGCTATATCTTGGTGATTGTTTGATAAAGATTCTTGACGAATTTCTAATGCAGCTTTATAATATTCTAATGCACGTTCAAGATCATTAGACAATCCATTTGAATAGTGTGCTAATTTTTGATAAATACGTCCTAAATTCGTTAAACTTGTTGCTATATCTGGATGATTTGGTGGCAAAAATTTTATTCGTATATTGTAAGCTTTTTCTTGATATTTAAGTGCATGATTTGAATCATCATTATCAGTATAAAGACAACCAATATTATTATATATCCAAACTAAATTTAATTCATTATCTAATGATAATTTTTTAAGTATAGATAAAGTACGGTTATAATAATCAAGAGCACTTGCATAATTTTTTTGTTGATGATAAACTATACCAATAGCCATAAATAAATTTGAAAGTGTATCTTGTGAAGTTATATTGTTTTTATTAATAGCTTTTAAATAATAATCTAAAGCTAAATCATATTCACCATTTTTTTGATAAATATTTCCAATTTTTAATGATACTTTAGCATACTGATTGTGATCATGTTTTATAGACTCTAATGCTTGTTTATAATAATTTAATGCTTGTTTAGTATCATTTTTTAAATCATATGCAGTACCTAAATTATCTAGCGTGTGATTAATTTCATTTTGATATTTGGATGATTCATTATTATTATAATAATTCAATGCTTTTAAATGATATTCAATAGCTTGATCATGATTCTTTTCATCAATATATAAGAATCCAATATTATTATAACATGCAGGTACTTTTGTTTGTTTATCTGGATTATTCTCATAGATAGATAATGAACGTTGAAAGAAATCATATGCTTGTTTATATTCATGTAATTTTTGATAGATAAGTCCAAGATTATTACAACTATCTCCAAAATTTGGATGATTTGTTGGTAAAATTTTTTCACGTATATTAAATGCTTTTAAACAATAATCTAATGATTGTTTATATTCTCTAATATAATAATAAACTAAACCAGTATTATTATAATTTGTTGCCATTAATGGATGATCAATTGTTGGTAAATATTCTTCATAATATTTCATAGCACGTAATAAATATTTCAATGCATTTTCATAATCACACTTATGAGTATAAATAACACCAATAACATTATCAGTATTAGCCACAAGTGATTTATCAATATCAGAATATTTTTTATAAATTTTTCTAACTTCAAATAAATAATCAAATGCTAAATCATATTTTTTTTGTTCCATATAAACTAAACCAAGATTATTCATTGTTCGAGCTAAATCAATTTCATTTTTCGATGTTTGTTGACGTTGTAAATCATAAACAATTTTAAAATCTTTTAATGCTTCTTCAAAAAGACCTTTGAAATATTTTATACGACCAATATTTGTATAAATTGAAATTTTATCATCAATTGTATTCGATGTTAGTAAATTTTCAAAATAAATTTCTGCTTGTTTATATTGACCCATTTCAGTTAATAATAAACCAAATATAAGAACAATATTACCTTTTTCCATTTCACGTCTATTTTCTTTAATATATGTTTCAATAATTTGTCTACCTTCATTAGTCAGATTCATTTTTATAATCCAAATATTTTTTTCATCATCAAAATAAACTTCATTGATTTTAAATGCACAACCTATATCAAATAAAATTTCTTGTTCTTCAGGATAAACACTTAACGAAGATATATCAGCAAAAATAGCATGATCAATACGTGTATCAGCTTCAATAATAAACAATGCTGGTACAATATCAGCAGAACGTTTCGATTTTTTTAAAGCAAATTCAATAGCTAAATCATAATTTTGACTTGTTGATAAAAATCCATTTGTTGATATTAATGAACTAATATTTGATTTAAAACGATTTATTTCATCATTAGTTAATTTTAAACCACGATAAAGTGTTATAATTGGATTATTTTCATGTTGTTTTTTAAATAAATCATATTCAATAGCTAAACGTTTACATAAATCATGTATATAATAACGAAATATATATAACAATTCAATATCTTCTGTTCGTAATGCTTTATTACATAGGCGATAAATAAAACATTGTTTTGTATACCAATAAATTGTATCAGAACTTGTATATGTTTCATCAAATTCTTTAATTAATCGAAGTTCTTCAATATTACCACGATAAAAATGTTTACATTGATCAATCATTTCTTTTTTTGCTTGTTCAGAATGTGACATTTGAAGAAGAATATCTTTAAATAATTGAAACCATAGAAAAGAAGCTGATTCATTTGATAAATCTCTTGTCGTCTTCTCATTTTTATATAAACTAAATGTTGCTAATTGATTATGTAAATCATTTAATTCTTCACGTACAGATTTTATTAATTCATCTTCAGTATTAAATACATTAATTAATTTAGAATATTTCTTCGTATCAACAAATTCACTTTTATATTTATCTAAATTCTTACAAAATATAAATATTGAATCAATTTGTGTTAAATCATGAATTTCATCTAGACATTGTTCAGCATAAACACCAGATATTATTAAAAATATTCGTTCAGTATTAATTGATCGAATATACGTTACACATGGTTCAATTTCTGTATAAAGAAGAACGTAATTAGTCACTTCACGTAAAGTTGTTCGTAAAGTATCGATGGTTTTATCAAGCCAAATTAATGTTACATCCTCTTTATTTTCTATAGAAGGTGAATCGGATGTTGTAACCGCTGTTAAATTCGATAATCGAACTGATTTCGATGCTGCATTTGTACTATTATCATTACCCATGGGTTATATTTTTCGTATGTATATACACAATAAGAAATATCTTGTTTTGCTCTTGTTTTGTTCTATAGTTACGTCTACTACGTCATCAATTATACTAAATCACCTTATTTCACAATAAATAATATTTACGCATTCGAATTATTAATACAAACAATAGATAAGAAATTCGTTTTTTGAATATTTTGAAGTAATCGGAAGTATTAATATCTCTGTATTTAGTTAATTATAGTAGAAGTACATTTGTTTAGTCATGCAATTGAATTATTTACCTTCTAAAAACTATATCACGAGAGGATATTTTTATTTAAACGTTAAGTTTCGTTATTTATATCACAATAATTAAGAAGTTTTAAGATTTTTCGAGGTACCGAAAGTGTTCTATATAGAATACTTGTTAAAATCGTTATGACTTTAAAATTTTATTCTCAAATATTCACCGGTACTTCTTTATTTGTAATAACGTGTTTAAAAGACTTACCACATCGTCACCCTCAAAATAATACTACATCACATGCAAGCTTACAATCTATATTTATTGTAAATTAGTCGATTTTCGAAAAAAAAAATATGAATATCATTATCTGATAAATCTATTTTATATTATTTATATTGTATTTTTCTATCAGTTTCGATTTTATTTAGTATCATTCGATACAAATCAATAATGATTAAACGATGATAAAGTATTCTACCAATTACTGTAGAATCGACTAACACCACGTTTCCAGATTTCTTGATCTTCTCTATACAATAATAATAATAAATAAATAAATCAATTAGTTTCTTTTTGTTATTTTTACTTTTTTTCATCAAATCTTCCATTATTTATTTCACGAAGAACTAGAACGAAAATTAATAACAAAAAATATTCTTCTATAAAAATAAATCTTACAATAACATAATCGAGATTTTCGAAACATACACATATTTATATAATCGATATTTCTTAATGATGCTTTATGACGTTTAACTGATTCTGGTAATACATTTCCACATTGAACGAGACCTAGAAATAAAGACTTTTATTTATTTTTCTACACATTCAAATAATTTGTACGTACTAGAAGATAGGACAAATAATGCAATTACAGTGAAACAGAAATATCGAAAGAATTCTTGCATATTTTATAATCTATAAAATAGATTATTTGTTTGAGTATGAATAAACAACAAAAGAAAAACGTTTTCGTTATAGAAATGAATGTTCTTATTCTAGTATGTATTACACGTCTAAAATATAATATATAAGTGAGAGTATGAGTGGTCGTATTTTCAATTACCTATCCTATTTATTGCATGTTGCCAAAGTCGATTTACACACGCAATAAAAACTATGCCCCCAATTACGTTTCTCTGGACATAAACTGATTAACTTTTTACTATATTCTTTCCATTTAATTATGTAATTTAGATAAAAAAAACAAATGATTTATTTGGATCAGATTAAAAATCTGATGTTGAACTTCAAATTTTTGTAAATAAATAGGTTAGCAAGTGAAAAATGATTTCGTAGATCTTTGCTAATTGTTATTGTAAAGATTTAGTAACATATACTGTAACTATGATTGATGATATGCATATTATCGTATTACATTAGTCTCATGCGAAGTGAAAGGCGTATTTAGATAACCTATATCGTCATTTGATAGTTGAAAGTATCAATTCTATGTTTTGCTAGAGATTGGCTTAAGTTATAGGTAACATATACGATACTTATGGATATTCTTGTTGTTGTTCTTATAAGAAGATCCTTGGTTTTCATGGTTGATCAATTAAAATTTCTTGTATCTTGAATTTCAGCGAAGAATCGTTTTTCTCATATTAAAGAGAACTTTGCTTGAACTTTAAGAATTAGAAAATATCTTATACATCGTGGTACATCCTTAGTTTTTCAATCAATCAGACAAGACTCTTTTCTTTTCTCTCAAAAAAGTACTTTGTCTGAATATCAAGATTAATAAGAATATTGACTGATCAATCAAGATAAACAATGATCTTCTCAAATCAACAACAATAACATCGATAAGTATCGTATTTATTACTCGCTTTTCTATAAATATATTACCTATAGTTTAAGCCACTCTCTAGCAAAAATAAAACTGACACTTTCAACTGTCGAATAATGAAAAAAGGTTAATTAAACCCACCCTTTACTCATATGAGATGAATTTTTCATGAGTTAATATATGAAATCTTTGTATAGGCCTTATAAATATCAACATGTAAAATATTGGATAATAATTCTCATGGATTTTTTTTAGTCACAGTTCATTTTAATGAAAAAAAAGGATTTACATTATGTATTTTTACAAAAGAATTATATCTCTCTCTCTATTCAAGTTTAGAATATTAGTTCCAGGTCCTATTGATTATTCTTATCTCATATATCTTATCTTAAAATGATCTATAATGACAAAAAACAAATTTTTTACTATTCAATCATATGAAAATTAATTATCATTCGATGATTAAATTTAATCAAAACAAGAATACATGATTATTATATTCTCTAATTAATTATTGAACAATCAGATTGAAATGTCTCATTGTGTACATATGAATTATTAGAACAAAATTTGTATTTTTGCTTCAAAAAAATCATACAAGCATATACTCATATTTCTTTTTCCATAACTGTCACATTTACTAATGTATATTCTTGTTGAATATCAATTTTTTCTATTCAATTGGAAAAACAACCGCATTACAATGTATCATATTTATAGTTCATAATTTCGACAATGTTGAATGAGATTATTACAAATGAACAAAATATATGATTTCCAATATTTTTATCTAAAATTCAAGGTTATACAAAGAAAGAAAAGATGGACATGTAAAGATATCAAATCACACGTCTATTTTTTTTGCGTTGTTTTATATGTCTTTCAAAACTCATTCATTTTCCCATTAGGACATAAGAAAACGAGACAATGTCGTACAATCTGACTGTCTAATCAAAAAAGCAAATCACTTCGCTTCACTGACAACTTGAATATAAACGAGGACTCAAAAAAAAAAGAAGAAGAAGACAGATAAAAGAGAAACAAATGTTAATTACTAATAACATATAATCCGAGTGAGAACACATTTGTTCAATCTAAAAAACTATATATATATATAAGAAAGAAAGAAATCTATCTTATTTGACTAAATAAAAATAAATAACAAAAAGAGAGACTCGAAGAACAAAGAAAAATATGAATAGATATTACTGATTTTCATTTATTTGGTTTCTTCATATAGATAAGAAATCCAATAACAACAACAACATATATTTTTTTGTTGTTGTCGATTTTTAGAAGAATTTTCTTGTACAGCAATCATTCAGACCGTTAACATCGGTTCAGTTATTGCCAGTAGGCATCGTCGACACACAATGAGTTCGACAACACCTGGTCAGTCATCATCATTAATGTCTATGATTGCAAATAGAAAACCATTATCACCTAGTCCAAGTACAACATTAGAAATAAATAATGATGTTAAAATAATGACATCAGATGATAATATTTCACATTTAACTACAGCACCATTAGCAAGAGAATTTTCAAGTGGATTTAATTATCAAACATTAGCTGAAACATCACCATTAAATCAAACAAAAAATTCCGCTAAACCATTAGTACGTTCACATAGTTCAACAAATGCTGAACTTAGTTATCATTTACAACAATTAAAAAATTTAAGTAAACGTAAAACAACATTCAGTGGTGATAATCAAAATAATGAAGATTGTATTCATTTAACATCATCAAATTTAAAAATCATATGTACTGAAGATGGTAAAGAATCATTAATACATTCAACAATTGAATTAAAAACGACTGAAACAAGTATTGAATTACCTGTTTCATGGAAACCAGCTATACAACAAGTTACGATTCAAAGAGAATCATGGGATCATAAAATTGAATTTCTTCTTGCTGTTATTGGTTATGCTGTTGATTTAGGTAATGTTTGGCGTTTTCCAACAACTGTTTATTCAAATGGTGGTGGAGCATTTTTTATACCTTATTTTATTCTTTTAATCTTCGGTGGTTTACCATTATTTTAGTATGTATAATTAAATATTCAAACTATTATTTGATTTTTCTCTCTTCATAGTATGGAACTTGCTCTTGGTCAATATCATCGATCCGGTGTATTTACTATATGGAAATATGTAATTTCTTTCTATTTTTTTGTCCATTGAATTATCATTGAAATTTATTGATAGATTTGTCCATTAGCTAAAGGTATTGGTTGGGCAACAGTATTAATTAATTTTATGACAGCAATGTTCTACAATACAATTATATCATGGGCTGTTTATTATTTAGTTATGTCATTTAATGGTTTACGTACTGAATTACCATGGAAAGGTTGTCATCATGCATGGAATACAGAATGTTGTGTTGCAGCAGATGTAAAAGAATATCAATATTTATCTAAATTAGCTAATGTAACAAAAGGAGTTTTTAATACAACACGAACTATCAATCGTCCAGGATCTTTATTTACAACAACAACAACAACAACACTTGCACCAATAGTAAGAAATTGCAGTAGATTAGTCTATTCAACTGAAGAATATTTTTAGTAAGTTTTCGAAACGTTTTTTTTCTTTTGTCTTATAAAAATCAAATGTATTTTTAGTCGACGTCTTCAAGAAGTAGACAAAGCAGATGGATTTAATAATTTAGGAAAAGTCAAATGGGAACTTGCATTAAGTCTTTTCGTCGTTTTTATATTTGTCTATTTTGCTCTTTGGAAAGGCATTAAAAGTTCAGGAAAAGTTTGTTTAAATTATTATTATTATTACAGGATATTTATTTCGTTTCTTTAGGCTGTATGGATTACAGCAATAGCTCCATATGCGGTTTTACTTATTCTATTAGTTCGTGGTATTACTTTGTCGGGTTCATCTATCGGTATAAAATATTATCTTAAACCTAATATGGAATTATTGAAAAATTTTTCAATTTGGAATGCAGCTGCTACTCAAATATTTTTTTCGCTTGGTCCAGGTTTTGGTGTTCTAATAGCTTTATCTTCATATAATAAATTTCATAATAATTGCTATCGGTAGATAGAATTTGTTTTGTTTGTTCGTATGTATTTTTTCTATTTTTGACATATAGAGATGCATTAATAACAAGTACAATCAATTGTGCAACATCAATTTTATCAGGTTTTGTTGTTTTTTCAACACTTGGTCATATGGCTGAAGTATCGAAGAAAACTATTGAACAAGTTATTGAGGATAAAGGTAATTACAAATTTTTGATATTTAAGTGTAAATGTTTTAGTAAAATACTAGGCTCGGAACTTGTTTTTATTGTGTATCCACATACAATTGCATTAATGAATTGGTCAACATTATGGGCTGTACTTTTCTTCTTTATGGTGATTACATTGGGTATTGATAGTACAGTGAGTTATCTAGATTTTCCTTTGTTAATTAAATGAATACATATATATATATATATAGTTCGGTGGTCTTGAATCAATCATAACCGGTTTATGTGATGAATTTCCTAATCTTTTGGGTCGTCATCGTTCATTATTTGTACTTGGAGTTTTAGTTATATCTTATTTAGGTGCATTACCAACATGTACTTATGGTGGTGATTATATAGTTACATTAATGAATGAAATAGCTGTTGCTCCAGCTCTTCTTCTTGTCGTATTTATTGAATGTATTGCTGTCTCATGGTTTTATGGTAAAAAAAATCTCAATCGAACAATATTCATCTAATATATTTTTAATTTCTATAGGTGTTAATCGATTTTCATTTGATATTAAGGCAATGATTGGTACACGACCATCATTATTTTGGAGAGTTGTTTGGTATGTTGTTAGTCCATTATTTTTACTTGTAAGTTTACATTTATTTAATATTAAAGATTTTTTTCTTTGTTATTTTTATAATAGACGATATTTTGTGCTGCTATGAATAATTTTCTTTTTGGTCAAATTTTAATTAAAAAAGTAGATTTATCAGATTTACCACTTAATGTTCGAATATGGTCTAATCTTATGGTATTTTTACCAATGCTATGTATTCCAGGTTATGCGATATATAAATTAATTGTAACGCCAGGAAAAACTTTTGATGAAGTAAAATTAATTCTTTATTTGATTAAAAAATAAAATTCTTATTTTATTTTATCTTCTAGCGTCTTCAACGAGCAGCTAAACCTGAAGAACCATTACTTGAACTCTTGAATTCACGATCAGCTAATGGTCAACAACCACCACAGGAAATAGTTGAAGCTCTTTAATTATCTGATATATTGTCATATTTATTCACTAATCTCTTTATTTTTGTTGTTTGTAAAAAAAATAAATGTATCCTGAAATTAATTTATATCAATAAACCATACCTTTCCCATATGTGTATAATTTAAAAAGTTTGTTAAGCACTCATCTTTTCACCATGAATATTAATTATATAGAACAATTGAAGCTATAAGTGTTCAAGCTTTAAATTGTTTCTAAAAACCAATGGTAGAAATGCAGTACAATGTCTTTTGATTAGTTATGTTCGATGTGAAAATGTAAAAACAAGAAAAACTTTGAATTTTTCTTTGAAAATCTTAAAAAGCTTTTAAGAATCAGTTTTCGTCGCATTAAATATATTTTTATAAGAAACATTTAAATCTTGAGGGTAGGTATAGGCGTGGATGTGTACTAGGTGAATACGGTATCAATACCCAGACCCACAGCTACACCCATGAACGAAGTAATCTGTTTTGTGAATACCCGCACAATTCGCAAGTTCCATAGAAAAGAGTCATTTTTTTGTCAAAATTCAATTTGCAATAAAAAAAGACCGAAAACTATATTTGACTATAGAAATAAAATAATATAAGTATTTTGTGTTTGAATAGCAGTATGTTGTCGATTTTTATAAATTATAATGTCTTTGATAAAATAACTACTTCCAACATTCGAGTCTTCAACAACATCAAACATGAGAACAGAAAGAAAAAAAATTTCTTTTCACGGATTATTTTAGTGACTGATAATAGCACTAATACTTAACCATTTCTTTTTCGTTCTCTGCGTATTACTAAGAATAGAAAAATAAATCTCTATAGGAAGTAGAGACACTATAAAATGAGCCACTTTCATAGTCCTTTCATTCACAAATTTTTTCAAGCTACTCAAATACAATACATTCATATTACACATAACAAATAATTACAGTCAATGGCAACTAGCAAACCAAGTGGTACAAAAAAAATTCATCCAACATCTGGAGTTTCTATGCGTGCAACTAACATTCGACGTATGAACATGCAAAGAATGCAAAATGTCCTCCTTATCTGGCTGGACAGCAATATAAATGACAATAATGCTGGTTGTAATAATACAATCAAGCAATTAAAACGTGTTGTTAACAACATAAACACGTTTACTAATGGTAAAGAATGTGTTGAATTTATTCAAACCATCACCAACAACAAAGTATGTATGATTGTTTCTGGTTCACTTGGACAACATATTGTGCCTCATGTGCATGATATGTCCCAAGTAGACACCATTTTTATTTTTTGTGACAATCAACAATGGCATAAACAATGGGCAGAAGAATGGTCCAAAATAAAAGGAGTCTTCACAGATATAACATCAATCTGTGAAGCTCTCAAGCAAGCTGCTCACCAATGTGAGCAAAATGCCACATCAATCAGCTTTGTAGCATCAAACAAGAAATTGGATCAATTAGATCCATCATTTATGTATACTCTGATCTTGAAAGAGATCTTATTAACCATCAAATTCGAAGACAAACATTTCAAAGAATTTATTACTTATTGTCGTGAAGTATTTGATGATAATGAAAAAGGATTAAAAAATGTTCGTCAGTTACAAACAACATACAAAAACAACATACCTATATGGTGGTATACATGGAATGCATTTTTATATCGTATGCTCAATCAAGCATTACGATTAATGGATGCTGATATTATTGTTCGAATGGGTTTCTTTATTAATGATCTACATCATGATATTCAACGGCTACATTCAGAACAATTCGATGGGCATCTATCAGGTACGACATTTACAGTTTATCGTGGACAAGGTCTTTCAAAAGAAGATTTCACTGAAATGACAAAAACTAAAGGTGGACTTCTTTCATTTAATAACTTTTTATCAACTAGTAAAAATCAAGATGTTTCTCTTTCTTTCGCTCAACAAACTACCACAAATCCTGATCTTGTTGGAATTCTATTTGTTATGTCGATTGATCCTACAGATTCAACAACTCCATTTGCTGATGTTACAGATGTTAGTTATTTTCATACAGAAGATGAAGTTCTCTTTTCTATGCATACCATTTTTCGTATTGGTGATATTAAACCAATGGATGGAAATAATCATCTCTATAAAGTGAATTTAACATTAATCAATGATAATGATCAAGATCTTCGTACTCTTACTGATCGTATTCGACAAGAGACCTCTCCAAATTCGGCAGGATGGTACAGATTAGGATTATTGCTATTAAAAATGGGTTACTTTAACAGGGCTCAAGAAGTTTACGAAATTTTACTTCATCACACATTAAGTGAAAGTAACAAGGGGCCTATTTATCATCGACTAGGTTGGATCAAATATAATCAAGGAGAATACCAAGAAGCACTTACATACTATGAAAGATCACTTGCTATCTACGAAAAAACACTTCCTTCCACTGATATTAATTTGGGCAATATCTATAACGACATCGGTGTGGTGTATGAAGATATAGGTGATTATCCAAAAGCACTCTCCTCTCATGAAAAAGCTCTTGCAATCAAACAACAATCACTTCCTCCCAATCATCCTGATTTGGGTGTTTGCTATAACAACATCGGTTTGGTGTATCACAGTATGGGTGATTATACAAAAGCACTTTTATCTCATGAAAAAGCCCTTGCTATTCGACAACAATCACTTCCTTCCAATCATCCTGATTTGGGTGCTTCCTATAACAACATCGGTAGTGTGTATGATAGCATGGGTAATTATCTGAAAGCACTCTCCTCTTATGAAAAAGCTCTTACAATCAAACAACAATCACTTCCTCCCAATCATCCTAGTTTGGGTGGTTCCTATTACAACATCGGTAATGTGTATTACAACATGGGTGATTATCCAAAAGCACTTTCATCTTACGAAAAAGCACTTGAAATCCAACAACAATCACTTCCTTCCAATCATCCAGATTTGGTTTCTTCCTACATGGGCATCGGTTTAGTATATGACAGCATGCGTGATTATCCAAAAGCACTTTCTAATTATGAAAAGGCCTTTGCAATCAAACAACAATCACTACCTTCCAATCATCCTAGTTTGAGTGCTTCCTATAACAACATCGGTACGGTGTATGCGAAGATGGATAACTATTCAAAAGCTCATTCATTTTTTGAACGTGCTGTACAAAATGCACAACAATCATTACCAGCGAATCATCCTGATCTTAAAATATATACAGAAAATCTCGAACGCATAAAAAAGAAATTATAATTTCTTTCTGTCTTTTTTTTTCGAAGAAAAATAAAACTGATGAAAATGAAAATGTGTCTCTATTGAAACTCTGTTCTTGTTGAGAATAAAATATGAGTAGTAACGCTCACCAGTAAGATAAATAATACATATTGGAAAGATATAAATTGTAGAAAAGATCTTCATGGTTGTATTATTATGTCTGAACAAGTAGAGTTTCGTTGTGTTAGATAAGAAAGAAAGAAACTCAGCAGAAATATAGAAGGAGAGAAAAAGTTTATTTTATCAATAGAATAGACTATTCTTTCTGTTTCAATATCAAAGAATAGCTCATACCATCGATAAGCTCATCCATGTTAAACGAATAGAATATCTGTATATATAAGAAAGTAACTGAGGAACAGAATCAAAACTTTCATATACTAAAAATATATATGTATATGAAATTATATCTTGGTCTATCTCAATGGTGATATCGATTGATGACATGAGCTTATATAGACGACTAATTTCAATATATGGGTAACCCAGCAGTTGAGCCCCAGATATAGAGAACATAATAGAGAACAGAGAAAATTCATATGTGATTTATTAGATGAATTTTAAAGTGAAGCACACAGATATGCGAAATGTTTCGATGAGTGTGGGTGAGGGACCTGCGGAGTCACCTTTTTTTGACTCCGATTCCGTCGGAGTCATAATCGGGTTTCGGAGTACTCCGCAGCTCCTTAGTGTGGGTGTTGTGTAAGGTTATTCTCATCCACATACACACATCCACACTCTCACCTACACCAATACTCACGCCAACACTCACATCCACACCCACCCTTATGTTAAATTCGTGATCGTATTTGTTCTGTGTTAAATACAAAACAGAATTTGTATTACAGATTCTGCCAGTGAAGTTCTATATATCTTGCAGTCTCTAAATAATATAAAAGAAAGAACTTGTAGTTTACTAAATTAGTTTTTCCCATTTTTGAAAGTATCAAATATCCTTTGATAAAGATTTTAAGTGCAACCGTTTCCTGTTTTCTTCAACCGTGTTTTGGGAAAACCAGTACAATAGCCACCAGAATCACTTGTATGTGTATATATTTATTACAAAATTGTACGAACACATAACTAGTAAGTAAATATTCTATTTGATTGACGTCAAAGTTAGTTCAAATTGGAGAAAATAATGATATTTTCCTGTCTTGATTTTCTATGAACGAGGATGAATATTCATTAATTTTCTGCACCCAAATCCTAAATATATAAAACTTCAAGTTTTCCTTATCTTTTTAGCTAAAAAGGAAAGTATTCTCTATCCTTATTGATTTATTTTTGAATCGACGTTATGCAGTAAGACATGCATTTATATTATAATTATAATTAGGTAGTTCACGTATAATTTATACTTTTTATTGAATGTAATAAACAGTTAATAAAGCAAAATTACTAATTGGTTAAAATATTTCATATATGTTAGTAATCAAATGTTGTAAGACTATGATATAACTTAATATTTACTAACTAATTCATTATATCTAGCTGACTGCACATAGCCGCTTGCATTCTATTGAGTCATATGAAATAATATCATTCTTATTCGGATGCCAAAATTAACAATAATCAGTTTCGCAACGAATGAAACGGCAAAAAATATGAAGTGAAATGAAGCATCTACCTTTCATTTAGTTGACTCTTTGTGAAGATATGAGTTTATTTCAATGTGAATGTAAATGAACAAAGGAAATGAAAAAACTGATGATTAAACATACACGCACAGACGTATATATACTCAGAAACGAGAACAAGAAATACACATGGCTCATGAATTCTAAGCACATGCAAATGACTCAAGAATCTTATTATACGTATTTAACTCAGGAATGTATGTATGACTTAAAGAGAAGAAAAGAAAGAGAATGATGTGTCATGGCTGAAGAACATGATACTCTTGAAAATTACCAACTGCAGAATATTGTTTTCAATCTTTTCTGTTTACACTGTTCTTCGATTTTATGTTGATCCAGAAAGAAAAGAAAATTTGTAATGTTGTTGGATTCTTCCTACCGAGTAAACAAAGCAGCAAGGAAAAAACACCAAAAAGTGGGTATATTTTTTTTTGGTTGCCAATAAATACAGGTGGTTACCTTATAATTTCTCATTTTATTGTCAATATCATTTCCAAGGTTGATGAATACCGATCGTAAGTATTTCACATAGTATGATATTTCTTTTCTTTTTCTTGTAATTGTTCAAAATGTTTTGTAAATCTTATATGATAAAACTATATGAACCATTAAAGTTCGTATGTTGCCGATTTAAATGTAATCAGTACTTCACTCAGCCGTATATATATCATTCGTTGACTATTGTAAATTAAAAAAAATAATGCAGCAACCGTTACAAGCATTATATTAGAAAGATTTATGTTTGAAACTGAGAATTTTTTTACAATCAATGATTATTATGCAGTTAAATAGTGTTAAGATCTTAATTAAATGTTATAGAATTTTGCAATTTCTTAAATATACTTTCACGGACAACGATCCCATCACCTGAAATGACCCGAAGCCTTGGAAGAAACCATCTTGAGGGTCAGCGTGGGCACACGTGGGTGAGAGTGTAAGTGTAGATGATCCTATCTGAATTCATGCCAATACTCAGCCACACTAACACTCACATCCTTTTCTTTTGTAGTAGAACATTATAATATGAATCGTACAATATACGATAGTTTCTTTTCTGATATACAACAAATCATGCGATTTTATTAGAATCTTAATCAGTCGTTATAATAACATATTGATTTCTCGAACAAGTATACACAGAAAGAAAAGGTGTTTACTCGTAATGTGTTTTTCAAATACAGTTGTTTGATAGTTTCAATAGATCAAGAACTATGGTAAAGATCCTATAAGGCAGATACGTGGCCAGCTCTTTCCCACACGCACACCCTCCACTATAGTCACAACGTATCCTGAGAATTTCATGTGACTTGCATGTACGTGATCCGAAATGGGGTGGTGAAGGTGAGGACCTTACTTAGAGTTAAACCAATCACAAGAGCAGAACAAAATAGATCACGGTGTATCGACTATAATGAGGGGGTGGGTAGTGGATGGAAATGAAGAGAGAAGTGTCACGTCTACTCACCCACATCCTCAAGAATTTCAGTTTCAAGAAACGTTTCTTCTTTAATAAGAATCGATGTATTGAGTTCCTAATGCTAAAAATATTTGCATCCTCAGAATGTCATAGAAAAAGGATTGAGTGTCAAAGTTATAAAATTATAAATTTTTTTATTTAGGAACAGCAATAGTTATGTCCAAGGTTAAAGTTTTAATGCAGCACAAACTAGCTCCAAATCCAAATCCGCCACGAATTAAGCCAACTGCTATCGTTATGGGGCGAACAGGAGCGGGAAAAACGACGTTGTATAATTTACTTTGTAGTACAGAGAATGATGCGGGTGCAGGAGCAGGAAGTGTGACGCAAAGCCTTTATCGTAATAACGTTAATTGTGGTGACAAGGCATTTCTTTTAATCGATACACCTGGAACAAACAGTTCATCGGAAACATACAAACATGCATTTTTGTTAAGAAGTGCTTTAGTAGCGACAAAAATTAACACAGCTTTTATTATTACTAAATATGAATCTCGTTTTGATACTATGCTGGAAAACTGCTATGAAGTAGAAAGACCTATTTATGATTATGATAAAAACATTGTTGTTATGATTTCTCATTGGGATCATTCTGAAAATCCAAAAAAAGATTACGATACAATTTGCGAATTATTTAAAGATTATTGTACAAATATAATATTTTATTCGAAAAATAGTTGGTCTCCGGAAATTTCAGGTTTCATGTATAATTGTATATCGAACATGGAACCAATACAAATTATAATAACAGACGAAGATTTCTTTCTCAAAATTCAACGTCACTGAAATAAAACTTAAAATGAGAGATTCTTTCAATGTATATGACAAGACAGCAGATAAGCTTTTTCAAGAATATTCAGCACTTGCTGTTAAAGCTAAGTCGATGTCTTCTGACGAGCAGGATGAAATTTTTCATATGCTCATTGTGGAGTTTAAGAATGAAATGGAAAAGTTATTAGAAGAATTTAAAATAAAACATGGCGCGGCGATGCAACATTTAGATTATTATACATTTTATATTAAAATGCAACAGAAAAATGTTAAAATTTGTGATGATTTTGTCGAACAAGTTCATCCATTTATGTCTTACAATTTATTCGATAATAAAGATCCTCGAAATCTAATCAAAAAATGTCCTAATTGCCATTTGATTTGGTACAAGACGGAAGGTTGTGATGGTGTCACAATCTGCGGTAACAGTCAATTTGATAATTACTACGATGTAAATACAAAACCATTTTGGAAATATATATTGAAACGACAAATAAATGGAGAACTTGCATGGGAAAAAAATACGATGGAAAAAAAGCCACTCATCAAATCAGCTGAAACGAATACAACTTCGAAAAGAATGGGCTGTTCACAACGCATGGTATGGAGTGAACTTCCAAAACTTGAAGATCATTTACTTCTTGAATTGTTCAAAGTAAAAACCATCGATGAAGCAAAGCAATTAATTCGAGAAGATGAAGAATTCAACAAAATTAGAAAAAACTATGAGGCAAATATTGATTCGACTTTTCATTCTTAATATTATTTTATATCTTTAATCAAGAAAATAAACTACATCTTATATAGCCATAATAAGATAAATAAAACGAAATGATTTTCTTCACAGATGTGAGTGTGTCTACAAGATAATTCTAAGCTATTTACGACGTGTTTCGATCCTTGCTTAAGGGATTATCATCAGGTAAATTTGGAATATTTCATATATTGCATACAAAATTCATCTCAAATCAGTAGAAAGATATATAGAAATTAGAGACTTTTAACAACAATCTAATGTTTAAAATAGAAAATCGAAGAATCGCCAGGGGTGGGTGTGGATGCTAGGTGAATATAGTAGCAACACCTACATCCACACCTACACCCTAACATAATTAAGAAGATGTAAAGCTTTACAAGAGTTTACACCTAATCATTATCCAATGACAAGTAGATGAGAATGGTCAATTAGATGGTTGCATTATAGCTTATTTATTTATTTCAAACATACGATTAGTGTGGAAGCAAAATAATACGTGAAGGAACATTTATGAATTTTAAAAAGATAGTGTTACTAGATTTTTTTTGATTTATCGAAATGCGCACGTTTGTTGATCTTTCATATTTCTGATAACATTATATTAGTCATAGAACATGCATACACGTAGTCTTTGACTTATGAAAATAAAAAGAAGGTAAAGAACAAGTGAGTATGTACGTAGATGTAACTGTAGATGTTCATAAGGAACAGATAATTACTCACGCCAACTCCCTCATCCATCGACACCGACAACCTCACACTCACAAGCACTCTATGAACATACAGGCTGTGTACAATATATATGATAATATAGATGCTGAAACGTGTTTTAATAAAGCTGGTAGCTGCGTGTGAGACATGGAGTGGTATTTCAGTTGCGAGGAGGATCGTGCATATCAGGTGGATGAACATGATGATGAATGCAGTGTTAAATAACTGAAGATTGTTATGTCGTTATCGTGAAAGAAGCAACTCGTTTTGTGAATATCCACATAACTCGCAAGTTCCATAGAAAAGAGTCATTTTTTGATCAAAATTCAATTTGCAATAAAAAAGACCATAGACTATATTTCATCATAGAAATAAAATAATATAAGTATTTTGTGTTTGAATAGCATCATCTTGTCAATTTTTATAAACTATAATGTCTGCCACAAAAGAACTATTTTCAACGTTCGAGTCTTCAGCAACATCAAACATGAGAACAGAAAGAAAAACAATTCTTGAAGATGGTTATTTTGTTTCATCAAAATGCGTAGTAAAATTTCTTTTCGCGGATTATTTTAGTGACTGGCAATCGCAAAAATACTTCACCATTTCTTTTTCATTCTCTGCTTATTACTAAGTAATGTCTGTGTTAATGTTTGTTCGTTTTTCATAACAACATGTACAATAATGGCTGAAAAAGGCGTTGTTGTCTAATTCAAAAGAAAAAAAAATAGAAAAATGAATCTCCATAGGAAGTGAGACACTATAAAATAAGATGCTTTCATAATTCTTTCATTCACAATTTTTTTCAAACTACCCAAATACAACACATTTATATTACAACTAACAAATAATCATAGTCAATGGCCACTAACAAATCTAGTGTCTCCACGAGAGCAACTGCAAATCGACTTCTTAACATGCAAAGAATGCAAAATGTCCTCCTCATTTGGTTGGACAACAATATTAATGAAAATAATGCTGATTGTAGCAATACAATCAAACAACTGAAACGTGTAGTTAACAACGTAAACACGTTCACAAATGGTGAAGAATGTGTCGAATTTATTCAAACCATTAACAACAACAAAGTATGTATGATTGTTTCTGGTTCACTTGGACAACAGACTGTGCCTCATGTGCATAATATGTCTCAAGTAGATACCATTTTTATTTTTTGTAACAATCAAGAATGCCATATACAATGGGCAAAAGAATGGCCTAAAATAAAAGGAGTCTTCACAGATATGACATTAATCTGTGATGCTCTCAAGCCAGCTGCTCACCAATGTGAGCAAAATGCCACATCAATCAGCTTTGTGGCATCAAACAAGAAATTGGATCAATTAGATCCAACCTTTATATATACTCAGATATTGAAAGAGATCTTATTAACTATTAACTTCGAAGACAAACATTTTAAAGAATTTATTAGTTACTGTCGTGAAGTATATAAAGATGATGAGAATGAATTAAAAAATGTTAATCAATTACAAACAACATACAAAAACAACATACCCATATGGTGGTATACATGGGATGCATTCTTATATCGTATGCTCAATCAAACGCTAAGATTAATGGATGTTGATATGATTATTCGCATGGGTTTCTTTATCAAGGATCTACACTGTGATATTCAACGACTACATTCGGAACAATTTGATGATCATCCACCAGGTGAAACAGTTATACTCTATCGTGGACAAGGTCTTTCAAAAGAAAATTTCACCGAAATGACAAAAACAAAAGGTGGACTTCTTTCATTTAGTAACTTTTTATCAACTAGTAAAAATCGAGATGTTTCTCTTAACTTTGCACAACAAACTGCTACAAATCCTGATCTTATTGGAATTCTGTTTGTTATGTCAATTAATACTGCGCGCTCAACAACTCCATTTGCTTCTATTACAGATGTTAGTTATTTTCATACAGAAGATGAAGTTCTCTTTTCTATGCATACCATTTTTCGCATTGGAGACATTAAACCAATGGATGGAAACAACCATCTCTATCAAGTGAATTTGACATTGATCAGTGATAACGATCAAGATCTTCGAACTCTTACTGATCGTATACGGCAGGAGACCTTTCCAGATAGCGAAGGATGGTTCAGATTAGGTAAATTGCTATTTAAAATGGGTCAGTTTAATAAGGCTCAAGAAGTTTACGAAATTTCACTTCATCGAACAACGGATGAAAGTAACAAGGCCTATATTTACCACCTATTAGGTATGATCAAAAATGATCAAGGAGAATATCAAGACGCACTGACATATTATGAAAAATCACGTGATATCTATGAAAAAACACTTCCTTCCAATGATATTAATTTGGGCAATATCTATAACGACATCGGTGTGGTGTATGAAGATCTAGGTGATTATCCGAAAGCACTCTCCTCTCATGAAAAAGCTCTTGCAATCAAACAACAATCACTTCCTTCCAATCATCCTAGTTTGGGTGGTCCGTATAGCAACATCGGTAATGTGTCTTACGCTACGGGTGATTATCCAAAAGCACTTTCATCTCATGAAAAGGCTCTTGCAATTCAACAACAATCACTTCCTTCCAATCATCCTAGTTTGGGTGCTTCCTATAGCAACATCGGTAATGTGTCTTATGCTATGGGTGATTATTCAAAAGCACTTTTATCTCATGAAAAGGCTCTTGCAATTCAACAACAATCACTTCCTTCCGATCATCCCGATCTGGGTGCTTCCTATAAAAACATCGGTACGGTGTATGTGAAGATGGATAACTATTCAAAAGCTCATTCATTTTTTGAACGTGCTGTACAAAATGCAGAACAATCATTACCAACAAATCATCCTGATCTTCTAAAATTGAAAAGAAACCTCGAACGCATAAAAAAGAAATTATAATTTCTTTCTGTATTTTTTTAAGGTAAAATAAAACTAATGAAAAAGAAATTGTGTCTCTATTGAAACTCTGTTCTTGTTGAAAACACAATATGAGCAGTAATACTCACCGATAAGTTAAATAGTACACATTGAAAAGATATGTAGTGTAGAAAAGACCTTCACGCGTTACATTATTATGTCTGAACAAGTAAATTTTCATTGTATTAGATAAGAAAGAAAGATGCTGAACACAGACATAGAAGAGTAGGAGAGAAAAGGTTTAACAGAATGAATTATTCTTTGTGTTCCAATATTAAAGAATACTTCATATCATCGATAAATTCATCCATATTAAATGAATAGAATACCTGTATATATATATATATATGTATTCTTTCTTGGCATCCTCTTTTATAAATCAAATTGTTTATTCTAAATCTGAAGTGGCTTATAGCGTTAAACATTTGTTCTGATTTTGACAAGATCAAAGGATATTCTTATTATTCTCGAGATAGAATGTGAGTAAGTGTAAGTTTAATTTTCAATCTCTCACATCCACATTTATATCTTCCCTTGCACGAAGATTTTGTATAGTTTATGATCACGCAAGTGGACGTGAGAAAAAGTGTGTCAATACATGTTATTAATGTGATTTTTATAACGATGGACTTTGCGTAATAGGTTATTTTAAATCGTAACCGAAGAATTAATTTTAATTCTCTTGATAATCATGAAAATATTTATCAATGATTTCACACTGTCATATTGGTATTCATTTATATCAATATCAACTAATTAATTTTTTTTTTCATTTAAATATGAGATAGCGATATATACAGACATAATAAATAAGTAGGTAGTTGTTTGAATGCATGACATACCAACGTTAGATGATAGAAAGAAGAAAAAATATATCATATACATGTCAGTATTAAGAAAGTGATAATAGCCAATTCGATCATAAAAATAATGTACATGTTCGATAGAATATGATATTCAAAAATCTAATTAGTTTTTATAGAAACTATGTGAAGAAATATTGTTTTTTTCTTGTGATTATCAGTAAAAGAATCTACTTAAATAGCCGACTATTCTTTATGTTTTATCGAAAAAAAAAGCTTCGTTTCATCTCATCCATAATGAATGTTTTAAAAGGCAAACATACTCATATACATATCATTATTATATACATAAAGAAGAAAAAAAAAAGAAGAAAGAAAAACATCGAGCTCGATAGGGCAAGAAATTAATTGGAATGCGTATACATCAAGATTAAACAACGGCTACAAAAGAAAAAAAAAAGAATATTTAGCAAAGAAAAAAAAAAGATCAGAAATTCACAATTTTAACACAGACGGTGTCTTTTGTAAATGAGAATCATGTGAACGATAAAGATCACCATCTTCATCGTCACTTACTCCACCTACATTGATACGAGATTCATTTTGATTTTGATTATTTGATGATATTGGACTTGTAGATGATGAGATATTACGTTTTAAATTAAATGTATCATTTTGTGGTCGTACAGTTATGATTAAATTATGACTATTAGCTACCATCATATCAGTTACTTGATCGAGTGTTTTTCCACTAACTTCAATTCCATTAACTTCAATAATTTCATCTCCAACTGATAATAAACCTGTTGATTCAGCTAAACCACCAGCAAGAAGACGTGATATAAATACACCGGGTACATTTTCAACACCATTTGGTCCATATTTTATTGCAACACCATCACGTATATAAAAACCTAATGGTTTACTTTCTTTATAACGATGTAATTTTACCCGGCGATGTGTAACAGGTAATATTTCCACATCAATTATTGATGAAACAAGACGAAAATCAGGTTGTAATTCAATATTACGTTGTGGCGATGCAGTTGTTTTATCTGATGATGGATGAATGAGAGATGAGATTTGATCCGAGATTTTTTTTCGTTTTCGTAATGAATCAGTTGTATATTGATAAGATTCGCCTAAATAAATAAATCAATTTTTTTGTTATTTTAGTTTATTATTATTCTTCTTACCTTTTCGTTGTACAAATATTCTTAATAAACCACCTGTATTCACACGTAGAATATGTTCGATAATTGAATCATTATTAATTGAAAGAAGTTCACCATCTTTGTCTAAATAAGTTATATGAAATGGAATATTTTGAAGATTATGTAATTCTTCAATTAATCTATGAAAATCATCGAATTTTATTGGATTTTTTCTATCGAGTTCAAATCGACGAAATTCCGCACCGAACTAAAAAGAATCAAAAGAAAATAAATAAATATTAAATTTATAAAAGAAATTCAATAATACTTTGCTTTTGACTTCAAGTAATGATAACATTTAATGATCTACAAATAACGAAAACAATCAAGATAACGATGAATGTTCTTTGACACAAATAAATAAACAATTGAAAAGAGTATGTTGTCTCATGTGTTCTGTTTTATAATTGGTAAGAAATAATACATACATAGATGGCACTATAGTACATATTCGAACGATGTGTGTATAGAAAATTAAAGAACTTCAACGAAGGATTCTGATTAGTTCTTAGAATGTTGGTAATAGATACTAATTAATTGTCATATCTATAAGCGATTGTATTACCTGGAAAACTATCTATACATAGACTTGAATAATGTTAATAAGTTTCGCGTAGTGTTGAAATGTAAAACACAACACAATCTGCTGTTACTAATAGAATACAAGATATTTCTTTTTTAGTCACCTTCAATCTCAGAGAGAAAAAGAATTCAGTTTGAAATTAAGTTAAGCAATATCATTGGCGTTTCCACGTAACAACGGCTATTATATTGGTTGATTGACCCCCTAGTTTCTAACTTCAACACGTTCGAATTATATTATGAATTTACATCTATTACAAAGAATAAAATTCAATAGTATTAATTACCTTGTTTTCATTATCATTTAGAATGCCAAACTTTCTTCATATTAAATCTAGAAAAATGATTAACTATACTTGCTCATTAATTAGCCCTTTTTCAAAAAAAGAATTCAATAGAAACTTCTTATCTTAAGATTATATGAAACCATGCTATTTAGTTATCAATTTCTACTTCATATATTTCAAAATCTTCAACATTGATATTTTTCTGGTTTATACCAAGAAACTAAATCGAACAAAAAAAGAAAACATAATGAATATAGAAAAAAGAAAAAATAACAAAAAAAAAAGTTAGTAGAAACACACGCGCACTTTTTCTGACTAGAGTGTACATTTTGTTCACTCACTACACAAAAGAAGACGAACAAAAAGAAAAGAAAAGAAGCTAAAGAAGTATTATTAATAACAACAAGCATATTATTGCTGTTGACGAAAATGTTTATTTATTGAATAACCACCAGTTGGTTGTATTCGATGATTTTCTTGTTGTTGTAATTGTGCTAATTGTTCACTTGGTGATAAATGTGCATATTCAACAGGTTGTTTAAAACCAGCTGAAATAAATTGCATTGGTTGTCGATTTGCTTGTGATGCTGATGGTGGTGGTGGTGGAATAGTTACACCACTTGATTTTTTCATTGTTGTTGCTTTTGGTATTATAGCTGCTGATGTTTGACTATATTCAGAACCACTTGCATAATTAACAATACCAGGTAAGACTGGTTGAAGATTTCGAACAGGTGCTTCATTATTTACCATAGGTGAAAATTTTTGTGGTGATGGTTGAGGATGACGAAGACTTGTTGTTATACGATTTATTGGTGTTGATGGCATGGGTTTTGTTGATTCAGATGATTTATTTGCATGATGAAGTATCTTCCAAAATGAATCGAAAGAAACAATTTCACCATCAACATGTTCAACTAATTTAATAGAATTTGGTTCTAGAAAAAAAACAAAATAGATTATTTATTTTAAAAGATATAGTTTACCACGAATTTTTCTTGCATATAAAATCTTATCACGTATTTTCTTTTTAAATAATTCTTGATCTTGTGTTGTCCATGGATAATCGGCATCAAAACCATCTAAATGACATAAATATGCTTGTAATGGTAAATCGAGAAATTTCGAATCTAATGGTCGCATTGTATTTGTGCCTAATTCACGTTTTTCACCTTGATCAACAAATTGAACCTTCAATATGAAAAAAATATATTTCATTTTTTATTTTAACAAGGAGAAATAATACCCATGCAAAATTTGTTGATGGTTTAAATTCCAATACAAGTGCTCGATGCCAATGTGATTGATAGCGTACAGCAACCATTTGACCGGTACAATACGAAGCAGCTGTTGATATACTACGACGTTGTACTGTTCCATAAAAATCACTTTAATTGAAAAAAAACAAAAGAATTTCAGCAAAATTCAATGAGAAAATAAATTACGCCATATTTCGATGAAGTTCATTAAGTTCTATATTTGGTTCAATATGATCAGGATATGGAGCAGCTAGAAAGAGAAAATTTAAGATTTTCAAGTGGTTTTTTTTCAATGAAGTATGATGGAAGGGAATACAAAACGACAATAGTGAGCGGTAGTTTGAAGAAGGAATGAACAGCACTTTTCTTACCTCTGCTGGATCATTTAGATAGAAAAACTACTAAAAATTAATGCCTTAAGTATTTCGATGAATACAATAAAATCATTTCTATTAATGTAAGTTACTTAAAATACATACGTTCATTAGCTTGACCAAGTGAATTTTCAATACCAAATGGATATCGAATATAAAATTCTCCTGCTGATTTAACATATGTTACTTCAACAGCATACCAATGTTTTAATTCTGGTTCAATTACTGGTGGACAATATGGAAGATTTTCTATATAAAAAAAAACAAATTTATCGAAATTTGATTTTATTCATCTATTAACCTTCATTTTCAGGTAAAGGAAGTGTTTCAATATTAATTGTATTTATATTTAAATTATGATTTTGTTGTTTTTGTGGTTGTTCATATCGTACATCAATTGGATTTCTTTCAATAAAAAGTGATGATGTTGTCTGTGTTTGTGGTTGAGTATAATTTCGTTGCGATTCGATATATTGTCTAATACGTTGATTTTTAAAACCATTTAAATCATTCATAGCATCATTAGCAAGACGTATATATTCAATATAATTTGTTTCAGGTATAGCAAGTTTTTTTGTAATTAATTGTTCATTTAATGAATTATCTGATGTATTCATATCATATAATATTATTGGTAATGGTGGATCACTAAGACTTTAAGAAAACAAGAACGTTTTAGTCTTTTTTTGGGAAATTATTTTTTATTACCTTATTGTACGTGTTGCTGCACTTAAAGAATAGAATCGAAATGTTTTAAAACCTTTTCCACCAATAAAACGATTCATTAAATTAACAGATTCACGTGACCAATCTTCATTTGTTGGATGTATTAAACCTAATGAACATTTAATAGATTGTGGTGGATATATTAGAAATTCAGGTATAAGTTCATAGATTGATGTTTCTTGTATTGTTATATATTCGCCGAAATCAAAACAAAGTACAAGAAGTGTTTTACGTTCACGATCATGATTAATAATTTGTACACGATAAAAACGTTGATCACGAGTATTACGTGCTACACCTAATGTATTTATTGAGAAATTTTTTAAACGTGTCATACGATCACATGATATACGTTCAAGATATGTTTCATTAACACTATTATAGATTTGTTCGAAATTATTTTTTTCAGTAAATTGTATAAAAAAATGTGATGGTGATGTTAGAGATGTTATAGTACATGAACCAATATTATCAGTTAAATTTAAAGTTGTTGATGGAATATTACTTGAACGAGATATTCTACCAGATATATTCGAAGGCATTTTATTAGACTAAAAAATTAAGAAAAAAAGATATTATATTATACAATGATATAATTGATTTTTAGTCTTTAATAAATGATAATCGAAATGTTAGATCAGTAGCGGAGTTAGAGAGGCGTGCGCTCGCACTAGAGACCTGCACGAAGTCGCCGTCGGAGTCAAGTAAATTTCATGCCAATAATTCAACTTTAACGTTAAAAATTATTTAAGTTCATAGCTTTGTTGTCCAACATTTTCTCTACAAAACTATGTATTTTAAAGAATAGGTTGATGCTTTGCTGAGCCTCACCAACACAAAAGAAAATCGGAGTCACTTTCGACTCCGACTTTTTCTGTATTTTATTTTGGTTTGTGAGACTCACTAAGACGTCTACTGATTCCACAAAATGAGTAATTTTATAGAGAAAATGTCGGACAACAAAACTGTAAACTTAAATAATTTTTAACCTTAAAGTTGAATTATTAACATGAAATTTACTTGATTTCGACGACGACTCTAAAAATGACTCCATGCAGATGCCTAGCTCGCACTATGCCTCAAATATTTTTTCCGATTTTTCACAACTAAAATGCGTTTCTTGACCAAAGTCACACCTATTTTCTAAAAATCCTAGATCTTTCACTGATACTGAGATATTAAAAGCAAGAGAAGGCGTCACGCTCCCTCCTCCCAGTCATTACGATCCTGCATACTTCTAATCTACATAGATGTTATCGCTCCTTTCTATTCTTTATTTCTCGTCTTTTATAAAACAAGAATCGCCCTTCTCTTCACGATATCAGTAGTACGTGAGGAAATGAAAGAAAATCAGTATTCTTTTATAGCAAGAGACATATTATACTATAACAATAGAGTTTTAAAATAAATAGAATAATTCAAATGCAACGTCTATTTTTTAATTTAAAAGCTTGTTCAGTTAGTACATATATTTTTGCGGCGTATTTCAAAAGTAATAAGATCATCAGACAAAGCAAGAACTCGTTACTAGATCTCGATAATATGATTATATACTTAATCTAACAAGTTCCGTTACTCATACCCCATTATCATGCTTCGTTGTATTTGATACATTTGAAACACGAACAGATTGTTTTTGTGAAACATTAAGATTTGTTGCATGTTGTAAAACTAATGAATAGAATATATTCAATTGTTTTTATATTATATATATATCTCAATATTGAATTTTGAAACAAACTTTCTTTTGGTAAATTATAAGCAGCATAATCACTAAGATCAAGACGTGGACCAACAATTTGTACAATTTGTGCAAGTGATGCTCGTCGGCCACTTTGTATTGAAATTAAAGTTTCAGCTACATCCTAATAAATATAAAACTAAATATATCTTTTCTTTTTCTCTTATTCTTACTGTATGTTGATCAATTGTAAGTTGTACAAAATACATTGGCCTAAGATAATAAAATTCAATTCATTTAATTTAAAATTACTATTATTTACCATTGTAAAGTTGGTTGTGCAGTAATACGTACATCAAGTGGTTTAGTTAATGTATCTTCATGAAATTTAAAACTAGCTTTTTTCGTCCATGAACTATTATTATCACCATTAACTGGTAATAACTAAATAGAATAAAAATTTATTAATATATATATATATACATTCATTAATAATTAAACCTCAAGTGCTGCACAAATAGCTTGAGCAGGTAAACGAGCAAATGCTGGATCAAGTGGACGTAATTCATGAATATTTCGTTCTTCATTATTACCATAATCAAGATAAACAAGTTCAACAGTTGTTTCTAATTAAGAGAGAAAAGAAGAATTTGAAAGTAAATTGAAGATAAAAATATACCAGAACTATATCGTTTTATTCGAGCACGATACCATCGATTATCAACAGAATAACGAGCTGCACAACAACTCATTTCCATTGGTTTGAAAGATATTGATGGTGGATCACTTGTTGAATAATAATCACTAAGAAAGAATTCAAAATTAAACAATTAAATAATAAAAATAATTTTACTTCATGCTTTGTGCAAGTTGTTCAAGATCATGTGTATGCAAAGTATTTTGAACAAAGAAATATGATGGATTAACAGCTATAGAAACAAGTGCTTGAAAATCTTCGCCAACTTGTAATAATGGTGTTTCAATATCGATTACTGGTGCAGCTGAAATTAATTTATAGAAAATCTTAAATGTATCTGTTTAGACTTACATTGATTCATTTGCATATTACCGTTTTGTTCACTTTGTTCATCATCTGCTTGTTGTTCTTCTTCTTCTTCTTCATCATCATCATCATTTTCATAAGCATTTGAAACTAGAGGAACTTGTTTTTTAACAGGAATAGGTGCAACATTTTGTGTTTCGAGTTTATTTTTAAAACGAATATCTTGAGATGGATAGCGTATTGGTTGTACAGTATTTCCGTTTTCAATTTTTGGTGATAAATTTTTTTCTTTTGTTACATTATTATTTTCTATTCGATTTGTATTGGGTAGAAATGTTGGTGTATTAATTATATTTGGTTTTGGTGATAGAACTTTTTCCTGTTGATATTTATTATATTTTTCAAGAGCTGTTTTAAAATCTTGACGAATACCATTTGCAGTTACTTGAAGATCTAAATATATATATAGGAAAATGAAAATTGTCTTTTTTTTGTTATAAAGATCTGAATACTATACTTTCAATAGCACTAAATAAAGTTTCAATATCATGTTCAATTTTAAGAAAAACTTCTGACATATTATCATTAGAATTTTTCTCATTTTCATTTGTATCATCATAATCAATTCCAGCACGAATTATTTGTAAACGCATACGTAATTTTTCTTTTAATGGTAAACGAACCCATGATCGAAGACCATCGTCATTTAAATCAAAAAATTCACCGATAGTTGGATCAAATAATTGAACAATATGCGTACGAAAATTAAATGTTTTTGGCATTTGTTCATTTAAACATTTATATATCATATCTAATGATGGATTATCAGGTAGATTAATTTGAATTTGCTGTCCATTATACATAACTGTTGTATTCACCATATTTTTAATCTAAAAAATCAAAAAAATGAAATTGTAAGATTAGTTAACGAATTATACGACTATCCTCTTCCTCTATGATAATCAAATTTCTATCATATATATACTAGTAATAGCTACTTCATGTATTGAACGATAAGATATATGTATAAATAAAATATTTTAATCGAAGATGGCAGTAGTTAATGGGTAAAAACGAAAATATTGTATTCATTCAAATAAAGTACTAGTCTTTTTCGAGTAATGAATGTATTATATGTTTAATAATTTACAATCTTATTTTGTACATTTGATCGTAGTCGAATGGAGTGGCCTTTGCTGGAACTGAACCTCTATGTAGTGGATATTTTTCAAAATTCATATTCGTGTTCACGACACGAAGATTTTTCAACAACAAAAAATGTAGTAATAATAAGTAGCAGTAGTTGTTTAATCAGGGGTGTCCCGAGATCCAGAATATTGGGGGACTGTCGATGAATTTTGCGAGATTTTCTGAAAAGTTTCAAAAATATCTCCAATTTACCCACAATTTTTAAGGATTTTGTAAAGTTTATAAGAAAATTTTCTAAGATTGGAGGAGGGGGACATTGCAGCCCCATCAGGACACCCCTGGCTGTTTATTTTACTTCCTAAAACTCTTTAGATACGTAAAAAATGTACGTTAATTTACTACAGAATAATAACAAAGGTATATTCAAACATTCAAAGATGATTCGTTAGTTGCGTTGTTCGAGAATGCTTATAGAATGAAAGTTAATATATTCAACTAATTAAAAAACTAAAGAAATATTATAAAATGTTTGTTTTTTATTGAAAAAAAAATATACATATAACAGAGAGACGAAAAAGACAAGATAAATTTTTAACGTTGTTTTTCTTCATGTAGTAAACTTGCAATAAACATTTCAAATTTTTGTAAAGTCGATATTCCACAATAATTATCTAGATCAATCGGATCATATTTAACTCCTCTTGATCCTCCTGTTCGGTCAGTTGAATCATCATCCATAACTGTATCATCATTATGATCACGACGTTTTCTTATAGCTACTTGTAATTGTAAATCATCACCAATACGTATTCCAATTGATCTACAAAAAAACAAGTACGTTGTACACACTTTAATTCTTTATGGAGAAAAATCTCTTACGTTGATATTTGTGTATGATTAAGTTGAGCACTGAATTGAATTTCTGTGAGTCTACCAACAGTTGGTGCCATCGAACTGCCTACAAGTGACCAACCGAAAATTTTTGCTAATGTACAAGCAACTGTAAATTTAAAATACGCTATCTAAAAATGAAATCATTTCAATTGAAATAAATTTAGTTATTTCAAATTTTACTTGATTAATAAAAAATCTTTGAACTTCTTCAATATGATGTTGAAATTCAATTAAATGTGATTTATATTGAATTTTAACTTGACATTCTTCGATTTGAAACATATAAGACCATCTGAATAAAAATAATTGAATTTATTTATTTACAATTCTAAATATATACCGGCATAACATATCATAACCAGGTGATATTAAATGAATACGTCCATAGGTTGATGTTGTTGAACTAAACGCACTTACATTTACAATCATATTGATATCAGAATTGGCTGATAAATTATTTAATAAATCTAAAATTCTAAAATAAACAAAATTATTTTTATAAAGAATTTTTCTCTCTCCTTTTTTTACCGTGCTCGAACAACTTGATGTTGAGAAAGTTCAATAATTGTTTGTAAAATAGATTTATTTTCACTAATAGATTTCAATTGATTATAATTAAACGCACTAACACCAGCAACACGTCTTAATGCAGGTACACCTAACATCAGTGTACTGGGTTTTAATTGTGAATAATGAAAATTACGAAGAAATTGTTGACGTAATAATGCACATAAAGAATATTCTAATAAACCAATATGTGCACCCTAATGATTAGATTTAATAAAATAGAAAATAAAGTGAATCGTTTTTTCTTCTTACGGAATGAGTTGATTCTCCATCAATAGTTGGATCAAATTCACTGGCACGTAAAAGACTTATTGTCATCATGACATCGGAGAGAATCTAAAATGAAGATATTATAGTTCTTTTTCTAATATGAATAAAATATACAAACCCAACATTTTATTGAATTTCTCATAACTGTTGGTTGAATTATATTCGTAATATCTGACGCTTCTCGACAAAGCTAAAACAAGGAAATAAATCATTTCTATTTAAAATTTCCTTTTTTTTTAAATTTTACTTGTGAAAAAAGTTCTTTTAAAAATACCGTTCGTTGTGCATTTTCTAATATTGAATCATAACTATTATCTTGTGAATTTATAATTGTATCATTTGCCATCATTGTTGAATATGTTCGAAGTAAAATTTGTCGATCTTCTAGAAAAAACAAAATAAATTATGAATATCTTAACTAAATCTATCAAATATATATATACTTGTTTCAATAACAATTTTTAATATAACACGAACTTGTAATTCTTCTGGTATGATAACTTCAATAGAATTATTTTGTGTACGTTTATGACTATCAGCTTTAGTGACTTCAAATTGCATTTTAAATGGATAAAATGATCCAGCTATGAAAAAAAACGAACATTGAAAATAGATTTTTTTGTTTAAACTTTAAATTAATACCTGATCGAAATGATAAATCTCCTAAATATCTATTTGTATTATTTTGTTTTCTTATTTTCCATCGTTGTCTTAAATTTGATAATTGAACATGAAAATTTTCTGCATTACCACTTGTTGTATTTATTATTTGCATAAAACGTTGATATGATGATAATAAAACATCAGCTGCTTGTCGTGCACTTGTTCGTTTTGATGCCCAAGATTTTTGTATCATATCTTGACTTTGTCGAACTAATAATTCACGTTGTTGTCGACTATTTCCACTATTTAAAGTTTCTTCCATATCAGCAACATTAGCAGATAAATTAAAATATCTACGACTCGATACTAATGAAAGTATATCATGTAATGCGCATACTTCAATATAAGCTTGTCTTTAGAAAAAAAACACATTTTAAAACAACCTTTTTATTATGCATTGATTTACCTCATTTGTTCAAAAAATGCTCCGAATGTATTTTTACCCCCATTGACTATTCGACGTTCATCCTCTGTTGGTGTATCAATAGAATCTTCTGAACGTAAATCATTCAATTCCATTCGTGAAAGAATTTTCGTAAAATGATCAGACATTGATTGAGTTCTTAAAAAAATATGGGATTAAACAAAAAAGATAGATTTAGTAAAAAATATTCTATATTTACGATTTAATTTTTTCGCCATCAAGTGAATATTCATAGACACTTGATTCAAGACACGGTTCAATAGTAACATTTGTTGAAAGTGGTTCAGCCATAATTTAACAAATTTATAAAAGTAAAATTAAACTATTTCCAATATTTCTTTGTTACTTATGAAATAAACTTTAATTGGTCATTTTTTATTAACAAATGAGAAACATTATGTCAATAATCGCTACCTGCAATTTAATGTTAACCAATAAAGTATTTTTTCGTTTAAAAGAAAGAGTTTTTTTTCTTCGTTTCATATAAAATGGCTTTACATGAAGCTTTAATAGCTTTACAAACTGGATGTAGTGGTTTATTAACATTAAAACAAGATGATCCTCATTTTAAAAAAGTATAGAAAAAAAAACAAATGATTTTTAATTATATTTATATCTTTTTTACAGCGTTTTCCAACAATACCATATATTCATCAAGGTGAATTAGAAATACTTGATCGACTTACTCAAATTGGTCGACATTATCGTACACTTGATGAATATGTTCAAAATATTTTAAAAAATAAAACAAGTAAATTAACTTCTTTATCTTTCTCGCTCTCTTTCTCAATATTTTTCATTTAAGGTGGTTTATATATATTAAGTTTTGCTTTTGAACTTCGTTCAATACTTCAATCATATCTTCATTGTTTAAGTCAATTAGAACATGAATGCCTTCAAAATACATCATTAACACTTTCACATCTTACAGTAGCTTTAACAGATTATACACTTTTATTTCCTGCACTTGTTTCATTAATAAATACACTTCAATCTACTGGTTATCGTGGTTGTCAAATTCTTGATATAATTCGTCGTTCAACATTAGATGGAAATACAATTCTTTCATCAACAATAAAAAAATTATTATGTGCATGTCATAGAATATTAATTAAACAAATAACATCGATTTTAACACAAGGACAAATCTATGATGAATATGGAGAATTTTTTATTGGATTGAATAATAATATTAATGTTGAAGCTATGGGAATGACAACACCTAGTATTTCACGTATGACATCAACAGTTGCTAGTCGATCACATTCACCAGATAGAGAAAGACAATCAGTTTTACAGGTAAAATTAATTTAATATTATAGTCTATTAGAAAACTTCTTCAAAATATGCACATCTATGAAGACTTAAATTTTAATAGATGCTCCTGGAGACCGCTTCATTATCTTTAAGCTAATTTCTCGCTCTTTGAAGTGTTATAGGTAGTATATGCAAAATAGGAAAACGAAATTTCTAGCATCGTCTCCTTTGTTCTCATCTCTCTGTCTTTTTTTATACGAAAGTGACCTAAATTTTTGAATAGCTCACACATCATTTGAAGAAGTTAGTAATGATGAGGAAGTAAAACGAAAGTCTTGTACCATCTTTACTCTTTGATATACTATTCGAGAATTTAAAACCTAATCTGAAGCAATAATCAACAAGTCATTCAAAACGCAAACTCGCTATTTCGAAAAAAATCAAGAGATGAGAATCATGCGGGAAGCATCGGACATTGTGTGTGACTTTTGACTAAGAAAAACAATGGAAAAAAGTGTTTTTCTATTGAGTTTCTTGTTAAAATAAAGTGAGTCTTTTCCCTTTTCTTGCTTACTTCTATTCATTAATCAGCATAGTGCTTTAATCTACATCTATTTTTCTAGACACCTCAACCAAATTCTCTAATAACACCTGGCTATAGTCAATATCAATTAATACCTGAAATGCTTCCATCATATATTCCACTTCAATTAGCTGATAAAATTTTATTTATTGGTGAATCATGGCTTTTATTAAAAAATAATGATGATGATGATAATGATAGAAAATTTTTATTATTAAATCCAATTGATTATGATGAACAAAATCATCTTGTTCAACAACAATTATATGCCTTAACACTTTCAGATGATTTAAATATGTTTGAATTAGAACGTATTATTGAACATGCAAGAATTGATTTATCATTAACGTTAAGAAATTTATTTGTTGATCGTTTTCATTTAATTGATGAACTTGAACAAATTCGTGGATTTTATTTAATTGAACGTGGAGAACTTTATACATTATTTGTTAATCGTACAAATCAATTATTATTAAATACAAAAAAATCTACCAATGCTATAGAAAATGATATTAATGAAGTATTCAAACAATGTTTAAATGATTTACATTTAGAAACAATATTAACAAATGCAGATAAATTTAAATTTAAACTTAATTTTCCACATAGCGATACTACAGCACAAGTAAGAATTGATTCTTTTTTTTTTGAAGAACATTGTTAAAATCTTTTATAGGAAATTAGTGGAGCTCGTCGTTTACTCTCTCGAACTCAAGGTCTAACAGATAATTCGAATACTCCATTTGATTTTTGGTCATGTGGTTGGGCAAATTTATCTATACAATATCGAGTTAAATATCCAATGAAAGCATTTTTTAGTGAAAATTGTAAACAACGTTATAATGATATATTTCATTTATTAATTATTTTACGTTATGTCCAAAATGAACTAAATAGTTTATGGTTAGCATTTAAAAATAAAAATAAAAATTCTTTAATATGGCATTTACGTAATTCTATGTCATTTTTTATTGATAATTTTCAATATTATATACAAATCGATGTATTAGAATATAAATATCAACAATTAATACGTTCAATATTATCAAGTACTGATTTTCAACAAATTAAACATTTACATGAATTATTTTTAGCTGATATACAAACACATTCATTCATGCTTTTAAGTACAGCATATCAATCAATAAAAAATATTTTATCAATTTGTGTATCATTTTGTTTAACAATAAAACAACAAGAAAATACGATTAATAATCTTGATGAAAATATTTTACGACAATTTGGAAAAGAATTTAATGATGAAATTCGACTTTTATTTGGTATATTAGGTATGGTTCAAAAACATAATGCTTTACCACATCTGGGTGTTTTCTTAACAAGACTTGATTTTAATCGATTTTTAACAAATAATAATGGATCATTTGGAGAATTTTAATAGACAATATATACATATCTATAAACTTAATCTCATTGTGTTTGTTCTTTGTTCTTATCTTTTTCTTTTTTTTTACTTGATTACAAAATAGATAAATAAAAATGGTTATTCAACTCAGTTTCTTCTTTTGCACTTATAAATTAAGCGAAAAGATATAAGATGAGTATTCAGTCGGATATATTAGCAATTATGAATGATGAAAATGTATCGTTAATTGTTCCTGAGAAGAAAAAGGAATGTAGGTATTCTACAAAAAATATATTTGATTATTATGTTTGTTTTGTAATATTTTGTTTAGTACACATGTCATGGATTATGGCTGCAGGTCTTATTGTTAATGCAGCAATGGGTGTAAGTTTTTATTTAATAAAATGTTTAAGTTTATTAATATAGACAGATGAATAGAGATAATATATTATGTTTATGTTACATAAATTATCATATCATATAAAAACAAGTGGTTAGATAATTCAAGGTTATCTCGAACTTTTTTATTTCATAGCATTTTTTGAAAATAAAATTTAAAAAAATATTTTTTACTAGTAATATACATTAAATTAATTGAAAATGTTGTATTTAATCTGACTTAAGTTTCTTAAATTTTATCAGTGAATATCGAAATTACAAAGAGGATATTAACGAATGTTTATTTAGTAAAATATACCATTATTTATTCTATGATCTATTTGGAAATATCTATTGATTCATTTTCGTTTATTACCAGTACTTATTAGCGATAAATGAATACTTAATGACTATGGATATTAAATAGTTTTGTTATCAAAAAAACCAGGTCTTTATCACCACCTTGTCTTGCAAATGTTTGCATTAGAAAAAACCAAAAGAAGACGAACTGTTTGCTACTTAATTCTTACTTATAAAGTTTGAATTTTATATTTTATTTTTACAATCGATAGATTTATGTTATACGAGCAGTACTATTTCAAGATAGTTTACATAATTCGTAGCTAGCAATGCTGAAACATAGAGTTATGAAACTGATTTTTACTCTAGAAATAGAATACGAACGATAGTGTATTATTTATAGGAATGAGAGAAAGTAGTTTACTTTAAACTTTATTATGAAACAAAAATGTGCAGTTATACAGAAAACAGAATTATTATTTACTTTATACGAGAATGAATGTTCAATACCTCATGTACTAATTAAAATAGTTATGTATCAAAACTGAATGTTTAGATTCTTCCATAATTTTCTATACACGCTAAATACTTGTGAAACTCTAATAGAGATATATCTTATTCTCTAAATTTTTCTTTCTAGGCTGGTCTTCTCAATATAGCTAAAGCTTATGATGAAGCTGGTGGAATTGTTATCAGTTCAATTCTTCATGCTGTATATTTTTTAATTCTCATTTATTATTATTTTTCTTATTATTAATTAATAGATTGTTGTACTTTTGGTAATTGGTGCATATGCTATATTATTTGTATGTTGTGATAAATCAACATCATCTTATGAAATGTTTGTTTTGAACAAATGCGGAAAATTTTGGCAAAGAATTTGTTCTGTTTGTATTATCTTATATATGTAAATTATATCTTCAAATAAAAGATTCGTTTATAAGAATAATAATAAATAATTTTAGGTATGGTTTAAGTATAACTTTTTTTATTATTATTGGTGATCAACTTGATAGATGTATGAATTTCAACTGGAAAAAAGATAAAATTTGATATTATTTTATTATCTGTTTAGTTCTTACTTTTGCTGTTGGTGTAAATTATTGTTCTCATTGGTATCTTGATCGTCGATTAATGATAATAGTTACATCTATAATATTAGTTTTCCCTTTATGTTTTTCAAAGACAATTAAATTTCTTCAAATTCCAAGGTAAAACATCGTGAAAATAAAGTAACTTTTTCAATTAAATTTCAATTATAGTATGCTTGGTGTATTGGCTATAATTTATGTTGTTGTAATGGTACCTGTTAAATATTTTAGTCAGCGTCCAACAGATGTTATTATTAAAAAATAGTAAATGATAAAATTTCCCAAAATAATAAATTTCTTCTTGTTTTATTTTTAGTCCTGATTCATGGACAGATATTTTTTTAGTTTTACCAACAATGTGTTTTTCTTATCAAGTCTGTTGAAATTATATTTTAATTATTAGATAATTTGATGATTATATTCTAGGCACATGTAAATGCCGTACCAGTTTTTGTATCATTAAGAACTCGTGCTGATTGTATTAAAGCAACATTAGCATCAACTATTATTTTGATTTGTAGTTATTGTTTAGTAGCTGTTTGTGGTTATCTTACATTTGGAATTAAAGTTGAACATGACATATTAGTAAGAAATTCAATTATATTTAAACAAATATTGATGAATCTAAATTTCTGAACTAGTGAATTAGAAATATTTTTTAAACTGAATTTGAATAGATTATTCTTAGGGTTTTTTGTTTCATTCATATTTGAGAGGAAAATAGTGATTGTTTGTTTATCAATAATCTTTTGCTATAGTTAGTTTCTGCTTTCGATTGACAATAAGATTATTGAGTTCAGAGTTTTATCATTATAAAGAACAAGATTCAAAAACGTTTTCATCTCTCGTGGTATACATAACAAAAATTCAACATCGTCTTCTTTTTTTCCAGGAAGATTTCTTTGCTATCTATTAAAATTATAATACACATCAGAGAATCTGAATGTAATCTGAAATTAGAATATTGAAAAAAGGCAACAACAATGTGTAATAAATTGGAGAAAATTTCGTTTGATGTTAACACAATTCTATAGAAAGATTTTTTTCAACGACGAAATTTTAGACTCGATAACCATTTAATTCTGAAACGAGCTATTAGTGATCTACGTCAATGAATGCTGAACTAGCATAAATCAGTCTCTTTCATATTTATTTCTTAATGGATAAAAATTTCTTCAAATAAATTTATTTCAATGATTTAATAGTTTCAATTTTATATCATATTTTGTGTTTCGCAAATTCAAGTAGAATCGCTTTTCTTTTTATTTTCTCTGACTAAAACTGATTCGTATTTGCTTTTTCAACATGCTATTTTCATTAATATAGATGTCTTATGATCCCAGATCACCACCTGTTCTTATTGCAGTTATTATGGTTGCAATCAAAACTTATACAGCATATCCAGTAAATTTATTTTGTGGAAGGTATGAAAATAAGACATATTTTGATAAATAGTTTATTGTTTTTTCTTTGAATTAGAACTGCACTTGATTCATTTTCTACAACAGATCCAGGGCAATCAATAAAACGTCGTGTTTTAATTGTTTGTTTATGGTTTTTTACAACATTAGCTGGAGCCGTTTTCTTACCAAATATATCATTAGCAATACATTATTTAGGAGCACTTGCAGCAAGTTTTATTTTTATATTTCCTGGTTAGACTATTAATAAATTTCTATTTAATTTTTTTTGATAATTAATTTTTGTCTAGGTCTTTGTCTATATTTCCATATTGAACAACAATGGATTTACTCATGGCAAAATCTTTTTGCAATAATTGTAGCAATTTTTTATGTTGCTATCGGTGTATTTATTACAATATTAACTTTAGTTCAATCCTTAATGACTGATATTAGTGCAAAAGGAAGTACCAGTAAACAAATATGTTAACATAAATTTATTTTTGTCATATATCTTTATTTTTTCATCGAAAACTTGAAAATTATATTAAATTTTTTAGAACTTTCTTTTGTTTTAAATTATAATTAGATAAATATATCAAAATATTTAATTGATCAGATATATATTTGTATGATTGTAGTATGTAAAGTTCAGTCTTTTTGCAAAGAATATATTTTTGTACTTAGTTAGGAAAGTATGAGTCGACATATCCGGAAGCTCAGTTCCGGATTTCTATATTTAAATTTAAGATCAAATTTAAAGTTGAGTTTACATCTAATAAAAATTAAAACTTCGCACCCAAAAGATGCCTGTAGGTACAATTTCCAGCATATTTTCTTCAAACTTTTTTATAAGGTTATAATGAATTCTAGCAATAATTCTAATATTAATATTTCTTTCCAAATAGATATGATATGAAAACATTGTCTATCGAAATTTTACCATCTTCACTTTTTAAGAACTGGCCGGAGAATTCCGTATATGCTTATATGAATGATTGAAAGGATTATGTCAGAGCTTTCAAATACTGATTAGTCAGTAGCCAAAATTAATTTACTTATAGATGCTTTCAAACATTTGCTGTCATTGTTTAAGTTCATGTGACATAATTTTGCGTCCTTTAATTTTACAAGATGATTTCTATACTTTAAATTCATAGGATTCAAGGGGTACTTTAATTAATATTAAAAAGAAGTATTATATTTCATAAGATTATATATCTCTAGAAATATAAGATTTCATGTGAAGAAGAGTTCTTTAAATTATATAATCTTAAGTAATAGTTTTTCATATAACTATACTGATTAAAATACAAAGGTCAACTACAAATCATTATTTATTCAAATATATATTAACAAAAAAAAATTGTTAGAAATTTATTTATTATTTTTAGTAATCAACTAGAAAAAAAAATAACGATGAATTATTTTAACTGACATATGATATTTTTCTTTTTTGAAAATTAAAAATATAAATGATAAGTTGCTTTCATAATTCGATGGTACACGTTGTCATTATTTATCAATGTATTTTTATTCAATTATGTCAACTTCATATTTCTTATTCTTAATAAATAGGATGATGAGGATAGAACAAAAAAAATCATGTATCTTTATAAAAGTTAATCTGTATGTTGTTATTCTATTAAAACTACTACGTTAAAAATTTCATTTAAATTATGCAAATATAAATAAATAATTTTTTAGTTAACTTAAATTTGATCTTTTCTTTGTAGAATTTGATATGACTATCAAGATGTTTTTCCATTTCAATGCGTGCGTCATAAAGAATAGTTTTATCCTCTATATTCTTATATTACATTTTCTATGATATCACATGTTTTACTTGTTTTTGGTATGAAATAATTTATTACGAAAGTAGGTCAAAACTTATATAAAATAAGTTTGTTTTTACAAAAAAAAATATTTTTACAGTAAAAATATAATAGTAAATTGTTTCTGATTTCTGTTTCTTATAACATTACTTTCGATTTGATGATGTTCTTAATAATCTATTTTGATCGATTAAAACTGAACTTTCTGAGCCTGTATTTATTGTTGAGCGGGTTAAATTTGATGTTGTTGTTGTTATTGATAATTGTTTTGATAATCTTTGTTGATTATTTTCACGTCTATATGTAACATAATGTAATGGTAGTTGTGCACGATTATAAGGAGTATGTGTATGACGAAGATTTGATAAGGAATATTTTGTTGGATTTATTGAATATTTTTCACTATTACGACGTGGATGAATATCTTTTGCTTTTGTTTTAGGTTTATTATGAAAGAAATTCGTTGATTTTCGCTGTTTATTTGTTATAAATGAAGATTTTTTAAGATTAAATTCACAAACAGAATATCGTCCATATTTTAATTGATTATCATTTTCGACAGTAGTAAATGAATTCGAACGTTTATATATTGTATTAAGAAGATAATCAGATTTTGAATTTCTATTTTGTATATGATCCATACTTCCACCATTCAATCGTTTTTGATATTCCCAATAATTAGGATGAATATTCTTTAAATAGAAATTCAAATTTCATAAATAACTTCATATGAACTCATTAAAAATGTTCTTCCTGCTTTCTATTTTTACCTAACTAACTAACTAAATATCTATTTTTAATAGTTAAATTATATAATAAGAAAAAACCTAACTTACATCAAACTGATGTTGTTGTGGCGTGCGCAAATGTGAACTTGTTCGTTTAAGTGATAAATTACTTGCTGTACGTAAAAAATGTCGATGATTTTTTGTATAAAAACAAACACGTGCTAATTCTCGACGAAATTTTCGATTAAAACATGTAAAAATAAAAAAATTAACCTAATGAAAAAAAAATTTCTTTAGAAATTAATTACAAAAAAAACTTCTTTTTCTTCTTACTGCACTATTTAATAAAATAAGAAAATTTGATATATCATAACAAATATAAAGCCATTTATGGTTACGATAAAACATATAAATATAATTAAGTATGGATGCTGGTACTTGACATAAGATAAATAAACCAATTAAACATATAACTGAACGTGTTATAACACCTTCTCTATAACGTATTGTATTTGTTTCAGTACCACCACCAGTACGTGTTGTTTGTGCATATGATGATGAACAATTTTGAAGGAAATGCGAACTAGCATTAATACTTCGAATAAGTTCAACATTAAAATAAGATAACATTAGAAGTGGGAGAATACTTTGAAAAAGACTATAAAGAACTAAAAAAACGAAAATATATTAAAAAATAAAATCTATATTTTCTTTTACTTAAGTGGACGGCATATTGATAAATTTTACTATTGTGTAAATTATTTTTTATCACAAGATAATCAACAAATTCTGTATAATTGTCAAATTCAGTTAAATTTTCACTTTGTACTTCAGTTTTATATTCAAACCATCTTGGTAATGAATAAATAAAACCCAAACAATAAATTGTCACAACAATATAACTAAAAATAAAATAAATATTATTAATTTATGACATGTTAATATCATATTATATGAATATATATATATTTTAGGAGAAATTTATTCGACTAGAACATAATGTATGCGAAAGAGAAAAAAAATTTATGATCCGAGTGAATATAAAGAATAAACCTCGAGGTTATTAACAAATCTTTTATTTAAGGTTTATCACGCAAATTTTCTTTTTATATTTTGTTCCATTAGTTTACATAATATAAATGAGGAGAAATAAAATCGGAAATGAGTTTATCAATTCAAGCATTACTATACATCGAAAGATTACCGTCGATCTGGATATTAATGTAAATAATTGTTTAATCTATTTTTAGATTGTAAATATTTGTATACAAATTATCTGGTTCAGTCAAGAAAATCAAATGCATTCCTATATAAAAAATCTTTACTAGATAAGTTAATTAAGTAGCTGGATAGGTTTTTTCAACTCATAAAATTCTCCAGGGAATATATCTGTACAATTAAAAAAACAAAACTAACAAAGCTCTTTTGGAACTGTATGTATAATGAAGTATTGGCCATTTAATAGCAAACCATCGATCAATAGCAAAACCAATCGTTATCCAGACACTTGTAAATTGAAACCATATAATACAAGGATATACATATGGAAAAAGATGTTTATGAAGATATGATGAATAAAATGATTCACTTTGACGATTTGGAGGAATAGATGAATTAATTGCAAAAATAAGACCTAATGATAGTAGACAACTATCACTTACACTTAATCCTGTTAGATAAGTCGAAACAGCACTACGCTATTTAAATTAAACAAAGTGAACATATATTTATGAAATAAACTAACATACCATATGACGACGAGTAAATATATATACAGAACATAGAGCAAGAGTAAGTCCTATGGAACACATGGCTGTACCTATTCGTATATAATTAAATAGAATAAATTTGTAAAATATATCATATCTTACCAACATAGCCAAGTAAATAATGAGTAAATAACATAAGAGACATGGTAATTGTAACTGTTGTTTAAACACGTTATCTATAAAAAAAAGTAAAGAAATGTAGAAATCCTGGAAAGTTGAGTTGCTATCTATTCGAATAAAAACAACGTCTTCCTTTATTATTTTATGGTGAAAAAAAGATTATCTTTTTTTTTCTTTTATATTGTCTCAGTCAATTATTAGTTTTTCTCTCGTTTTTCTTTCTTTTTTTTCTCTTGTTCTTCTGTCTTACTATATAAAAATTGTTTTCTTATTCATTATGTATATACATAAGTGTCTGGAATACGAACTATATTTTTGATATAAAAAAAAAAGCAAAATAGATCCTATTAATAAGGTCAATACAAAATAGAAGACATAAATTTCAGTCTATAGAACAACAATATAAAATCAATCTAGTTCTATACATAAATTATTACACTATATGAATATTTTTGGCGGAAAAAATGGAAAATAAAAAAACAAACAGATTGAATACAGTTTATACAGTAAGTATAATACTTATTATAATATAAAATAAATAAAATGACTCGTAAAAGTAAAACAAAAACGTTGACTTCTATGTTATTCTAGTTGGATGAATATAATGACACGCGATGAATAGATAAAAGGTGATCTGTCTCTAATTCAGGATCATCAAACATTTTTATTCACAATAATTAATGATAGAGTCATAGAGAATTCAAAAGTGTTCAACGAAGATTTTCCTTTTCTACTCTATATGGAATAACAGTTTTTATCCGTATTTAACATAGAAAGAAAAATAATCCCTTCATTAATCATTTATTTTTAACTCGGAAGATCAGAAGTAAAAACAACCCATCCTAACATTCATTTTATTTTCATCTATAAAACTCTATTCATTATAATATTATAGTTCGAAATAATAATGATTTTACAAAAAACCATTCCGGAAGGATGTCAAATAACATTCAGGCGACAAATCATCATTTATAACTATTTAAATCATTATAAGGCATCTCCGTTGGTGACAAAAAAAGAAATTCTAATAAAATTCAAAGACGTATATAATAATAATTATTTCCTTTTGTATAAAAAAAAGCATGTCTATTCTTTATTATATACAAATGTATATGTAAATAATATATTCTACAGGAGAATAATGTCATGTTACCAAACAAAGATTATTATTTCATAGAAAAAACAAAAGAAACTACTGAACAAAGTTTCAATATATAAACTCTGATCATATCTTATGACAAACATGAGCTTTTCTTTTTTTCCTCCAAATGAGATGATGATTAAAAAATCAGCATGGTATATCCTGTCTGATGCGCATTAATAAGTCATAAACATATGTGTGTCTGTCATGAAAATGAACTAAGATAGAAATGGAAATCTCTGTATTCATATCGAATACACAATTTTTTTTTATTCAGAAGGAAAAAAAGAATCGTCATATTCATTCATAATTCCGGTAATAATGAAATGTATTAGACAAAAAAACAATATGTTGATTAGAACGTGTTGGAATTTTATCCTTCGATTAACAACTATGAAATAAAATGAATATGTCTTGATTGCAACTATTTGACTCATTGATATATTTTGCTTAGATACTCGAAGGAGAAAATATAAATAATGGAAATTTAACGAAGTTTCTATCTAATTACAATATAATATATATATATATATTATATTGAGAAAAATTAACATCGAGAAAATAATCAATGACCTAGAAAAATAATTTTAAAAACGTAGTTATCATCGAGATATATTCCTAGGACTCAAAGTTATTTTTTTCCTGTTCGTACTTTTAACGAGTCTTACGCTTTCAAGAAATAAAATCAGATCTCTAATAATGTTGATTATTAGTTTGTTATTAGACTAATAATTATACATTATAACAATTTACTTATTTAGCAAGTCTTCGTTACAAAGTATGAACAGTAATTTGCTAATTAGTATTTAAATCATAGTATTAGAAACGTCAGATTTCAATCGAATAACCACATATTAATTACAAAACTAAAACAAATCATATTATTATTCGTCAAAAATGTCTATCATATTTTTTAGAACGATATATATTCTAAAAACAAATGTTTGTACTACGAAACCTTTTAAATTTTTGCGAAGAACCATTTAAGGTTTCATAGCTATCGCTGAACTCTTAAACGTTTGGAAGTATAACAGTTATTTTTAGAATGTAGTTAGTAAGAAAAATATTAGTTTTACTATGAACTGTATTCTATTGAAAATGACAACTAGTTAAGTTCAATTTATGTTGATCGAATCTAATCGTGAGAGGAGTGGCGAGACATATACACAAATATTGGTTTTATACAGACTTTTCGAGTTTGAAGAGATAGATGACTTCTTTGTTCTCATTTGTTATAAATAGAATAGAATAGTATCTATTTTTCATTCGATCATTGATATAAATCTAAATAGAAAAAGAAACATATTTATGATATGAAAAAAAATACTTGACTGTTCATTCTAATAATCGTACAATTTACATACAAGCAACTATTTTTATAAATAGTACCGATTAATGAAGTTTGCAATAAACTCGTCTTAGCAAATAAGGTATAACTACGTAGTATAAAATACCTATTACTCTCGTGCGGCACTTTTATAGAATGTAAAACTTAGTAGGATTCATCAGTATTTATAAACAGAAACTTATTGAAATCTTTAATTGTATGACTTCGTTATTATTTTCTGAATAATGTCTCGCATAGCTGCATCCTTTCGTTATGAATTAAATAGTTAATGCGAACAATTTGTTTATGATCATTGATTAACTCTAGTTGTTTATTGTAAATAGCATTAAAAAAATTATGCTTACGTGTTCAACTAATCGGATAAGTAGTGATTAGTTGTTTCTTTAGTGACTAATCGCGTGCTTAACTCCAGTCAGCTATATACTTTTTATTCTAAATTGAATAAAAAAGAAAGACATAGTTGACTTATAATTTTGATTTATGTCAAATAGGCGGAGAGTTAAATTATACGAAATACAACTTATTAAATAAACACTGTTTTATAAAATAGAATATTACTTTGACACTCTCTCTTTTGTTTAAGAAATAATAAATATATCAAATAAAATTTTTTTTTTTTTGCATTATTTGATAGAATCTGAGTTATTAATAATAAAAATCTATTTTCTAGATTGAGCATAGAAAACTGAACGCAAACAGCTGTAGAACCTAAACTCTGTTAGTGGTGGCGCTTGAAATCGTGCCGTATTCACCACTTATAGGTCGATTTTGTAAACGTATCTAATTTTTGTACGTAATCGTTGGAGTGGAATATTTTATTTCATTCGACTCATTATACCACCATTCATGTAATTACACATCGCTTTTTCTTTTCTTTTCTACGTTAAGAAAAATCGTGTTTACACGTCGTATAACTATTTTAAGCGGTTTTCAAGGTTATATTAGACTTGTAGACAATAATAAAATCCATGTTCGAAATCAGCATAAAAAATTGAGTCAAAGGAAGTATCTTTCAAATGAATTTAATAACTGTCATTTTTTGATCCGTATGCAACGATTTTACTCCTTCGACATCCTCTGAATAAATAAGAAAAAATAAAAGTTATTAAATTATTTTAAAATACATTTCCTTTGACTCATTTTTTTATGCTGATTTCGAATATATATTTTATTTTTATTCAAAATCTCGTATTAACTCGAATACCGTCTAAAATAACTACATTACGAGTAAACATGATTTTGCTCAACATAGAAAACGAAAAGAAAACGATGCGTAACTACATGAATGGTGTTTATAATGAGTCGAATGAAATAAATTATTTCGCTCTATCAATTACGTAAAAAAAACTAGATACGTTTACAAAATCGACCTATACGTGGTGGACACGCCATGATTTCAAGCGTCATCACCAATAGAATGTTGAGTGTACAGTTAATTCAACAATTTGTTCGCATTCAATTTTCTATGCTCAATCTAAAAAAATTAGTTTCAGAAAGTGAAAAAAATAAAATAAAATAAAATTTTTTGTACCTTTAGTGTATTCGTTAAGATTAGAAAATAGATTGTCATGATCAACAACTCAAACTCTATCAAAACAAGGAAATTTCATATTGCCTTCACCTTACAATTCTCGTGATATTTCAAAAATCTATCAATAACTTATTTTTATGAATAAATTGAATTTTCTATCGATACTTATCATAACGACATGTAACAAAACAATAACTGAATATGTCTATTGTTTGTAGCATTTTTGCTTAAACCCAAATATTTATCTAATGTTACCAAAAACATTTTCCAATAGTTGTTATAGACATTCCAAGACAATAGTTATTATTATAATATACATTATTTGTCATAACTATTGAAGAACAAATATCTTTGAATAATATGTCAAACAAGCAAATGATTTATTAAAATAACTTCTAGATGTTATATATAATTGAAATAGGAAAAAATTGTTTACTAGATCATTTTAATTCTTTTGTTTATCACTAATGCGTTAAATAACTGTTCTGTTTATTTTTAATTTTATCAAATGAATCCAGTGTGATAAATATTTATTTCAATATCAGTTAAACATAAAACTTTCACAGACGAACCGGTACTTCGGATCTTTACATAATCTATGCGTTCATATCTGATTCAAGACAACATATATATATATATATCCATATTTATACACGTTTTTTTTTTCAGTCATCATCAGAAAAAAAATAATAATAATAATAAACAACAAAACAACAACAAGCAAAGACGAAAGAAAAGAAAACAAACCATGGCAAAAAAAATTGAATATTAAGAGCAATACTAATACAAGAATTATCCGAAGAGAATAAAGAAAATTCACATGTTTTATAAGAAGACATATAGAATATATAAAGAATCACAATATGCAGCGGAGTATACGTGTGTGTGTGAATGTGTGTATGTGTGTGTGTTAATATATAATGTGAAAAGTCTATCAGCAGTGTATTGGAAAAAATAGAAAACAAAAAGCATCACAGATGGGAAGAAGAAGAAAAAGAAAAATGTTTCTTTATATATTTGTTTATTGCACATTGTGCATTTCCTTTTCCGTTGTTTCAATTGTTGTATCATTATTATTATTATTAAGATTTGGTGTTTGTATCCGACATATACGTTTTACTTTTGCACGATGATTTTTAAACCATAAACGTATATGTTTTGATTCAAGTTTAGGAAATTTTGTTCGATATTCACCTTCATTTAATTCTGAACATATACGTTCAATTAATATATGATCTGGATGTGTTTCAATTGCAAACCATTGTTCTAATTTCGGTACTTCAGATGCTGGATCAATAAATATTCTATTACGTCTCGAACGATTATAATCAAATGATGTTGTTGTATTATTTGATATTTTTGTTGAATTAAATGATATTTGTGTTGGTGGAGTTTGTTCACTTACTGAACTCATATTATCATCATCATTACTTTCATCTGATTGTGTTGTTTTTTGTCTTTGTTGATCTGTTAATGATATATCAAATGCTTGTAAATAATTAAAATAATAGTTATTATGATTTTGTTGTTTCTGCTTTTCATCTATATCAATATCATCATCATCATCATCATCGATTTCATCAGATGAATCTAATTCACATTTAACTGATGTATGATTTTGTTCATCGTGATTTTCAATTTGATGTGGTAATGATGGTATAAATTGTTGTGATGTTGGAGTTTCTGAACTAGTAAAACGACGTTTTTTCCTTTTTAATGCTGCGCGAGCATTTTTAAACCAATATTGAATATTATAAGGTTCAAGTGCTTTTTTACCTATAGATGAAGATTTTTTTTTTATTTTTAATATTATATTTAAAAGAAAAAGAAACAAACCTTTTCGGCATGGTAATGCATTCAGACTTTCACAAATAGATGCGATTTGATATCGTGTTGGATGTTTTGTATCAGTGAATATTTGTAATAAACGTGGTGTTTCTTCATGTGGATCAAATGTTGTACGTTCACGTTGTCGACGACTATATGCATAATCTTTTATTGTTGATGATGCATGTACTGGTGGTGAATCATATTGTTGATGTTGAGCTAATGATAAAAGACTAGCAAATGGATAATTTATAAAAGATTTTGTTGAATTCATAGGCATTGATGGTGATGAATATGGTTTTGTTGAAAGATTCAATGGAATATTATCACTAATAGATAAAAATATATTTAATTAAAGACAAAAAATTAATTTAGTTCTTTACCCATCGGTAGTATTTGAATTTGATGATGCTATGGAATAACCATTTGGACTTGTTGTTGGTTTTGATGATGAAGATTGTGGGAGTCCATCATCATCATCTTCAGTATCATCATGCATAACTTGACATAATTTATTAACGAGCTTTAAAACAAAACAAAAAAGTTTAGTTTTTTTTAATTAATGAAAAAGGTAAATATTTTTGTCTACTTCATGTTTGTCTCGTTCATCGCTAACTAAAGGCATTAAATGTTTTAATAAACGTACAGATCGTTTATCGTCTAATGTATTTGAATACCTTAAGAGAAGAAAAAAAATCTTCTTGAAATTAATGAGTTTTTTTTTGTTTTCTTACTTGGATATACGAATTTGAAGAACAGCGACATTCATAAGATCGCCTAAAATTTCTTGTACAGTAACCGTTCGGTTTTCAGTGACAGTCGGAATTGGTAATGGATTCCAATTTTTTATCAGTATTTGACCTATAAAAATCATATTTAACATAAAAATTTAAAAAACAAAAAACGGGTTATTTAATGATGCTTTTATATTTCAAAACTTTTAAAGACAGACGAATATTTTTTTCAATTTCTACTCTATATTGCTCAGTAATCATTTTTAATATTGAAAATATAATTAAACTTGTTAATAAATATTTTTCTTAAGTGAGTCTAAGAATAAATCAAACATTAAGATTAAATTTTATTAATAAATAGGTCACAATGAATGTCATAACAATCCATAAAAGAGTTTATTTAATACATTATCTAAAGATCATAATTGAATATTACAGGTTTACTACTTTTTTTTTTTACAGTTATTCCAATCGCTGAAGAGCTCTTCACGATGCTTGCAGGCCATTTAGTCTCTTATAGATTTCTAAAGCGCCTTAAAGCTTTTCTTTTTATAGAAAATATTATTACTCTTCGTAATATTCAACAACCTAAAGAAATAAAATATATAAAAAAAAAAAAGTGCATTCCTTATTCTATTACTAAAATAAAACTATTATTATTGACGAAATTAAAAAACTCTATTTACATAAACTAGTTATCGAAACTCATTCATATTAAAATAGAGAAGCATCTTTAATTAACTCTTTTTTTTTAAATAAGAAAAAAAAATTTTTTTCTTTTTATAATACTTTTTTTTTCTACTTACCATCCGCTCTTTCATCTTGTTCTATTCTACCAACATCAGCTTCCATTGTACGTAAAACAACTGATACAATTTCATGAAATTTTGTATGTGCTGGTACGATTACAAATCCATCTTGTAATACACGTTGTGGACACTCATCTCGTGCAACCACACAGTGTACCGGCAAAAATTTGTTGCTTAACGCCAGACCTAAAACAACAAAATGAATTTTCACACATTTCTTTTGTCTTAAAATTAAACATGTTTATACTGATTCGATACACTTATCATTTGTCTTATTAATTGTATGAAATATTTCATCTCCCTTAAGCACAATGTGTATAGATATATTTACCTGCCGAAAGTTTGTCCAAACGGCGAGAAACCATTTCTGATTTTATTTAAAGTTTAAGTATAGACAGAAGTCGAAAAAAAGAAAAAGCGTTGTAGTAAGATCAAATTAAAAAGAGAAGAAAACGTTTGAGTGGACTGTCTGTTGTTACTCGAGTTTGTCAGTTTTCTTTTTTCTCTCTTTTTTTTCAATTAACAAATCCTTTTTTCTTCTTCGCGCTTCAACAACGTAGTAGAAGTAGAAGAAGAAGAAGAACGAAAACGAACGAAGATAGATATGATATACGAAAGTGATCGGGGGGAGACCTCTTCTTTTGACTGTCTCTCTTTCTCTCTCTCTTTTTTCTCTCGTATATATTATATATATAGTGACAACCAATCAATTGACGATGAGCATATTCGGGGGGTTTGTAAATCATACCATTTCTTCTCTCAACATCATTTTTATTAGTCAATATTTCGTAACACTCAAGCCGCACTGAACCGAAACCAATAACTAGTTAAAACGCGAAAGAGAGAAAGAAAAACCTTGTCAATAAATCAATAAGGACACCTTACTACGTCGTCTTGTGATGATGATAATTTTCACCAATTGCGTTCTGTTCTCGTCTCTTTTCTCTTACATTACATTGATAAGTGATTATTACAATAAAACAAGATATCGATCATTGCCTATATGTCGTGTTTTTTCTCTTGTATGTTTCTTTTTTTTTCCTCTCGTTTCATTCTTGCCGAATAATTTGTTTTATCTTGATTTGCTCGCTCCCGTTTTATTGCACAACGTTAGCCAAGCGTAACCATGCTACTATATATATGTATGAGCTAGCATCCAATCGTATGAATGCGAGAGAGAGAGAGAAGGAGAGAGAGAGCGAAAGAAGACGAAGACGTTGCCTTAGAGCAAATTGACAAACGTCATAAAGTCTTCTTAATTTTCTTTTTTTTTTCTTTAACATTGTATCGATCTGTCAACATATTCTTCCGTGTCTTAAATCAATAGGACAGGCGTGCGCAGCACAAATGCGGCTGCTATTGCTTTACTCAATTCCTCTCGTTAGTGAGATAAAGTATTGCACCCTATTCAATTTCACTAGCCGCTTCGCCTCATCCACTGTGATGAGTAACAACTGTTGTTGAGTGATAATAGCTTTTCAATCGTTATATCAACACCCAATAAAATTTTGATACGAAAAAAGAAAGAAATATATATATGGATACATATACACTCACTCGTTGAATTGAGCAGACCAAGTGACGACATTATGATATTCGAGAGAGAGGTTAAGCTCTATACTACTTCTTTTAGAATGTTAATCACAATGGCAAACAACACAGCCGTGATTTCGAAATGAAGACGAAGCCGGCTGATGCCATTCTTTCTCTCTCTCTCTCTCTTTATCGACTAGAATCTTGAATAAAAAGAAGAAGAGGAGAGACATATAGAGAAAGAAGTGTGTTTTAACTTAAGTTGACATACGGATGCATTATTTCTCACTTTTTAAAAAAAGAGGGAGAGAGAGAGAGGAAAGAGACCGAGTCAGAGTAACAAAACGCAATAGAGAAAGGAAAATTGAACGCTTCAACCTAGCGTTCGACGATTATCCCAACAACAACATCATCGTGTGCTGCGCTCGTCGCTGGGAATGGGGAGGGAGACGGAAATGTGCTTGAAAGAACTTTGAAAAAATGGTAGTAGTAAAGAGAAAGTGAGCGCAAAGCGTTTGAAAGATTTTCTCATTGCTTTTTCTTTTCACTTTAGTCTGCAATTAGAGATAGCAACTAACACATACACATATATGCTTCAGCCGGAAGACATTAAAAAAAATGAATTTTTATTTCGAAGACACTTATGAAGAAAACGCAATAATAAGAAAGGTAGTCGTTGTTGTAAAATCCTAGTGTGTGCTAATCACAGTGTGAAAAGTCGATGGCGGAAGTGCGTGGTAAGAAAAAAAAGGTGACAAATTTATATGTGTGCGAGCAATTTTGCAATAGACTACAACTTTCAAAGATTAAAACACGCAACGTTATGGCTCGAAGAAAAATGAACATTACAAATGAATATGACAGACCGGACCCTTGCTTAATTCTTTTTTTTTCCCATTTTTTTTATTCTTACTCTTAAATTATTCAGAATGTCGCGCACACATATATATGCGCTCTCTAGCTGACAAACGATCTTTTCTTCGATTTTGTATGCAAACCAGTAACGAACAAGGATTACCTGCTAAAGTTTTATGACGATTATTTGATCGAAAAAAAAGAATACAGACAGATAAAATGAAATGGTACCACTAACAGTCGTCGTTTAAGCTCGTAAATATCGCAATTGATAATGATAGAAAAGTATGAGAGGTGGCGATTAACCTTCTCTTTTCACTTGTGCATTTGTTATTGTCGTGGATGGATGGATTAGTTGAAGTATACGAAGTAGAAGAGTCAATGATGATGATGATTCGATTTCCATTCATATAAGAATAAGAAAGAAAGGAAAAACGCAACACTCATATATGTCTCAAATCAATAGGAGAAAGAGATTAGCTTTTTTTTTTTGAAGACAACAATCTGGTGCCTGTACTATATATATGTGCATGTGCACGGCTGGTGCTTCTCAATGAAAAAGAACGAAATAAGGGGAGCGAATGTCATCAATATAAGCTACCAATAACAAAAAGAAAAGAAGAAAAAAAAAGGAAAGAAATAGTCAAACGAGGTGGTCACTTGTCATAGTTGCTTGATTGATTTGCTTCAATTTGTTCGACATGACAAGAATGATCTGACAGACAACATACATACATACATATTCACTTACTTTTTATAGCAACAAATGGCGCATATCATACTCTCGTAAAGGAGAATTATAATTTCTTGTCATTTTTTGTTTAAAATAAAAAATGAATATCTTCATAACACAATTATTACGATCTACCTTTTTTTGTATATGATTCCTGTCGATAAGCTTCTTGTTCTTGTTCTCTTCACCGATGTTATTACCAGAAAGAACAAGAAAAAGAAATAGAAAAGAAAAGTCGACAACGACGACTATGAGTTGCGTATTATCTCTTCTAATCTTGACGTGTATTTGTTTATAGAACAAAGATTCGTTTCTTTTTTATTTTTCTTACGAGATATCTGCAAAATATTTATTTGCACTAAACATGAAAACAAATATGAAAAAAAGAAAAGAAAAGACCAAATTAAAAATCTTTCTTATCGATTATCCTTTATACATATGTTGACCATCATATACATTTATTCTCTAAATAGCGTGACAGATAGAGAAAAAGAAGAACAAACGATTTTTTTTTCACACGCATTCTCCGTGACGGGAGACGTACGCATGAAAATTAGGATAATGGCAATTTTGATTATCGTCGTCCACCTACTATTACTACTACTTATGTCGCGTGTGAGAAAGTATATACAATAACAAGAAGAAAAAAAAAACTTGTCTTACTTAAACGATAGAAATAACAATATGCCGCGTTTTGCTAACGGCCAAAAACGACAGCAATTTCGACATCTAGAGCGATAAGCTATCATTAATCTTTGATAGAGTGAGTGAGAGAGAGTATGTAAGATGGAGTAACACAAAAAAATATTCAGGTGAAAAGAAAGAAAGACTAACAAGAGTACATGCACTTGTTCTTATTTTGTTATCGTTCTATACATGTATATATATACGTATATATGTATATGTATATTGTTATCCTGTTATACAGAGAATTGGATTAACGGTGCTACCCTTTCGTTGACCTGATCAATGAATAAATTCAAACAAAAAAGTATGAATATATGTATTATCGTTTCTTCTGGTAAGACACATACAATTTGAGTCGATTGAAATAAAGGAGAGAGAGAGAGAGAGAGAGAGAGAGAGAGAGAGAAAGAAGAAATGGATTTTAGGTAGTGATGAAGGTGGTAGTGCGCTTGTGTCAAACACATATACACAAATCACAATCAATTCTAATATACATCGCGAGACGGCCCCCTCCTCTGTTCGAATCGAGCGGTAATCACTTTTTTCTTCTCCCTCTCTCTCTACCTCTGTCTCTCTTCTTTAAGTAGCAGCAATCGAGGCGTCGTGTTCACTAAAAAATTCATTCTCGTCCGTCGACCAAGCCGCTTTTTCCTTCACCTACTTTCATCATCTTTGTGTTAATCGTTCATTTTTGATAAGACGCTATATTCACAGCTGTTTCGGCATTACTGTCTCGCTACTTTTTCTTCTCGCTTTCTCTTTCATTCTCTCTCTCTGTCTCTAGTGTTGTCCGGGAGTTAATCTAACAGAATTGAACACTACCGATTGCTTTCTCTCTCATCATCCTGATTTACGAACGAACGACATATAAGAAAGAGATGCTTGTAGCTCGATACTGTCGGCAAAGGTAGATTATACAGAAATGGGAGCGATAACAATATCGGTAGCAACAACAGACAGAACGAAAAAAAAGGGAGTGGAAGAAGAAGAAGTTTAATTGAGCTTTTACTCATTGAGTACAAAACAAATGTATTCTATTCTATATAAGCCTAAGCCGGTATATAACACATTAGACAAGTAAAAAACATGAAGAGAAGAAAAAAACTGACTAAAAGAATTTATTATTTTAGATTAGTAATTCTATGTGTATGAGCATTGAACGAGTACTTTTTTTTTTCTTCATTTTTTAATCTCGGTTAGTTGATCATGCATATAGATTATATATTTGTTTCTCAAAAAAAACCCATAGTTAAATGCATTTCATTACTTAAAGAATTTTTTATGACCATATATTATTTACTAAAAAGTAAAAGATGAAAATTTTTTTTTCTCTATCAAATAATAGTTTTCCCATGAGACTAGAAGATATATATTAAGAAATGCATTAGTAGAATTTTAATAGAATAAATAGTAATCATCAATGAATATGAAACAATATTGTCTTCAAAAAAAATAAATTTGATTTGATTTATGCTAGTTTATTTAAAATCAAAAAAGTATTCAACAATAAAGACAAATATTTCATTGAAAACAAAACAGTACATATATTATAATTTACTTAAATACATGTTCACGGAAGAATTCAATCGTTGAAATCATAATAGCACATGCTGGCGAAACTTTTAACAAACGTGGAATGAGACCTGATAAAAGAACACAATAAGAATTCAATTAATTAATTAGTTTCTCTTTACCTTTATACCAACTTTGCAGGCCTTGTTCTCTCAACATTTTACGAAGAATATAAATTGTACGATCAGTTTTTTGTGGTTGATTATTACCTATTTGAACTTGGCGAATAGATTTAACAGTATCAAATGGATGTGTAAGAATAGTTGCTAAGGCACCTGATTTATTTTCAATATAAAAATATATAATTAAAATCATAATCAATCAAATTTATTTACATACCAGCTGTTGCTCCAGAATAAAAAGCACTTAATGTTTGTGTTGCACCAAATTTTTTCGTAATAAATACTAAAAACAATTACGTGCATTTATAATATTGATTAGATAAATATGCTTACATTTTAATTGTTCATATGAAGACCAATAGAAAACTAAAAATACGCAATAAAAATTACTTAATCAATCTGAATATTATTTTAGAAGAACTATGATTCGAGTCTCACATATGTATACTATTTTCTATTCCCATAGACAGTAAAATAAAAATAAACCGGGCAAGTTAAGTGTGATCTAAATTTGGAGTTTACGGATATCTGAGTTTTCGCGAAAAACTCTACCTGAAAACTGTAATCATCTGTTTTTGATTGCTCTAGTAGATACTCTGGATTGTACTGAGTCGACGGCTGATGCTCAAGAAAAAAAGCACATAGTTACAAGCTACAATTTATCGAAAAACTTGATTGTAATTATAGTAAAAAAATTCATAATAATAACTAAAATTTTCTAACTTACTACTAAATGGTAAATCTCTCCAAATAGTTGGTATAAGTCCTCTCCATAATGAACGAAAACCATCGGCTTCAATTGATACTCTTAATATCTTTAATAAATCACTATATGATAATTGTTGTGACATTTTTTTCGTTCGTATTAATTCTAATGGACTTGTAACAACTACAGCTAACATTCTTGCTGATCCACCTGCAATACCAGGTATAATTGGATTTAAATTCGTTCTTTTATAACCCATAACACATTTTAATTGTTCATAGGCAGTAAAATAAATAACTGTATTTGGTAATGACATAACTAGAGTTGGTGGTAAACCTGACCATAATGATCGAATACCTTCACTACGCGTAATCTATATAATTCTAAAGAAATTTTCTTAAATTAAATAAAAAATAAAATTTACTTTTAACAAAGCATCTATTGTACCACTATATTGTCCAGGGATTGATCGATTATACCATGGTACTGCTTTCGTTTCATTAAAACAACTGCAAACATGATCACCAAGTCCATTACGAAATACAAAACAATCGCCTTTAGATAATGGTTGTTGTTGTGATTGTAATCGTATTCTAACAACATCAAATGGTGTCTAGAAAAAATTTCAAATCTTTTTTTTGTTTTCTAATTTCCTTTCTATTCTCTACCATTAACAAAGCTGTACACATAGCACCAACTGATGTTGCAATAATTTGTTGGCCAGGAAATAAAGCACAGTCATTTTTCTGAATACTCATACCTATAAATTTAATATGTAGAGAAGATTTCATATTGAAAAAAAATGTTTGTATTGTTATTTATTTTTTAGTTAAAAGAAGAAAAAAAAATAACAATAGATAAGACAGAAAAAGCACATGAAAAGGATAAAATAATGACGATAATCTCTAAATATCGGATTTTTAAATTAAAATCCAAATATTTTTTTTTCTACTATTATCTGACAATCGTGTGCTTGACTAGAAATTTTTATAAAAAAATCATTCTCAATAGGTTTTTATTTTCTCATGTTAAGTTCATTCATTCTATTCATCGCACACAAATAGTCATCACAGATGCAAGAAAGAAAATGTGAAAGAAGGAAAAAAATGTGATGATAATGATCATTCAGAGAGAGAAAAGCAAAAGAGATTTAAATGAATAAATCCGAAAGAAAAGCGTAGCGCAATAAAGAGAAATTTTAACAAACAAAAAAATGAAATGAAGATGAAAAAGAAAAAACTTAAATGATAATAATCGCACTTGTTTTAGAAAGAGAGAAAAAATGGAGAGATTGCTAATAGCAATGAACTTTTTCTGTCTTTTGTGCCCAAGCAAAATCATCTGAACGAGGTTTTGCTCCAGTATAATTCTCAGCAAATGATTCAAGCCATGGCCAAAATTTTATCATTTCAAGTGGCCGATTTAGCCAACCGGTTGTAACTAAACATACGTTATTTTTTTGTTAGTTCAAATTTTTATTATTCAAAAAAATAATACTTACTACAAAAATATGTGTCATGGGGTACAACTAAATAAATAAATTAAATTAAAATCTAATATCCGTCATAATTTTTAATAAAAAAATATTAAAGGTTATACGTAAAAAATCAAATGTAACAATACATGTTTGTCTTCTGTCTGTTATTTTGCAAAAACTCTAACAAGAAAGGTTAGATCTAATCGTTAGATATATATACATGACATTGAATAAAACTTTTTAAATAACAACTATGTTATATCAGATGTCTATACTACTCGATATATGCCCTTGAATGTGTGGAGTTCTCCACGACCTCGATAATTTTCCATTAGTTTTTTTAACACAGATAGAGTTTTGATTTAAAAGCTTGTTTCAACTCTATTTACCTATAGACCAATATTCACAAGTTTCAAGAAGAATGATAGAAGTCTTGAGGGTATTTACTCATTAGTAGACACACCCTTTTAATATCTCAGTCGATAGAGTTCGGATCAGCGCTAGCGATTACAGTTTCTAAAGCTCTATCTATAGTCAAAATGATCACACATCCAGGGACTTGTTTACATACCATGATGTAATCGATGATGCTTTCTAGGTAGAATAATGTGATAATTTTGTAAGAAAACAATATAAGAAGGTAGACCAAAATAAGTATGTGACCATTTATGGAACTAATAGAGAGAAAAATAAAAGATTCGATATGAATAAAAAAGAAATCTTTGTTAATAATCCTACCTGATTAGTCATCGATACAAATATAGCTAGAAGAAACATATAAACCTCAAAATTATAAATACATCTTATATTAATATCATTCCAATAAGTAAATTTATAAGCCATATATAAAAGATATGGAACAGTAACTGCGAAATTGTCACCATTTGTTTCAATAAAATCATGACGTGTTATTGATGTTGGATCAATATGATGTTCTCGAAATGGACGTAGAAAATTTCTACCAATAAATGGCATATCAACAGAACCCCATGTATCAGCACCCCAATGAACAATTCCTGATGCTAAATCTGCTGTTAAAATACCAAGTACTAATATTTTTAAAAAAAACAACGAATAATAAAATCGAATATTTTGCTTTCTACATACATGCTGAAGGAATGATAAGATACCAATTTCTTACATCAAAATAACGACATATAAAGTAAAAATTGTAAATCATTAATATAATACATAGAATAATTGAAATTATTTCTTGAATACGTTTTTCTAAATAAAGAAAAATAAAACAATTAAGTAAATAAAAAAAAAGGAAACAATTATATAAAAATGATGTTCTTTCAAGCGGAATATACTACTTAAAAGTCTTTTGATTTAATCATTCATATGAAGTTCCTTCTTTTATTTTTACATACTAAAGTTTCTTTAAACAATTTTTTATTACTTGAATATATATAAAGATTTATCTTAATTTTTTCCGATTATTTTATTACCTCTTGTATATTGACTAGCAAGTAATTTTGCACCGGCATGTTGAGGTCCCCAACGAATTTCTCTAGCATCATGTAATGTATTACCATTTGGATCGTCTTCAGGCATAGAATTTTTATCAACAATCATATCGTCTGTAGATAGATCTTCTTCGGAATTATTTTCTAATCTATTGTCTTTTGGTGTTGATGGTGATGTCGTTGCTGATGAAGCTGAAAAAAGAAAGAATTTTATTTGTATTATGTTGTTCATTGTAATATAAATTATTCATTAATATACTAGTAGATGGCATCGGTGAATATGGAGAAGAAATAGTTGATGATGAAAGGCACATACGTAGTGTTTTTTTCGTATATAAATTATTAGACGTGTATGTGTATTTGTATGCTAAATTGAATTGTGACGAAAAGAGAATAACAAATATACCGATAGCACCATTTTAACTTCGGTGATCGGATTTTAGTCTGAAAGGAAAAAAAGAATACTAGAAAGGAAACATTCATTTTGTTTGAAGAAAAGAAGAAAAGATTGTTTTTTGCTGTAATCATGAAATAATAAATTTTTAACGACAAAGTTGTTGTTTAGTCAGACATCTCATTTAGTATTTCAAATTATCTGCAAACGATAGTCATCAAAATAAAATCAAGGTATTCCTATGGATACGTTAAACAATTTAAAATAACTTTATTTTTAAGAGAAAAGAAATTACCAGTCAGCTGTGTTTGTTCAATAAGCATACGATATTGTCTTTCTTATCTTCTTATTACTTGTTGAGAAAAAAATGCACTTTAATCAGAAAAAAAATGCTAATAATACAATTATATTATAATAGCTCAAAGCATCGATATGGTTATTTATAATGAAAATTTAAGCGAGAAGACTGTTAAAGTACTTTATGCAATACATCTGTCAGACATTACTCGTTCTTATTTTCTCTATCGTCTTCCTTCTTTTTTTCTTCCCCTTTTTCTTTTCTAATGTGGACAAAAGGGCGTTCTCGCACTTCGTAATAATCTATCTCTTTCTTGTTCTTTTTTTTTCCGCTGTATTCTAGCCGCAAAAAAATATCTAGAGTAGAATTGCACTATCATAAATACACATCGTATGGACTAGTATGAGTATTGCTATAATATTGTTTTGACAATAGAAGACAAAAAACAAAAAAGAATGAGAGGAAGTGAATAAAGACAATTGACTCTCATGCGTATCTATAACTGATAAATTAATTATCTATCCTATCTTATAATTTGTATTTTTATGGATATATTAATCTTATTTAATGTTATTGTTTCGTTGCTTCTTAATTATCACTTATTGAAAAGATAAGCAAATATAACCCATGATAGACTAACATAAAAAAAATTATCGAAAATAATAAATAATAGAGATCTATATTATAAAAAGCAAAGAAAAAAGTAACATTTTAATGAAAAAAACAAGTGAAAATGTGATTTATTGTATTGATATTTGAATGAAAAAAAAAAGAAGAAAACTATGCAAAAAAATACCGCATATGATTGAGATATTCTCCTAATGTATGTGCTTCGTCAAAGTCCAGAATGGAGGAGCATCTGTATGTGCAATACAGAATATGCCAGAAATAGCAAAAATACGATGAAGAATGATGATGACTGTTAAGACTAACTAAGTTACGCTCGTTTATTTCTCTTCTTATTCTTTAGTTTTTCTAGATCATTCATAAGTTAATTAAATCTACCAATTATTTTTTTGTTTTCGAATTCTTTCATTAATTTTTAATCAAATCAAAAACCAAACTTATCTAGAATTTTCTTCAAGAACTTTTTACTTAGTCGATTGGTTATTAAATGAAAAGAATAGATAATCTTTTAAAATTAATACATAGGTGACGCTAGTTGTTAATATATATATATATTTTTTTTCTAATCTCTATATACCTTCGGGATATGGATGAAGCTAACTAACCATATACCTTTGTCTTTGAACAAATATATAATAAATACGAGCGTTATCAAGAAAGTTTTATGACGGAAATATGAATGTCTATATAATCAGTAGAGTTATATATATTATTATCAATAAAACCACTAGATAGAGAATGAATCAATCGATGTTGTATTTAATCACCATCGAAATTTTGATTTCATACAAGCTTGATGAACTTAGTCATGATTTACGGATCAGTGAACGAGTGTTTAGAATCATAATATCGACGAAAACAAAAAAAAAGTCACGATAAATATGAACTAACATGGACACAAGAATCTATCAATGTGATCCTTTATGGGCCAGTACCCTCACCCATCCTCAGATGCTTGCGTGCGTATGTATCCTGGTATTAATCGTTCCGGTTCCCATGATTAACATAATTAACTAAAACATACTATGAATACTTCTCTTGTATCTTATGTATGATGAAATTTATATCAAAAATACAGATTATCAGGACAGTTTGATATGACCAGATTTAGATGAAGAATTTTGTACTGAAAAATTCTTACAATAATGATATGTCATTTATACATGAATGAGTCTCAAACAATGTTTATTGATAATAACATGTTTCTCTTTCTCTATAATACGAAGTTCATGATAAATATGAATGCTATAGAATATTTCAAAATTTCTATATTTATAGGAAGGAATTATTTATTAATATCTACATTTTCATGCTTATTCTTAGTCATATGAATCTTCAATAATACTTGAACCCTATCGAAAGTATTTATAGGAACAAAATTACTCTGCATTTCATTGAAATCATCTGTTGATTACGTAATCCATACTTAAATTTTTTCAATATACAAAACATGGATACGTTTTCAGAATTCGCCCAAAATTATTATTATTCAATACATGATTTCTTAAACAACAAGTGATTTTACAATAGATTTTTCACTTATTATTCTATTGAGACTTTGCAATTGTAATAGTAATGATTTATTGATTTTTTTTTTTCCCGTATTCTTACCCAGACATATATTTATATAGCATTGCATAGTAATATTATTTATTACAGACGACTACAAATATTATTTCATAGGTATATGTTTTTTTTAAGTGAAAGTCTAGGCAAAGTCTTCCAGAGTCAAAGACCAAAGAGTAAAATATATAGTATACCCATGTAAAAAAGTTGTGAAAATCATGATTTTTATGAGAAATCCGATGAGAAATCGATTTAAATGGCACGATTTTCATAGCTTGGCAATCGATTAAGTTGTAAATAATCGATTAAAATTCAATGATATTTAATTTTTCTCAAAAAAATAATTGATTTTAATCGATTTTAACTGATTATTTGAACTTAATCGATTATCAAGCTATGAAAATCATGCCATTTAAATCGATTTCCCATCGGATTTCTCATAAAAATCATGATTTTCACAACTTTTTTTACATGGGTAGTCTTGTATCAATTTGAGGTGTTAAATCCGGTCGATGTGTACCCTAAGGAAAAATAGCTTGAATGACTTCTCTATGTAATACGGATATGGATCAAGCATAGAACATTGAATAGCTATCAATGCTAATATATGGATTCAATTTAACAGCAATTAATTCAACAGTTAACTAATAGTTTCATCTTGAGAGATGTAATACGCGGAATTTATGTAATAGAAAATGAGAAAAAATCAGTATTTCTTCTCGTTTTTTTTAAGTCATCATGACTATTGTATGTAATCAATTATGGATTGTATGACACTTATATCGTTTCTAAGATGTTCGTCTTATTATTTTTTCCTTCCAATTAAAATATAGCCAAATTCTGTTGTTTAAGTGGAATAGAAAAAAACAACTACACTTGTTACATTTGTCGTTTTACTGATTCTTTGAGAATAAAGAATCTGAACCTAATAAGCAGCATTCATCGTTTTTTCTCTCAATACATTCATTTCCATAACCTCAGAATAGTATTTATTTAAGATTATCGTTTCTTATATTAACAAGAAATTTAACATCTTTTAATTTCCTTCGTTTTTTCCTTCTATTTATCAAATATAAATAATCAAACAAATACAACTACGCAAAGTTAAATATGTATCTATGAGTCTTTTTTTAGTTGGTATTAGTTTGATGGACATTTGTATTTGACACCGTTAACAATAAATAAAATTTGCCTCATGGGATAAAAATATGTCGTGTGGGTGATGTTTCTTTTTGCTCGCCTTTTTTTTCTTCGCTTTATTTGTAAATGAGCAACTGCATGCTATATTCTATTGTTGATTACATCAGAGAATTAGTCATTAAAACGTGTGTCAAACGGTATATATATATAAAGAAAACGAACGACAGGTTCAATACTTTTATTTTTTAGAATTATGAATTCACGATCATTTATTATTGCTCCTTTTCGTTTTCCAATTTATCTTTTTATCTTATCCTATTTACTTTTTTTTCAATCTCCACAACCTGTTCAATCAATTTCTCTTAGTCGTCTATGTGGCCAATTTGGACATTCATGTTTTGGAGGTAATTAGTTTTCTGTAAGATAATTATATATATTTCTAAACAAAAAATTTAGCGAATTGGGGTAAACGTTCACCATCATATGAAACAACACCACGAGATATGTTATCAGATTTGGTTATAGATAATAATAATCCAGCAACAGTTTCTTCTATAGTTAAAGATAATTTAATAAATGAATATCTTCTAGAAGAATTTCGATTGGTAAATAAAATATTTTTTTATTCAAAAAAAAAAAAATAATAATCTTGATTTTTCTATATCTATAGAAACTACTTCGACGACGAATACGACAATTATTTGGATTGGAATAATATCGAATTAAACGTTCATTAAATAGAAATAATGTTCATTGTGTATTTTTATTTGTTTGAACGATTAAGATGTAATTAATGTTCAAAAACGCGATTAATTATATTTAAGAAAATGATCATTGATTAATTAAAGGCCACCAAAAAAGAAGTATTGATTAACAATTCTAAATGTTCAGTTTATGTTGTTTCGGTCATATCATTAGCCTTATTAAATGCAATATGAATAAAATATTTAAGCAAAATTTAAATTTTTTTTCGAAGAAATGAATAAGTACGGATTTATGTATGTATTTCTCGAGTTCGAGGGATTATTTAGTAAAACGTTCTTAGGAGTTGTTATAATATCTTCTAAAGGAAAAAATATAATTATTATTTTGACATATGTTGACACAAATTATTGTTTCTATTATCAACAATAAGCAATTATTTATAAGATAATGAAACAAACGAAGAATAGTATATACGAGATAGTTTGAATAACGCCTTTGTATTAGGATTAATAGATCCACCGAACTAGTCATGCACGATAGTTATTCAGGCAAATATTAACTTGTGGGATTTATTAATCATACTAGATTTATAATCTTAGCTATTAATGAATAGGAATTATATATGTATTAAGAAATAAAATATGATGATCTCCATTTGATAATATATCTCATTAATGTATATATTGCAGTGAAAGAAAAAACTTTTGAAACTGAATGAGTTAAAATTTGAAATGAATCACTGATTTTTTAGTTGATAATATCTATATACTAGTTTTAATAAAAGAATTCACAAATCAAAATAATTAGATTCATTTATTGATCTAGTATAGTCATTTCGCTTTTAGTGACGTTTTCTAATTATTATCTTCAAGAAGGTAGTTTTTTGTTGTGAAATTTAATGACCATGTCCGTTACGGTCTATGATGATATGCGCGGTCTCGTCTATGATCAGGTCAAAGGAACATCAATCGGTCACGTTTGTAGAGGGAGTACTGAGTGCAAATTTCTATCTCTATACACTTCAAAACTCCTCTTAGGTAATTTTAGAAATTTGAAAAAATAAATCGAAATTTTACTCCACAATACGAATCAGCATGAATTATTTCAATCAGGTGATTAACTGTTTAAATATAATAAATATTTATTTAAATCAAAAAACAAATTATCACAGAAAAGATGATTGTTCTATTAATAACATATAGAAAAATGTTTTGTTCTAAAAAAATATCTGTTCTATTTTTATCAAAAAAAACCAATAAAATCTACGTCACTCAATTTTTAGTCCTATTATTTAGAATTGCTTGTCGACAAGCGTTATATTTTGCATCTTTTTTATTTGAACCACAACCACGATATTGATCACCATTTTTTGTTTCAACAATACAGATAGATGTTGTAATATCTGTCTTAGGATCAGTTTCCGTATATTCACTATGAAAAAAGAAATTCATCAAATAATCAAAAAAAAATAACTCACTCAATAATTTTTCCACCTTGCTCAGTAAACGATCGTTTAGGATTTAGATTAGGATCAGTTAATGATTGATCTATTGTAATGAAAGAAAAAATAATGAGAATTAGAATGATTATATTGATATACCAATGTATTGTTGAAGTAAAGGTTGAATAACTTGCCAAACAGTTTTTAAACATTTCCCAGCGTCAAGAAAAATTGCTCCAACTAATGCTTCAAAGACATCTGCTAATGCTTTTGGTGCTGTTGAGTCAGCCCACTGAGCGATATCCTTAATATAGAAATAAATTATCTTTTTCTTTCTTTTTTTAAACAATTATAATAATTTACTTTATTTAGTTGAGAATCTGGCGATAAATCTTTAGGAAATAACTCTTCATCACCAACGTATACAGATATTTTTCCAAATAAATCAGGTGAATTATGAAGAATCTTTGTATGAAGACCACATGCAACCAAAATATATGCCAATCGTCCATTATTCGATAGATCTTGTCTTATATCTGTTACTCGACCTATAAAAATTCATATTTTAGTTAATTTGAAAGAACTGAATTAATAGTTAAATAAATGATAGTACCTGGTGTAATATTTTTATCATTCACAAATATATATCGTGTAACAAGAAAATCTAATACAGCATCACCTAAAAACTCTAATCTATATGAAAAAAAGTATAGAAAGAAGTTTTCTTATTTAAAAAATAAATTACCTTTCATAACAATTCGTCAAACGATTAGCAAAACTTGATGGATGAGTAAATGCTGCAATAAGATATGCTTTATTATTAAATTCATAATTAATCGTTTTTTCAACAGAAGAAAATGCTTGTTCTTTATAGAATTTTTCAACAATACGATTACTTTCTTCATTTTGCAAATACGAACAAAGAATTGGTGGTATTTTCATTATTTTATCTAATATTCAAATGAAAAAATTAAATTAAATTCAAAACAAAATCGAATTCTTACTATTCTCATCTAATGGAACAACATCAAGACCTAACCATTTCATAAATTGAATTGTTACCATATAATTAGTTGATATTAAAAAAGCACCCATAAATGCTTCCATCATATCAGCAAATCCCTTTCGTTTAACTTTTTGATATTCATATCGTTTAGAGCCAAGTTCATTATTTATTTGATTTTGTTCGGTTTTTTTAACAATATATCCAGCTGGAAGCCAATTCGCTTCTTCACCACGAAAATTGATTTTCATAACATTTAAATAAGTTTTTAATTTCTTTTGTACAGTTATTCGATAAAGATTACTATTTGATATTTGTTTTGCTTTTTCAACAGTTAATGCACCAGCTCCAGCAAGCGGATAACGATGATAGAGACACATTGATACAATTAATTTTAGAAAACAATCTCCTAGGATCTCAAGGTTTTCCATGTCCAGATTTTCATCAGTTGAACGACGTGTTATTGCTTGAAAAAGAATATCAGATGATGGTTGTAATGTTGTATTACATAATAATAAATTATCATAGGTTAATGAAATAAGAGGTAGAAACTAGAAAGTGAAAACTATGTTAATAAAAATTAATTTTTAATTCAAATCTTACGGATAAATTTTCGTTCGTTTTCAAAAAATCATTGAAAGTAACTGTTGGCATTTGATCAACATCAATTAACTAAAAGAAATTAGTTTCTATTTTTACTAAAGTAAAAATCGTAATACATAAATTCTTCGAGCTATGATTACTCTTTAAGAAGCTAATATTTACTCTTATATAACACTTTTTACATAATTAGATGGATTAAGTAAACATCCGTATTTACATTTAATATCCGTTTGTCCTTGAAGTACTTGTTCATTATTTCCCTAACTTTTTCGTGTTGTTTCTTTCTATTTGCAGTACATTTCAAGTGAATGAGTATGTCACAATAAATAATTGACTATTCTAGATAACAGTACTGAACCCATTACGATACAAAGTAGAAATCGTTTGATTTTTAAAAGACTAGTATAGGTATTACTTACCGAATACGATTGAATATTATCCGCAAATAATTTACGTAAACGTTCAATTCGATATAATTGTGAAATACGAATAAGAATAGTTGGTAATTTATACATTAGTTGAAAATCATATTGATTTAATGGAGCATAGTGAAGGACTTCTATTGGAAAATAAATAGGTTTTTTCGATGGATCATTCGCGTCATCTTTTGGATTTATCACTGTTTGTTTTAAATAATTAATTTTCGGTTTCTTAATACCTTTCATTGTTGCTAAAAATGTATTTCGATTTATATGAATATTGGGTACTAGATGTTCAAAATAATCTGCATATGTTTTAATATCTTCCGATTTTTTTTTCATATCCCATAGATCCGATGTTCGTTTTATTAGAGAATCATCTGATATATTCACAAAATATTGCTTATTCTCATGATGATAAGCACAATATAATTCTTTATCATTTAATTCATTATAATCTTGAATTTTTTTTACTTTCCGATTACATATTATTTCCATTCGATTCCAATCAATATCTCCAAAGTCTATTCAAATAAAATTTTCAAAAAAAAAAGTTAAATAAAATAAATTTTACTTGTTAATAAACAAGGAATTAGCTGAAATGATGATTGCTCAATATTAAATTCAAGAATTGAATCTATATTCATGTTATCAAATACATATTCAAATAAATATTTACAAAAATTTTCCAATCTATTTCGATATTGTGTATAATCAATAGATTTCAAATAGATGACCTGTATTGTTATTTCTTTATCATGATCATAGATATTAAATTTTGGTAACTAAAAATTTAATTTTTATGATTAATAATCTTCGAGAAATAAACTTAATTAACCTTCATTAACTGACATGGTACGACAAAACCAAGATCATTATTTATTTGATAAAGATACCATTCCATGGATAATTTTTTCGATTTTATAGGAAATATAGCAGTCTTAATTAAAATAAATAAAATAAAATGAAAATGATCGGAGATATACATACGCTTTTAGGAAATATTTCAAAAGAACTATCAGATTTTTTTTCGAATAATGTATCAACTAGTTTAAATATTCGATTTTCAATTGGAATATCAATTTTTAATAATGTACCATTTCGATTTGGTAAACAATATTCATTGAATTCACCTGAATAAAAACGAAAACAACAAATTATATTTTATATATGTATATTTGTCTAACCTTGTTGATGAAGTTTTTTAACCATTTCTAAACAACATTCATATTTCGCTAACTTTTTCTTTTTACTTTGACACTAAATAATAAAATGCATTTGTTTTTCGATATTGTTTTCTTTTTAAATACATACGATGATATCATCACCAATAGGACAATTAGCTGGCATAGATAGAATACATTTATATGGACTACTCGAACCATGAAAGAGAAATCGAGGAGGAAAGATTTGACCATTACCAAGTAATACACAATAACTGAAAAAATTTCATTTGATTATTTTTAATTAAAATTTGATAGTTCTTACTCCATAATTAATTGTGCAGCACGTGTTGCATCGATAACGACGCCTGTTGATGTACGATAAGGTGGAATTTGTAATAGTTCATTTTTAAGATCATCATCATTTTCTTCAAATGAGAAACCTTTTTGAATCTCCTGAAATAGATGTATAAATTTAATTATGATTGCTGACAAATAACGTGAACATCGAATTTTATTAGAGTTAAAGATTATTTTTTCATAATAAACATCGGGGTCATATGAAAAAATTCAATAAAATTCGTACTCTACTATCAAACAAAGTGTGAGTTTTGAAATGTAATATGAATTAAATAAAGAATTCATTACTCGATTTGATGGGGTTCCCGAATTTCACCAACAAGCACTTTCGCGAACATGCTTATAGGAAATTCCCTAGTGCGATTATGTGCTTACATATGTATAAAAATAGTTCCTGGTAACTATATTGAAGGGTTTAGACTATAATATGCATATTCTGATGTTATTAGGTTAGTTTATCACGTGCATTTTACACGAATCTTATGCTATTACAGTTGGCGAAAATCTGCTGAACTTTCGTCAATGACGAATGTCCTATTCGCGAAGAAACAGTAAGCCTATTTGATCAATGTTTCTTATTTATAGAAAACAATGGATTATAATCATCTTATAGATCTGTTCTATATAGGTATGTCTGGAACGTTTAACAAACCTTTTCTATTTCTTCATAATTTTCATATTCCATTTGATCACGTTGACATGAATCTATATCTAATTCATCGAGAAAAAGAACATAAGCTGCATTTTGTTTTGCTCTTGCACGACCTTTGGATTGCATATAAGATGAAAAATTATTTGGTTTATTAAAACGTATAACTAAATCACATCTTGGAATATCAAGACCTTAACAGGAACTAATTAATTAAAAATTAAACAAAATTTCAATTAACCTTCTTCAACAACTGCTGTAGCGATTAAAATATTAACAGCACCTGATCGAAATTCTTTGATAGTTTTTTCCTAAAAAAATCAAATTAATAGAAATGTATGTTTATTATATTCAATTCTTCTTACTTGATATTTCATTGTCATTGATTTATCATAAAATAGACTTTTTATTCCTGTAACATGATTTACTTTTAATTGTTTAGCATGTGGTGATTCAAGAGTTAATATAAGATGTGATAAGACTTGACTTAAAATAGTTGCTGTATAGACACGTTCAACGAATACAATAGATTGACCGAGTGTACCTTCTGTAGTCGATTGTTTAAGAATTCGATCAAGTAAATGTAAAACTTTTGGACTAAATAGAATATCAGAATCATGTACATTTAATTGATATAAATTTTTTAGGATATCATCCGTAAGACATTCAAGACGTTGGTAAATATCATTAAAAATATTTCTAGCTTCCTGATCAGGAAATAATGTAAGACCTTGATTTTTTTTTAATTTTTTTCGTAATTCTTTCGCAAATATTAATAAGCCACATAGACCAAGTTCATAACCAACTTCAATTAAATTCTCAAGATAATGTTTAAATAATTGTAATGTTATAGGTCGAGATTGAGTTATATCTGTATAATCACTTGATTGATTTTGATAATCAGTCAAATTGACTCCAAGATAATCTGTGTTTAACATTGTGTGACTAAGTTCCCTTTCAATCTTAATATGTTGATCTTTCTTTTGTACTAGATAGTTTTGAATTATATTTACCATATAACGAAGAATCTAAAGAATATAAAACAATCCCGATGTTCATTTTTAGTAAAAAACTTTAATGTCATTATCGAGAGATTCATCTTACATTCATTTCTATTTAACTCTGACGTCCACATAGAGCCCGTCGGGTCCACAATTTTTTGGACCCGGACCCGTTCAATAAAAAATTTTTAGACTCGGACCTGTTCGATAAACTTTTCTTAGACTCTCAGTAAATTTTTCTACTTGAAATCTGATAATTGCTTCGAAAATAGTTTTGTTGTTGTTTTTCTATTATTTTTATAAATAGATTCAAGGCTTTTTTAATGAAATGAATAAAAATTGAAAAAAAATATTATGTTGATAACATATTTCTTCCGATCCGGACCCGATCAGTAAAAGCTTCGATACGCAGATCCGGACCCGAACCCGACGGGCTCTACGTCCACAATAGTCAGTTTCTTTGGAAGATAAAATTAGCTATGACCATAATAAATCACACTCGATATTTAATTTCATTCAATGAAGAATTTTTCAACTGTTAATTAGTTATAGGCGACTTAAAAACAAGTTCTGTAGATACCCATCTGAGGGAGAGCCTACTGTATTAACATGGAGTTCATTAAACTTATTTAAAAATTACTAATCATCTTACATCAAATGGAATTATTAAACTTTCGTTCTTCTTTAATATTTCATCTTTATAACTTGGACATGGTATTGTTTCCACATTAACTGAAGTACCATGTTGAATACTTTCATCTCGAGTTACAATTTCAGCACTAAATAGATTTTCTTTTAAATTGACGAAAAGGAAGATGCAATTAAAACCTACCGATATGTTTCCTTCAAATTTTGCGCATGCTTCATTAAATCTTTACGTTTAATTTTTTTGTTTGTAATCGATGCTGTCAAACCAAGTACACGTGGAGGATCAGGACAGTCATCATAATGTTTATTCATTAATGCTGCATAATGATTATCACCGGATGCATGATGACATTCATCAAATATAATTAAATTAACAGATTTTAATGCTAATAAAAAAAAACGAAATTGATTTGCATTTAAAAAATTTCAACTCATTTTTTGTTTATCTTACAGAAATAATCATGACCAACTAGATTACGAAAAACTTGAGCGGTAAATACTAATACTTGATGATCTTCAAATTCTATATCCCATCGTTCTTTATGCCAGAGATCAACTCCTTTTTCACCATAATAAGACTCGACAAGAAGACCAGTATGTTTTCGAATATAATCCGTTTGTTGTTGAGCAAGTTGAACTATAAACAAGAAATGATAGAAAATTGTTATAAGAAAAAAAGTTAGTATGTACCAGTTTGAACAAGAAAAATTGTTCGTTTTCCACCTTTTTTCAGACTTTCACGAATAGAAGATGCCATCTCTTTGATAAGCATCACAGCAATATAAGTTTTTCCACTTCCAGTTGGAAGACATATAATTAAATTCTCTCCTTTTGCTTGTTCCATTAATTCTGTCTATAGCAGAAATTTCATTAGAAAGAAAAAAAAAGATAAATAATAAATTTTTTACTTGATAATTTCGAGCTAATATACTTTTATTTTGATCTGAAGTTGGTGTAAATGTTTCTTTGATATGTTCAGTTGAGTTCGTCATTTTACTAAAAATATAGTCAATTTTAAATACGAAAATCACTTGTAGTAGTTTGAATAATAAAGCAAAGCATATTTTTTTAGTTAAGTTATACTAATCAAAAGTAAATTTATGAACTTTTCTTTCCTACATTCACATTCGCGCAGGAAAAGTGTAGAATCAAGCTCAAATTACAAATGTTAGAATAGGAAATTTTAGCATAAAAAGTACTTATAAAATATTGTTGAATTCTCCGTTCTCATTCAAACAAATATAGATGCTTCTATCAGAATTTATTTGAGATCGATCATGTTTTGCCTATTTCTCTATTGATTTCAGAATAGTATTGGAATTAGTTTTTAAAAAATTCAAAATTATGCACAGCTTGTCATTCATTACTATAAGCGAAATCCGACAGAATAGGACGTTTATAGTGTTCAATTTTTTACAAGGATGTTTCTCTATTTTAGCAGAGGCATATGTGAAAATTTTGACGCTTTCATCCAGTAATTAGTGAGTATCAGTCAAGCTATATCCGGAGAAAACCTAAAACTTCGAGAGTAGACTGTAAGACTGGAGCCACATTTATGATCAAAGATCTGACTCCAGATATTTTTTCTCATAAAAAAAAGACTCCCCTAGTGATCCCTTCAAGTCGTAAAACAAAATGTCTGTTTCATCATTATGTCAAGCTTTTGAGGAAGGATTTGTACCTTTTCTATTTCTTCTCATTCAATTATAAGAGCAGTTTTTCTCTATCACATTTGTACTTCATCACGTCGCTATCAAATGATTTTGTTCATATCTGTCTTAGAATAATAATATTCCAAAAATTTTATTTCTGATAATAAAAATATCTCATAAAAGCATTTGATTAAATATTTACATAGACTCAAAAGAAAAAATAACCTTGATTTATTGGGGATATTTTTCATATTAAAAATAAAGTCAACTGAAATTGTATTATCAGAGAAAAATCTATGAGTAATAATAATACAAATAGATGATAATCACTTACAAGTGTTTTGTGAATGAGCAAGAGTTATAAAAAGTTAGTTGAGCTGTTTCAAGCAATAAATAACAAACCAAAATATTACCAGAAAAATTTGATGTTCGTTATTTTATTTTATAATTTAATAAATTATGTCTGTCTTTTATTTTTTTATATCTTTTTTCAAAATGTACGCAAACGCAATACATCTCTTTTTTAGTTATATGAAAAAAAACCCAGTGGAATAAAATAAACAGCTGTTTGACTGTGGTGAGGAGGATAGAAAAAAAAGCAAATGTCATTGGTTTGTTTTCTTTCTCGCTCGTTCTTTCTTTCGCAAGATATGACTCATTGGCTGTCTGCTTTACATTCACCGGTTTTGTTTTGCATAAAATTCTATTTAAAATAACAAACAGACTGACGATTAAGTTATCTTTGCGCAGCGGCAGTACCTTATCCAATGAGCGTTTCGCGAGGAGAGGTTATTGCTAGTTGAAAACTAATACCCAATATCCCGCACAGTCGGCCTCGGTCGGCTGCTGCAATTTTTGCTGCTTCTTCGGAGGCGTTTAATCAATAATAAAATGAAAAAATATATAAATAAAATCTATCATAGATTTTATTTTCTATGAATGTTACTACTAAACAGATTATCTTCTAAAAGTTCGATATACACAAAATTAATAAATTTTATTTTATTATAGAATTTTACAATTTTCAGTTTTATCATTCTTCTCGAAATAAAATGTTTCTAGATGAAAATGAATGCTAAATATTTCATCATATAATGATGTTTGTTCTTTATCGAGTGCTTTCGCAATTTTTCACTTGTCATCTTCTCAATCACCGTTTTGTTTTGCATGAATTTCTGTTTAAAAGAACAGATGAATTGATGATTGAGTTATCTTTGCGCAGCGGCAGTACCTTATCCAATGAGCGTTTCGCGAGGAGAGGTTATTGCTAGTTGAAAACTAATACCCAATACCCCGCACAGTCG